AATGTGGCTCTCTCAGCCTCATAAACCCAGTTAACTAAAGTTTTAACTTTCAAGCATGGCTCAAGCAGTGCCTCCTGCGGGAAGCCTCCCCTGGTTGTTCCCCGGAAGCCCAGTTTATTGACTACTCCCTCTAAGCACAATTCTACAATTGCACGTACACATTGTGTATATTTACTTTTTATCTCTCCTTTTTTACACTTGGTCCTTAATAATTCTTCAGTACATCCCCATTCTCTAAAATATACCTGGTTACCCAGTGGACATGCAATTTATATGTTTAATCAAGAAGTAAACAACATTTTTGGGCAGTTAATCTTAAGTATTTTAACTATATAATATATACAGCTTGTAGGTAGGCACTCAGTAAATATTTGTTGAATAAATAGATGAATTCCTATTTACTATTTTTATTTTTTACTATAAAACAATATAGCAACATTAAGGCTTATTTAAATCATTTATTGAACATCACCACCCTAATAGCAACTATTTTTCTTAGCCCATTTTCTTTTTAATTATACAAGTGAAACATAGATATATATATACCACTGTAAAAATTAAATTCAAATAATATAGAAATACATAAAGTTAAAAGTCCCTTTAATAATCTTATTTCTCTCAGGAGGGATAACCACTTCTTTTTCTATAAACATGATTTTATATATAGTGTGAAATAATATGTATATAGTTTTAAATTTTATTTTATATGTCTGAGAAATGTTTCTGATGTTATTACTTAATAGTTTTATGGAACTGGTTTTTGGGTTTTGGTTTTTTTTTTCATTTTTAGAGTTGAGATGGACTTAGAGAAACAGTGCTGTGTAATACAAAAATATTCCTTGGATAAAGGTTCCTGTTTTTAGCTTCCTCATTTATCCTTAGGTCTAATGATTTTTATTTTTGTCTCAATCATTTTGAGGTTAGAATTTCCTATAATCACCAAGTTGGAAGGAGAGGAGTCTGGATTTAAACCCAGGTCCTCTAAGTTCAAACCAGTTATTTTTCCACTTAACTGTCTCTCTAACCTTCAGCTTTAACTGTAAAATAGGAACAGTAATGCCTGTCTGCTGCCCTGAGAATGAACATGGTAGTCACCTGAGAAGGGGAGTCAATACGTGGGACCTCATGTATTAACTAAGATCCACTAACGGTCAGGGAAATGTCTATATCCATTAATTTTCAGAAGCCATATTAATCTTTTAATTCAATGGTTTGATTTTTTAGGTAATAGGAATAGAACTAGGATTTGCTAGATGCCAAACTCATTCATACTGTTTACCTATATATCTTTGGGCTTTGAAAATAGTGTCCAGTCTGTGGTTTGGTTTCTTGTGTAATTTCAAATTACAACTAGTAAATTATGACCAGAGTAGGAAGGTTTGGGTTGAAAATAAGACTGTTCACTTTTTCTTCACACATTGCCACTTCTTTCAATTTTAAAATGTCCTCTCTGAAATATGGGTCAGAGTGACTTCCATGTGTAATTTTTCCGGTTTCTTTCTTAGCACTTTTCCTGGCATATTATTTTGCTTTATCCTCCCTATGATGGCTATGGATACAAAACTCTAAGAACCTTATTTTTATTTGTTTTATATTCAGTAGATGCCATCACCATAAATATGTCCAGTATGAATTATGCTTCTGACATGGCAGGTGTGTAATAGAAGCTTAGGGGTAGAATAGCAATGACTTGATTTTCTGTGACTGAACATCATTAAAGTAGGCTACCAGAGTTAGCCAAGAGAGAATTAAATATAATTGCTTGCCTAAAGTGATAATATTTTTCTAGCACATCTATTGCATACCAATGAAGGCAGATGATTTCAGGGGGAAGCACTCCTCATTTGGGAGATGGAAAAGATCAAATAAGGGTAATAATTAAGTTACCCTTATGTACACTAGGTGTATGCTGAGCATTGTTTGAAGAAGTCCATGAGGTAAAACACTACTTATTCCAAAATATTCTGTTGAAATATTTGGCTTTCTAAAAGTCAGTAAGTCCTTGTGTATGTGTCATGGAAACGTTATAGAAATCATACGGCCTTGGAAAGAAGGGAGTCCCTTGACCCACTGCACCATTTTAAGACTTACACTCTAAGGAGAGGACTTGTAGTTAAAATCTAAGACAAATAAAAGAAAATTAGCACATTGCTTTTAGTTTTATTTTTAATTCTTTTTTTTTACTCCCCCCACCAAAAAAACCTTTTATACAATAATTTGGATTCAATGATTTCAGTAATTAGGGAAGAAAAATTAGCTATCAAGGAATAAGTCTTGATATTACCTGTTATCTTTTGCTGAATTTATCTTTAACTGTATTCTCATTTCATTACTGTTTCTTGCAAACAAAATAATGGCTTATTGTTGTGTAAAATTAAGCATTAAGTTTATAAAGACTTGCACATATACTCTACAGCTAAGTCACTTGTCTTCATCTGTGTTGATCTTGTTTTGGAAATAAGAGAATAGTGTGTATTTTTGTTAAGTCGCTAATTTGCTTTATTCTTTGCAAACCATAGTAAATGATTTATAGAATTTTTTAATGTAACCATAATGCTTATAATTGAACTATATCAGAATGAAATAAACATATTTCAGAACCCATCCAACTAAATGTAGATAAGAATGCTTTGTTAGGCCTTTTAAGTTGGTGATTCATATGGCACAGTGTTATGTTATAAATATTCAACACAATTTGCTTGTTTTCTTGTTATCCTCTTGTGAAGATATGTTTATTGATTTGGGAGAGAGTTATATTGATGTGAGAGAGAAACATGGATCAGTTGCCTCCCAGGGATCAAATCCACAGCCTAGGTATATGCCCTGACTGGGAATCGAACCTGCAACCTTTTGGTATACAGGATGACATTCCAACCAACTGAGCCACCTGGCCAGAGCCAACCCAATTTGCTTTTGATGGAAAAGTTTTTATGGAAATAGTTTAAACTTCAAAATGTATTTGTATTCAAACTTTGCCGCTCATTAGAATCACTTGTGGACTGATTTAGGAATACTTGTTTCTGTTCCCTACCACTGGCTTTCCAGGACAAGAAGCTGAACCGTAGTGTGCTGGTATATGTTTAACACACCAGTTCTTGGGTGGGAGTGAGTGCTGAGAGGGAGCACCGATTTGCAGTGCTTGCAGATTTCCACGGTGTGAATACTTCCACCATGGCCAGTTTCAAGCTATTAAGACGATAAGATTGAATGTTGGGGAAAAAATGGGTAACATTGTCTAGTGTTTCCTTCCATCATACAGATACAATAAACATATATAACCTATAAGAATAACGATAGCAAAATTTAGTAAAATAATTAGGAAGTGAATAATTTTGAGTTTTTATTACCTTTGTTTTAATAACTGATGGTAAGTTTATATCATTTAATTTTTAATAATGACCATGTTTAACAACCAGCTTACAACGTTTCTGAAAATTTAACCATCGGCTCTCATGAGCTAGTAAAAACTGACTTACACAACACTGGAGGTCTGAGATATTTTTTAACCAACTAATTCAGATGCAGGCAACCTGCCAGCCAGTTCTTTTTGTAAAATACAGATCTGATCCTAAGGCCCAAGAAGGCATTTCGTTCACTGTCATTCACACAATGTCTCGCCCACCTCATTTCCACTCATAGCCATCCCCCTGCGCCTTCTACAATTCACCCATGCTAGGTTTAGATTACTGGCAGCTTCGCAAATACATTTTGCACTTTCCCACCCTCATGGCTTTTCATTATCTTCCTTCAACCTTGAATGCCCTTGACTCATCTGCCTGACTTTTACAGCACTATTTATTTATCCTTCTAGAAATAACTCAAATGCTACTTCCTCTCATTTCCTACTGTTGGAAGCATTCCAGTTCTCCTTGATGTTCTCATAGTCCCTTGTTTATAATTCATTTGGAGTTCAAATTTATCATCAATAACAAATGTTTCACTTAACTAGATTATAAATGGCCAAAGGGTGCCTTTGAATCATACTGTACTTAACACTTGAATATGTGAAAATGATTAATAACACCTGTTTATTTTAATAGAAAGTGTTGTGGATAATGCATGATACATTGTTTACTTTCTATGCCTTTGGGAAATTAACCAACATTTAAACTTTTTTGAATTATATGTTTTCTATCTTTTTTCCCTGCTGAGTAAGGACCATATTAGTAGTTACATGCCTATATCTTGTACCTAGAGAACATGAATAATATGCTGACTCTTGAACTTAACAAAGAACTTCACTAGAGAACATATGAAGCACTTGAGTCGGGGAGAAAAGACTAAATTGTATATGTACATCTGCAAAATATTTTTATTATTCTGATAAAGCACACTTTATATTCTCAGTAAAAGCCAAAAGTTACTTTATAGTGTTCCAAAGTTACATGGGACTTTTGTATTACTAACCTCTAAGAAGCAAAATATCATGCTTTGCTTTACAGTTTGAGAGAAATTTGCTTTTATACATGTCCTTAAGGATAAATTTCTGATATTTTATCTAGAAAATTATCTGATTGCCATCACAATAAGTATTGACAAGCTCTAAGTGTATGGAAGAAATGTTGTTCTAAAGTGAAAACAATCCAGGAATTTTTTGAAGCAAATGAAGTACATTCCTTGTTAGTGGTGTTTTGTGTTTTTCATTTTTGACCCTAAGCTGCCACCTGATGGCAAAAATTAAAATGACATCTTTTGTAATATTAGAAATCTGCATTGCAATTATTTGAATTTTTGCGTATTCAACAAGAGCTTCCAAAACTCCGAATGCACATTTGTACAAATTTTATGAGTTTGTCGACTGGTTGGGACTTCAGGGGATTCAGATTTTTTTTTAACGTTTATGAGACAATGATCCTACTAGTGAGATTTGTTTAGAATCTTAACTTCCTATCTTACTTCTTTTATGGAACTGTGTAAAGACTCTGTTCTTTAATCAGTTTTATTTAATGAAGAATTGTATACGGATCTATTAATTTTTCCTTTCTCTTCCCTTTCTCCAGAACGAGGTCACTCAGACACCGTGGTGTTCTTTTACCTGTGGGTTGTCTTTTGTATCATCAGTTCCTGCTACACCCTCATCTGGGACCTGAAGATGGACTGGGGTCTCTTTGATAAGAATGCGGGAGAAAACACCTTCCTCCGAGAAGAGATTGTGTACCCCCAAAAAGTATGTACAGTTGTTTGCGTTTGTTTAAAAAAACAGAACAAGGTATATCACCAGCTAAATCATATTACAGTATATACCTAATTGCAACCTGATATATTTAGATAAAATAATTTTACTAAAAAAATACTGATTCATTCAGTCAGCAATAACATGTCACATATTTACTATATGCTGGGCATTGTAGAAAATGAAAACAAAATGATATTCTAGTTTCTATAGAGGCCATGAACTATATTATAAACAGATAAGTAAACAGATTGTGATGCAATGTAATAAAGACTAAAATAGAGAAACAAATAGCTTACTATAATTTATGATTTATTTTTGAACATGCAATTCTTTCAACTCAAATGCCCTCTCTCTCCCCTTTGTCTGACTTCCAAATTCTCTTTCTTTTAAAGGTCTGTTTTAGTGTTACTTTCTCTAAGAAGCCTTTCTTTTTTTCTCTAAGCATATTTAGTTACTCGTCCTAATCCCATTTTATTCCATGCAAGCGTCATTATAGCAGTTATCACTGTATTGTAATTATTGTATTATAATGACCTGTTAGGTGCCCCTGTCCCTGGCTGCTCTGCATAGTGTAGCAGACTTAACATCTGTGGGATGAGTCTATAAATACTTGACTTGAGTGAGCAGTGCCGTGAAGGCACAGGACGGTGAGTGCCTGGTTGCGTGGTGCCTCGAGAAAGCTGTTGCTTTCGTTTATTTCAACCAGCTGTGTTTAAAGTGCCTTAGGAGTTACTTTAGGATTTATGTGTATATGAATAACAACATGAGAGAATGAATTAAAAAGTCAAAAAACCAAGAGTATCCTTACTCATATATTGAAAAGAAGTTAAGCAATGAACTGGGAATCTTGGTGAGTTGTAATCCGAGCTTGCTCTCTGGCTACATAACCAGACCACATACAGTGTTTTCTGTTCTATAAAGCAGGTGTTATCTAGGTTATCTCTTGATCCCTTCCCAGTTTGAAAATTCTGTGATTGGGAGAGGAGTGCAGGTTAGGCCACGAATATTTTACACTGTGTCAAAACGTCACCAGTACCTCAAAATGGTACTTTCGGGAATGTGTAATACTCAGTTTCTGAGTAGGCAAGGCTGTTTGCAAGTGTGAGGATTGAAGATAAATGGTAGAGTAGGTTCAAAGGATGATATGTAGGGTAATTTCCCGTAAGCAAATGAAGGCGGAAAAGGGGATATTTGTTGATACTGATCTTTTTTATGCAAACTGTAGCAAAAATTTCAGTATGCAAACTTAGAATATATGACCAAGATACTAGACATACTTCCATAAATCTCATTTGAAAAGAAAGTCAGCCTGGGCTAGTGTATGGCTCAGTGGATTGAGCGCTGGCCTGAGAACCGAAGGGTTGCGGGTTCAATTCCCAGTCACAGCACATGCCTGGGTTGCCAGCCAGGTCCCCAGTGAGAGGCAACCACACACTAATGTTTCTCTCCCTCTCTCTCTCCCTCCCCTTTGTCTAAAAATAAATAAACAAAATCTTTAAGAAAGAAAAAAATTCAGTAATGTAAGCAGAAGTCAGAGAGCAGACATGAGCTCAGGTAAAAATGGCCCTTTGGTGCCCATCAAATGTATGTGCCTTCTTGCTCCTCCTGTGGTTCTTACCTGACAGACAAATAGAACACATTTATATCTAATATGTACTGCTTAGATGAACTGTTTGTATCTTTATGTAAATGTTAATCCATTCCTCCTTTTAAATAGTTTAACTGTTTTCTGTGTAATAAAACTAGTGAATAGGATCTTTCAATTTCTTTATTATTACATATTTTCATGACCCTAGAAAGTATATTATATGCTTTTCTACATCATAATTTGCAGATGTTCTGGATAGGCACAGCCCTTTCAGTTTTGAAAAGGTAAATAGTGGAATATGCCCATTCCACTTGAAAAGGGAAAAATCTATCTGTGGAGGTCAGTGGGGCTTCATTTAAAAATTAAGAACACGGCTCTAAGAACCTTAGAACCAGTTCCCAGGGATTAACAGTGAACCACACTGTTAATAATACTGAGCACCACACCCAGTTCCAGGAAGAATTTTTGTTATTTAAAGGGCTCATTTTTCCGAAATTAATAACGAGCAAATCTATACTGGCAGTTTATGCACAGCGTGGATGGCTGCCACTGTACCCTAAATACTGGGTAGCAGTACCTGGGATTGGTTCGCTGAGTGCTGTGTCCCCTTGTGGAAATGGATGTTCTTTGAATTTGGCCATGTTTGTGAAACCCAAGCTTAATTTCACCTACTGTTATCAAAAAGCAAGGCAAAACCTCCTTCAAATGCAGGGTAAAGCAGTTAGCGAATAACACAGTTAATAAACCTGTTAATCTTTTCTAGTATTAGCTATTGAGTCATTAGCATATCACATACATGTTAGAATGTCATCTCAATCAGACTGAGGATCTCATCTGGCTTGTATTTCTTGGGTCTAGAAGAGAGCCTACTATACAATATGGGAAAGAAATATATTTGTTAAATGGTTACTGAAATTCAGTTCAGCTTCATAATGAGTAAGTATTATACCCTTCAAGAAGATGAAACTAAAATTTTGAAATCTTTTTAAAATGTAAAACTCTTTCTTCTCGAACCTGTGCTCGTTGGTAAGGTGTATACCAGTCTTGTTGCTGTTATAGGTGTACTTGTTTTCGTGAAGCATGGTGATAGGGATACTCAATTTGCTTATTATTCCTCAGGCCTATTACTACTGTGCCATCATAGAGGATGTGATCCTGCGCTTTGCTTGGACTATCCAAATCTCAGTTACCTCCATGACTTTGTTGCCTCACTCTGGGGACATCATTGCTACTGTCCTTGCTCCCCTTGAGGTTTTCCGGTAAGCAAACTGCTCAAAAGTTTATCAAGGATGCTTTTTACCTAAAAGATGTCTGAATTAACATTTATTAAAACTTACACTTGAAAAGCTTAAATTTTACAACTTTCCTCAGTGTTTACCCTCAGAGCTGGAAAATCCTACAAGACTAAGAGATGAAGCCTTACAAAGTTAAATAAGTGATGTTGATGACATACAAGCTTTTTCAGAATTGGGCTCCATCAGAAGGGCCATGCATACAACTGGGGAAGTAAAAAGTCTTAGAAATTAAAATCTTTTGAGAATCATTTTTTATAATTTGTCAGTCTTAGTTTGTCAGCCTAACTTTCTCTCTAGAAACAAACAAACAAATGCTGGGTTATGTTTAAAGTCTTCCTAAAAACATCAGTGATCTGACAAGATAGCCCAAAATCTAAGTGAAAGCAGGTACCCCACATACGCAGAGCCCTAAAGTCAATTTTGCGCTAAAGAAATTTGCCAGAAAGACTTGAGATTCAATTGTGTTAGCCAGTTCAAATATGTATGCACCTAATAACATAGCTTATAAGTATGACACTGCTAAAAATAGAAATAGATATTTATAATTTTAGAGGAAGATTTTAATATACCTTTCTCAGTAATAAACAAGTAGTTGGTTAACCAACATGACCTAATCGACATGTGCAGGGCACTACATTCAACAACTACTAAATACACATTCTTTCCAATGCATGTGGAACATTTAACAAAATTAGCCATATGTGGGGCCATAAAGGAAATTTGAGAGGATTAGAAATCACAGAAATATACCTGAAAGTTCCCAAATGCTTAGCAGTTAAGCAGTACATGTCTAAATAACCCATGGGTCAAAGTTGAATTAAAATGGAAATTAAAAAATACTTTGAACAGAACGAAATTGAAAATGTGATGAAAGAAGATGTGGATTGCAGCTAAAGCCATGGTTAGAAGGAAATGCATAACCTTAGATGTATATATTAGAAAAGTGTACAGTGCAAGAAATTAGAAAAATTTAAAAATCAGACCCAAAAGAAAGAAGAAGGAAGGAAATATAAAGAACAAATTAATGGAAAACCAAGTTTTCTTTTAAAGAACTTTAAGTTCTTTAAAAAGACCAATAAAATTGATAAAATGTCTGCACAGGACAGATCAAGCCAAAAAGCAAGTAGGTACAAATTACGACTGTAAAAAACACTGAAGATTTTTTAAAAGATTAAGATGACATTGAATAATTTTATGCCAATAAGTTTAAAAATAAAGATGAAATAGACAGATTCCTCAAACAGTACAGTTTACCAAAACCAGTAAAGAAGAAATAGAAAATCAGATAGCCTTATATCTATTAACAAAATTAGATCCATATTAAAATCTTCCCCACAAAGAAAACTACAGGCCTGGGAAAGTCTTCCAAATATATGAGGAGGAAATATGATCAGTTTTACAGAAACTCTTCCAGGGAAAAGTGGCAATAAAATGAAGTTGGAGCACTTCCAAGTTCATTTTATTAAGCCATCATGACTTTGATATCTGAACCTACAGAGACATTTCAAGAAAACCAATCTGTCTCATGCACAGAGATGCAGAAATTCTGAATATGAGCTAATGAATCCAACAATCTATAAAAAGGATAATACATCACAAACAAGTTAGGTTCATTCTAGGAATGTAAGATGAATATTTAAAATCATTTAACATTTAAAAATCAGTCTACATAACTCACCAGATTAATAGAATAAAGGGGGAAAACCCTCAATATATGCAGAAAACACTACTGAAATAAGTCAGTACCTATTTATGAAAAAATAGGCTATCTACAAAAAAGGTAAACAACATCATATTTAATGGTAAAACACTGTAAGCTCTCCCTTGAGATCAGAAGTGTGATCAGTATGCCTGCTGGCACTATTTAGCATCATACATGTACGTATAGCTAGTGCGATGAGGCGGGGCAGTATGAGGGTTAAAAAGGAAAAAACAAAAGTATAATTACTTACCAATGACATGATTGCATATGTAGAAATTGAAGAGAATATACAAATACACTATTAAAATGACTGTAGCTGTGTCCCTGAGTACAGAGTTGATATAAATGTAAATTAGCATTCAAAAAAAGTCACAAACAACTAGAAATGAAAATTTTGAAAATCATACCATTTTGAATAACGTCAGAATATATCAAATACGTAGGAATAAATTTAGTGAAATACGTATGTGTGTGAAATTGACAAGCCAGTTCTAGAATTTATATGGAAATAGTAAGGATCAAAAAAGCTAAGACCATCTTGAATAGAACAAAGTTAAAGGGCTTACTCTCTCTAACATCAGGATTTATTATATAGTTACAGGAGCTAAGACAGTGTCTGGTGTTGGTGCAGCAAAGACAGTGTCCACTGAAACAGAATAGGAAATCCAAACACCCACACATAACATTATTGATACTACCTAATTTATGACAAAGGTGGCTAAGTAACTGGAGAAAAACAGGTCTTTTGATAATGATTTTGAATCAACTACAACCAATATGGGTGGGGGGTGAATCTCCTACAGCAGACTGTATGCAGAATCAGTTTCAGGTGCATTGCAGAGCTAAATATGAAAGGTAAATTGGTGAACTTCCTAAATGATAACATAGGGGACTATAAATTTAGGCTTCTGGTGTAAGGTAATGTTACATTCTTACTTCTGAGAGGCAATTACACAGTGTGATCACTTTATAATAACAAGCTTGCTGCACTTTTTACATGTGTATGCTATGCTTGAACCTAAATACTTATTTAAAAACAAAGCCTCCCAAAAGAAAGTATTATCTTCAAAAAAGTGGCAGTTCAGTTGACAACTGACTTCTCAATAGCAACAGTGAAAATCAGGAGTCACTAAAATGATATTATCAGTATTCTGAAAGAAAATGCTGCCTATCTGGAACACTTTACCCAGTGAAAATATGTTTCACAAATGGAGGTGAAATAAAGATGTTTTCAGACCAGGTATTTAACATTCCTCTGCATCAGGATGGGTGCATTTAGCAGGGCTGGCCTGATAAAACAAGGTAGAACCTAGAAACAAAAATAAACCTGACAGATAAAGATTGACTCTAGGAACAGTGTATTTCTTCTTGTCAATGTTCTCTCTAAACCACTTGTCAGCTCTTCTCCTTCCCAGACTCTTCGTCACCACCAGGCCCTCCCCATCCTGTTATTTCTCTTTCATGTATGCTGCTTTATAGATGAAGTTTTTTTAGTTTAAAAAAACCCTAATTACTTTTTCATTCTTATTTCTTTAATTTTTTTTTTTTTACTTAACACAATCAGATGTTCTATCACCGATTTAAAACAAAAGCAAAAAAACTCCTGAATCTACTTTCCTTCCCCAACTAGCGCCCATTTTTTGCTCTCCTTTACAACAAGGTAAGAGATGTCTGTGCTTCCTGTCTCCATTCTTTCACTCTGCCCCCCCCCATGTCCCTTTAATTCAACTCAAGTGTTTCTCCCAATGCTCAGTACTAAATCACTTTTGTTAATAACCTCTAGTAATATCAAACACCTATATATTTCCCACTAGGTACCTGGCACAGTCCCAAGCCCTTTACCTGTATTAACTTATTGAATGCTCACAACATCCTGTAAAGTAGGTAGTTACTGTTCCATTTTACTGGTGACCCTGAAGCATCGGTTAAGTAACTCGTCCAAGGCTATGATACGAATTTATCATAGTATGCCCCTTACTAGGCTCCACCTAGTAAGTGGTGGAGCCATGATTCGAATTTAGACAGTCTCCCAGAATGTGTGCTTCTGGATCTTACGGCCTCTTTATTTTGCTAAATTGAGTTCTCTACTTATTTTACCTCTCAGCAAAGCACTTTCCTCACTGAGTTTATTTTTTGTTTTTTTGTAAACACACTCTTCTGTCTCAGTAACTATTCCCTCTTGACTCCTTCACTGGTTCTTCCCCTTGCTCTGCCCTCATCCCTCCTCCACTCACATTATTCCTAAGCCCAGGACTTGAAATACTACCTTTTTGTTGTCTCCAGCGCTGACTCACCCTTGAGCTGCAGACTCATGTCCACCCAGCAACTGAATTCCCCCCTTGGATATCTGATGGCTCTAGCCTGATAGGAACAACGCAGATCTTTAGTAAATGGTTGTCACCATATCCGGGGTCCAAAACCCAAGACCATTCACATCCCAGAAAGTCCTGTCAGCCAGCTCCGTCTTCATAAATAATCCCTGGTGTGCCTGCTTCTCTGTCACTACCACCCTCATCAAAGGTTCCATCTCTTCCCTGGACGACTACAACAGCGTAGTCTTCCTTCAGCTGCTCTTGCCTCCCACTAATCTATTCACAGTGCAGCAAGTAGAATGATCTTTTCAACACAAAGCATATCATTCTTCTGCTCAGAACTCACCTTGTTTTCTATCACATTTAAAATCTAAACTCTTTACTGTGGCATTAAGGCCCTCTGTGGTCCAGGCTCTTTTCTACCTCGCCATGTTCATGTCCTGCCATTGTAGCCCCTGTTCCACTCCACCCCTGCTGACCACCTTCTGCTGTTTCAGCACACCAACGGCCTTTCCAGCCTGGGGCCTGTACTCGCTGTTCCGTCCGCCTAGGACACTTTCTTCAGGATTTTACATGGCTTGCTTCCTTGCGTCATTCAGTTTCTGCTAGATGCCATCTCTGCAGAGAAGCATGCTCTATCCCCTTGCCCTGCCTTATTTTCTTTAGCACACTTACCATTAGCTGATTACTTACTATGTCTCTGTCACTGGAAATCATACCCCATCAGGACAGAGGCTTGGTCCGTCTCGTTCAGTGCCTTTTCCTGTCATGTTGTAGACACCCAGTAAATACATGTTCGGTAAACTGGAAGAATGAGTATTATGCAGCTGCATTCCATGAGTCTCTTCCCTTTGCCCACTTCACTCTTGTTCCCCTACCCCCTTTCCATGCCATCTTTTCCTAATTTAGTTTAATATTCTAACCCTTGCCTCCTTGTTTTTTGCTGCTGTGTGTGGAAACATGATCTACAGGAAGGTTTACAGGTTACAGTAGTGCGTTCACATGTTATAAGTAACTTGCCTACTCTATTCCATTGTGCTAAGGCGATTTGTGTGGAACTTCTTCCGCTTGGAGAACGAACATCTGAATAACTGTGGTGAATTCCGTGCTGTGCGGGACATCTCCGTGGCCCCTCTGAACGCTGACGATCAGACACTTCTAGAGCAGATGATGGACCAGGAGGACGGAGTTCGGAACCGCCAGAAGAACCGACCGTGGAAGAACAGCCAGAGCATATCCCTGCGCCGGCCTCACCTCACTTCTCAGTATGTATGGCTTCCGCTTCCGGGAGACAAATTTCATTCCAGTTTAATGCACTGGAGCTGAGATGCTCTCAGGGTGAACCAGGTGAATTGGCTGGTGATCATTTTTCACCTGCAAAAAACAGCAGTAACAATAATTTCATAGGATCCAACCTATAGAATGTCTTCATGAGCACACAGAATAAAATGACATTAATACATTAATTAATGACTACTGATTTAGTGTTATAAGTACAACGGGGAAAATTTGTTGGGGAATAATTTATTTGACTCCTCGGTATGTTTTGTATACAATGAATTTTCATGTCACCAACCGCAGGAATCCTGGCTCTACCACTGCCATCGTGTGGCCTCTGCTGAAGTACTTAATTTCTGCAGATTGGCCCTCAACTGTCGATTGGGATCAGAATGGCCCCTGTTCATAGGGTGGTTAAGTGGATTGAATTTGTTGAGATGTGGCATTTAGACCAGTTTCCTCACAGAGAAAGCTCAGGAAGTACTTAAAAGCTATTTTAATTTTTTTCCTAAATACCTGCAGTAGTATTTTTTATCAGTCATTGACTTTCTGTGTCCCTAAAAATAACAATAAATATAGGATGTAGGGCTACATCTGAAATTTAGAGATAGTGTATAGTATATCATAGTGGATTGGAATGAAAGAGAAGACTTACAGTCAAGCATGAGCAGCTTTCTAAAGGATGCGGGAGTGTGGGAACAGGCCAGAGGCGCGGTAAAGACAGCGGTGCGAATGCGGGGCAGAAAGAAAAGCCATGTGACTAGAACTATAGCAAGAAAATGTAGCTGAATAGGTGAAGTATGATTGTAAAATGCTGAAAAGTGCAAGGTTGATCATGTAGGCAGGAAGGAGTCACAGAGAATCTTTTCATAGAAGAATGAAAGTGGTATTTTTGTAAGATTTAATGGTGCTGCAATATATACTTTTCAGTATTTTTAAGTATGGGACAACAAGGATTTGGATTAGAATGCTTACAGTAAGACTAAAAGGAATACAGGAAAGTAGAAAATAAGAGGTATAATGATAACATATAGAGGAACAGGGTATAAGTTGCCCAAGTTTTAGATAGAATTTGGAAATTCTCTGAAGAGAGGAAGGTAGAAAAAAAAGAGCAAGGAACTAAGCCTTAGGGAACAAACACAGGCAAGGGAAAAAATTCAATGAAAGGGGCAGAAAAGGGATGGTCAAGGGTCAGTAGGAAGAACTTCAAAACACAAAGCATGATATTACAAGCAAGGAAGCGGGAGGAGGGGGTGTGGGGACTCGTGGGGTCAGCAGATAAATGCCATGAAAGGCTGAAGACAATGCTGCAGGTCCTGTCTCACTGAGCTCCTAAATTTGAAAATCTAGTCTTTGTTAGTTGCCAGCAGAGGGCAGCCTAAACGTGCACTTTCTCTGTTTCCAAAACAAGGAAGCCCTTTGGCAATAGGTTATGTTCAATTTCAGGTTGTTGGTGGAAGAACACTGGAGTAGTAAACTGCAACCAGAGGAAGATGGTTAGAATAGTAGAGCAGGTTTATGCAAGGAGAGGGCAGGGAATCTAAAATAAAGTCTGGAGTTGAGTATTTTGGGACTCATGCAACCTGTAACTTGTCCTTAACTTTTTTGAATGTCAGTTCCCACCTCTGTCCAGCAGGAATAATACTGCCCACTCCGCCAGATACCACTTTCAACTCAGGGGGCTCATCAGTTGTAGAATATCTTAATAATATTATCTAATCCCTTTTTTAATGTTCTTCTTTTTCTTTTTAAAGATTTATTTATTTATTTTTACAAAGAGGGAAAAGAGGAGAGAAACATCAATGTGTGGTTGCCTCTCACATACCCCACTAGGGACCCAGCCCACAACCCAGACATGTGCCCTGATTGGGAATTGAACCTGTGACTCCTAGGTTCGCAGGCCCACCCTCAGACCACTGAGCCACACCAGCCAGGGCTAATCCCATTTTTCGTTCAATGAAGAAATCTCTTCCACAGCATCCTGAAGAGGTGGTCATCGTATGCTGATTGATAATCATCAGTGGTAATGAAGTTTATAATCACATGAAGCATGTGATTTTATTGTTGGATACTCACCATGGTAGATAGCTTATGTGGGGCTGAGGTATGTTTCACTATAACTTCAGTCAGTTGATCCTACTTGGGCTCTTTAAGATAACAGTCTCTACCCTGATTGGTGTGGCTCAGTGGAGTCAGCATCGGGTCACCGCGGGTTTGATTCCCAGTCAGGGCACATGTCTGGGTTTTGGGCCAGGTCCTCAGTAGGGGGTATGCAAGAGGCAGCCACACATTGATGTTTCTCTCCCTCTCTTTGTCCCTCCCTTCCTTGCTCTCTAAAAATAAATAAATATCATATTTTAAAGATAACAGTCTTCTCCCTCTTCTACATCATACCAGTCAACTGTTTGAAGATGCCTGCCATGCCTCTCCTTAGATCTTGTTCTCTGCAGGCTCACTAACTGTCCTGGTTTTCCTTGTGCCTCAAGTGGCATTTCCGTCCTCATCAGAATTCATTATATTTGTTGGATGCTTTACTGATGCTTTGTACATCCATTTTCTTACTCAATATTCATACTGTCCCCATGAGGTGAGAGGAGCATTATGTGTAACGTGTACTGTTATTACTGCCTTACAGAGATGCAAACTGGCACTCAGAGGTTAAATAGATACATCATGAAATCAAAGCCAGTACTCAAACTCACATCTCCTTGTTCTTACTACCTTCCGCTGGTTGCAGTCTAGTTTCTTGGTGTTTCCCTAGTAATCCCTTAAACTGAATTCGAAACTCCCGAGTAGTCCACCTCGTACAGTAACGTAGCCCCTGTCTGGTAAGACCGGAAATGGACCTGATGCTGTGCATGTGTTTTGTGTTTTAATAATGGACTGAGTGCTCTGTTTTGCTCTTTCCCCCCTTGCTACCACCAGATCCAAGACTCGTGACACTAAGGTATTGATAGAAGACACAGATGACGAAGCTAACACTTGAATCCTCTGAAGTCTAGATTCACGCCCTTGGTTTTCCTACTCTACCATTCTTTCCTCGACCAACTCAACCTCCAGCACCTTTCCAGCCGAAAACAGGAGAAGACACGTGACACACTTTCCGAGCTCTTCCAGATCGGATCCTATGGACTCCAAACAAGCTCACTGTGTTTCTTTTCTTTTGGTTTAATTTTCATTTTCTATTTTTAAAACAAATATTTACTTCATTTTGCCAATCAGAGGACATTTTAAGGAACAAAAACAGTATCTTACGGATTGTTTACAACAACAAGGACACAGAAACCTATCAGGACGAAGAACAGGCATTGCAGGGACCCTCTGCTGGGACGGTACTGAGATACTTTGGCTTCTGCTTGGCCCGGTTTTGACTGGTTGAAACCGGACATGGTTTTTAAATTTTTTGTCAATGTATGTGGAGAATTTTTTCCTTTCCTTCATACCCAGCGCAAAAGCACTGGCTGCACTTGCAGGAAAAGTGCAACTTAGAGCAGTACCTTCATTCATGAAGCTACTTTTTAATTTGATGTAACTTTTCTTATTTGGGGGAGGGTTGCTGGGTGGGTGGGAAATACGATGTATTTGTTACATATAGTTTTCTCATTATTTATGAAACTTAACCATAAAAGAATGCTATAACTCCTGTGCAGTGAAGGTGGTAACAGTGAAAGAAGACCGGGAAACTAATGTTGGACGGCGTTTAGGAGGGTTTAGTCCACAATACCTCTTTCATGAGACAACTCGCACCCATTTGACCTTTTCTTTTCTTTCTTTTTAATTTTAAGCCAAAGTTTTATTACTGATTTCTTAAGTTGCTGCTGCTTTAGAATTCTGAGCATGTCTCTAGTAACAAGCATCCATACACTTTCACACAGCCGGCTGAAATGTATCTAAGAGTTCTAATACCTTTTGTTCCTTTTAAGGGGCAGGTGTGGAATACATACGTGTTCCAACCGTAACAATGAAAAGTTATGCCTTGTTAAGCTTCAGCATGTAGAGTAATTGAAATATAACCTTTACTAATTCTAAATTAGGAGACAAAGCTATTTCAGAGACTCTGCACCCTCATTGGATAGCTTTTCTTCTGGGCTTACTTCCCTTAGCCAGAATGTGATCAAATTAAGTCTATCTTGGGGAAACCATGTTTTCGAGAGCATAGAACAAATTAGCTTTCCTCTTTCATATAACACTGATAAAAAAGACCTTGGCAGCCATTTCTCCCTGCAGTTTTAAAGGATAAACATGGATTTCATACTGTCCTATAATATAAAGCCTGCTTTTAAAATTTTCAGGGTCTAAGCTTGGTCATACACAAAAAGTATATTTTTCTTAGACATTTCAGACTATCATGGTCTATAAACAATGCCCAATTTCACTTTTTTGTCTTATTTCTTTCCTGTGTTCCTAACCCTAACCCAAATAAGCCCCAGAACTCTAAGGGATTATACTTTCTTGAATGTGGTTGGCATTAAATTTAGCATTTCATTATTTAACAAAATTGATAAAGATGCCAAGAAAATTAAAATATATTTTAATCTTCCCTTCCCGCAGATCTGGATAAAGATTCCAAAGTAGACATCAGTTGATTTGTGAAATTAAATTACTTCTCTCATTTTCAGCTTCATTTTAGACAAAGGAATGAAAGAGTAGAAGGGGCAGCTGTTATCAGTTATTTAGTCTTAAAGACAAATGGTTACTGCCCCTTAATGCACCCTCTGCCGTCAGCTCTTCTGCCACACATCACAAGTGTTTACTCATCCTGGTCATAATTTCAGGAGATTATATTACAATTACTCTTACAACCAAAATTCTATCGATTAATGGACAAATAGTTTCTTTTTAAGGAATTTCTTCCATCTTGATTCTGAAAAGTTTCCACAATTTCCCTTTCTGAATAGAGGTTTTTTTTTCCTCTTTTTTGAGATATACAACTTTTTGGCTTTGACTGCTTTGCTTTTTGTGTGTGTGTTTTACCAAGCACGTCCCTTGTCCCAGAACTGAAGAGGAAAAGTTTAATTACTGAGTTTTATTTTTTAGTTTAAATAAATTGAATCATTTATAATAATCAGTGGTAACAAGTTATTGCCCCTTAATAGATGAAAGTTTTGCATTATTTATACTTGAGATTTTTTTCCGAACTATTGTGTTTGTACTTTAAAACTATGGGTGAAATAATACTGGTCTGTCAAGAAATAGCAGTTAATTATTACTGAGTTATATAAATAAGTCCAGTGGACCATTAATTTCTTATACAAATAAAACTGATGGTACTAATGTGTATCCAGAGCTATTTGAATGATCAACTTCATTCTTTATTAGTTAACCTATATAATGACACATAAAATCTTACAATTGATTTCTGGCATATGAACTGTGTCCTATGGCCAATCTGGTCTGTCTTCAACTGTTACGATTCTGGGCCCTAATCAGTATTATTTATTCATAGGTAATATAATGTTAGAATGTATTTCTTTTCTGGTGTATTTGTCCTATTAGTAGAGTCTGTTCTGAAATGATAAGGCTTACATAACTTTCAGCTTACCATGACAGTCGCTTAAATATGTACTCAGACACACACAGCGTGATGTTCCTTCCAAAGCTGTAAAGAGAAAAGAGGGCTCTTCCTTATCAGGAGGAAGTAGTTTGGGAGACAGAACATACCTTTAATTTTTTTCCTCCAAAAAAGGCAGTGTGCATTTTTCTCTCCTAAATGTTTTGTGTCCTAGCAGTTGTGAATGCTATGGCCTGCCTAAAGTTTTACTGGAGACTCCTGTGCACCGAAACGCTCAGTAGGACTCTTAGGAAATAAGTATCACAGAGCCACTTAAAAGGAACAGCAATCTAACCAAAGGTAAAACTCCATCTAATTTTAGGTTTAGAAAATCTAATTGTATTTCATTTGAGAATGGCACAACTTCTGATAGTTAAAATACTCCCCAAAGGAATGTAAAAGAAGTATAAGCAAAAGAATAAAGTTCACCTTTCATTTCATGATAGAAAGCGTGGAAAGCATTGATGTGTGTAGAGAAACCAGAAGACAGAGTGGCTTATTTTCTACGCACAAACGTGCACCTGTATTTAAGGACGCCTGTACCATTAAAATGGAATAGTTGATGATTTCATATCATCCAGAGAGACAACAAAATAATCAGAGATTAATTAGGTTATTAATTAGATTGTTTTTAAGATTGGAAAGAAGTTGAAAACCCATGTGCAACTTTCTTTTCCAGCATCTACCATTTTTCTCCCTAAGAAAGTGCTTCCAATTCAGAAGCAGTGGTGTGAGAGAATGCCAGCCACCTCAGCAGTAACCTCTGTGGACTCTTAAAGAAGGAAAATGGGGCCCAGCCCCAAGGATCCATGGCTTCCCAGTATTCTCAACATGACAGTTCTAAGAAATGAACCGAGATTTTACTAGAAGTAAAATGCATCATGGTTTGACTGAAATACATTCATGATAACTAGAGAAAGCAGTTCATCCTTTCTTATCAGGTAAACTAATACAAATTAAGAATCAAAGAAAGTAATCCATTACTGAATCATGCAGGCATTAAAGAGAAATCAAATCATTGTGGCAATGGCAGAGAGGAGATGGAGGATGTTAGAACTTGGAAACAGATGCAGGGCAGTTAGGAAGGTCTGTGAGCTCCATGGCATAGAGGTGATGCCTTGCTGTCTCTCCCTTCAGTGGTTTTGTCTCTGGTAGAGACCTGCCTTTATTTCCCTGCCATCTTTTTCAGTTACTTTGCATTATTCGGGAAATAGTTCTTTATGCCAAATGTAATTTTCTAAGTAATGACTAGAGAAATTTCTTAGTGTAAGGAAAATAATTTAGAAAACAATCCTATCCATGGCATTATTTTATTCAAAAACTTAGAATTCTCTAAAGTTATTGCACTTTATTTGGTAAGCAAATTCCAAGTTATTTTCTTTAATAGATTGCATAAAATTTGCCTTTCTTAAAAAGTTAGTACTTCTTGCTGTATAGCATTTAAATTATTTTAAATTAAGATAGCTTCTCAGATTTAAAAATAATCATGTTGAATCTATGGCTTTCTCAACTGCAAAATCACCAGGCTTCTACCTAATCTAAGTAAAAAGTCAATAATATCATTACATATAAGGTCTATAGTCACTAGGTTAAGACAATAAAAGTTCTGGTAGAACTTCAGAAAAATTCAGGTGAAGGGTAAATCAAATTTATCAGCTTAGTTCATTTTCTGTTTATGATGCATCTAGATTTTATTTTTGGCTTGTGATGATAAAGCTGAAGCAAAGGGAGTTAAGGTGAGATTTTATAAATTACTTGAACATACATTTCTGCATTTGAGTTATCAGTGACAGTAAATTTTAAAAGCTAACTTACTGCATTGAATTTCAATCTATACAATGTCAGAGCACAGTGGTAATATGGGATAGAATTGATTATATTAAAGCATAAGAAATTTGTGCTCATCAGTGCTACAAAACTAATAATTTTACTAGCATTAAACCACATTCCGCCCACCAAATATGAAAAAGTAAAAGCATCTTCTTAGATTTGGAAGAGCTTAATTTGAGCGCTATGGGAAGTTTGCCTGGGAATGGAGAGGAGCCTGCTAGTCAGAATGGCTCATAATGCCTTTCTTGTATGAATTGGCAAAACTCTTTTCTTGAGTTGCCCCTTAAAATAGCCTTCCAGAATGCATTAGCTTACCATGGAAGAAGAAGGAAGAGGGACAAGATGAGAGTTTCCCCTAAGGATCAATATAGTAATTCTCATCTAATGTGTGTATCCTTGTAGCAGACCTTTGGTTTATTTTATTAAATCAAAGCTACCTTCAGTTTTTTTTTATGGTGCCATCAACCTAAGAAGGACAATCAAATAACCAATTGTTTGCCTTTGATTCCATGTGTCTGCTAATTACACAGTCTCATCTGTATACCTTCAGCCCAGTTACTTGACTAAACTTCCACCATATTACCTTAGTTCTTCCTATGCCCTTTCCTCCGACTACCACCAACCAGGAGGAGGAAGACTTACTACCCAAAAGACATGGACTTCTAAGGAAGAGCAAGGATTCCATCTCACTAACCCTCTATCATGATCTCTGAAGTCCCCATCCACTCTCCGGATTGTCCTGTAGCAACACCAGCATGGTGGGAATAATCAGAAAGATTGTGGGGAATCTCAAAAGAGTCATTGATCGTGACATTGTTATTGTTTTGAACTACAAAAACGTGAGCCACTTGACACATTTTCAAAAAGAGCAGAACTCTTAAGCTTGATCACATCGCAAAGATTAATTTCTTGCTATTTTCCAGATTAGCACAGAAGCTTGTATCAATGAAGAGTATTTAGGAGGGAAGTAGGGTATAAAATGTATCTGTTTTTTTTTCAAACCCTCTTCCTCTGCTCATATTTCCTTTCACCCCCTACCACATCGTGTTGGTCAAATGATACTATTCTATGAAACCCTGAGCTATAGTTGTCAAAAGTAACTATGGAATGTGATTAGTCTTCTGTGGGTGCTTCTTTCCTTCTTTTTTCTCCCTTGCTTTCTTTCTTACTCTCTCTACTCCGGTAAATGGAAAAGGTGACGTCAAAGAATCGATGCTTGCTTGGACTCATGTTGTATCTGTGACTATGCTGTTAGCTGTCTCCTTTTTCCTAATATGGGTAGAATTCTTCTGAAGTGTGGAGTTCCCTTCTTGATAAGTAGGTTAAATGCACAATGTGGTACTGTTTTGTAGTTTCTAGATGGTTGTATAAAGCAAAAACTTAATGTGGTTATGTGTTTTTAAAAGAAAATAAGTGATTGGTTATAAAACTCTGTCCTTTTTTCATTATTACAAGCTTTCTCTGTTTTCCAACAGTTTGCTGACTCCTTTGTCACTGGCAAATGGTTTGTGATTGTGGTTTTTCTCTCTGGGTTTTTTCAATTCCTGAACATGCTTCCTCTTAGGACTAAATTATAAAAGGGCTTAGGTCACACTTCAAGAGTGAAAAAGGTTTTAACTCTTTTGTTAAGTTAAAAAATAATCTTAAATGACCTTTATTTTCTTCAGGTAATTTATGAATTGTGACTTTAATGGGATTGATGTAACAGGTCCTTTTTGGTTTTGTTTTTACTCACACAAAGAATTTCAAGATTTAGGTGAAATGATCTGTTCAGTTGTATTTTGGGGGAGCTAGACACCTTCTATCACTACATACCCATGCCCTGTGTGGGAACATAGAACCTTCTGTAGAATTCCTGGATTGGTTGTCACTCCTTATGTATGTCTGTCTAGGAAAAAAATTTAAATTAACTAACCCTAAGATGAATGAATATACTCAAAATGCAAAGAGAAAAACATTTTATTGGCTAAAGCATAAAAGCATTTTTATTTTAATACCACAAGCTCTGTTCTTACTCTATTTCTATGTAGGCTAAATCAGAATGTGATAATGTGGAGTTTCCAGACTAAATCCAAGGTAAGTTGTAAGTATATCTGAATCACCAGATACTTAATACCCCTTCCTATAATCTGATATTAATACATACTCAGCCTTCGTATGCATATGGTACTAGACATTTTTTGAACACATAGCATCTCAGATACATGGGTTAGCAGTTATCTCAATTCGTAGATAAAAAGACAAAGACCTAGACCAGCTGAGAGTGCAGTCTCAGACAATTTTCCAGAGGCCATTCTCTGTTCACTTGTCTCAGACGTGTCCAGGACCTTTGGACTGTTTCCTGACTTGTATCTTTATGTGGACAATTTTGATTAAATCTTTTTTCTAAGTTTATGAGAATAATAATGACCAGTCGTATACTTCCTGATTTACTTCTTTTTCTAGTTTTCCACCTCTTCCTAAGAAAATTGATAACCTTTTTAATTTTTAAAAATTTAGCATGCAGTTATTGAGTACCTGTCATTATAGGTTTATGGAATCAAGCAGGGAAAGGTGATAAAATTATTTCTAGACTACTTATCTGAAACCACTGCCGAAAAGGCCAGACTGTCTCGTTATTAGATGTCCGCTCCTGTGCAAACTGAGTTTTCTCCAGTTAGAGATTCCTCTTCACCCCTTCCTAGGTGGGTGATATTCTCTAAAATCATTCATCCTTTTAAAAATAAAAATATCAGATCTGACAAGATTAATTTCTTCAGAACTTCAGAGTGCAAAAAAACTATTCTTATAATTCACTTAAAATGTACTTATTAGGAATGTGTTATCTGAATGGATATCCTTTTTTTTTAACAACTAGGGACAGCTTCCCACCCAGAAAACACTTAAATGTTATAATTAACAAATACATTAGCCTCAAAGTTCAACTAGTGTTTATCTTTGTAAAGTGAAGTTTTCTCCCGAATATTAATATATTTTTGTATTGGCCGTATAGCTGAATGAGAATGAGGATGATGATGGCATTCTCCCTTGCTCCAACTTGGGCAGCCCATGGCTCCTTTTCTGCCTAAGTGAATAGCATAACCAATGTTCATGTATGATTTTGGAAGTAGGTTTACGATGCTATTTTATTTTGTTATAGAGTAGGGTCCCAGGGTTGGCGCCTGATCAGGGACCGTGCCTGGATTGCGAGTTTAGTCCCGTCAGGGCACATACGAGAAGCAGCCAATCAGTGCTTCTCTCTCCCTCTCTCTTTCTCCCTCCCCGTCTCTCTAAAAATAAATGAATAAATACCTTATAAAATAAAATAAAGTAGAACGTAAGTTTATAGGTAAGGAAAAAACAACCCAAGAGAAACAGGCATGTGACAGAATCCAGGAGAAGCTAATTAATTTGAATCCCCCAATCCTTTGCCACTTTACTGAATTTAAAAGTAGTATATATTGTGTGAAGTAAACAGAAATTTGTTTATTTGTGGCTTCTTAAATACTGCCTTCTGACCAGATGAGTCAGGAAAATTAAAAATTTCAGTTAATCAGAGCTTTTGTATCCCTTCAATGAGGAAGTACCAAAGACAGGTCAAATATTAGTTTGCCAAAGATTATTCCTGTCTACTATTGGATTTAGGCATATTTTTCTGCACTTCCATGTTTTCTGCACTTAGAAAACTTGAAGCCCCTCCCAGGCAGCCCTGGTCAAAAGCCTCGCTGGGTAGGGTGTGTGCCCAGCTGCCCGTGATCGAGCTCTGGAAGACATACCCTGGGGTCCTTGTGGGGCAGTGCCCCCGCAGGCTTGGCTAGTCTGGAGCACTAGCGGTAATACAAGTCAGCAAAGAAGAGACATTGGTTTTCCACGTGTGCTTTGTTGTCACCAGGAAGCCACACAAAATCATACTTGCTAAAATGTTTTGAACTTTCAGTAGTAGGGGCTTAATATTTGTTCAACGAAAAGGTTAACCTCTAGATCCTGTCAGTAGATGAGCTGCCGAGTGAAGTTAGGAGGTACTTGGCCTTTCTGATTGACTGCCCAGAGGCGGTGCCTGTTAGAAATGCCTGCTCACTGGCCAGCTGGTCAGTTTCCTCATTTTGATCCTGTGTGAAAACTGGATTCTAGTGCTGCTTCATCCTGTGGACATTCTACTCTGACCCACAAGGACAGACCGAGTTCTCCCCGGACAGAGCAGTCTGCTCACCCTCATTGCCTCCCACAGGCAAGGTGCATCAGTGCACATCACGCAGGGTCAGCCAGCTCCGTTTGCAGGGGAGAGAACCAGTGTTCAGTGACTGGCCTTGGATGCTGCAGTGATCACTGAACCTAGGACCAGCACCCAGTTCTCACTGACTTTATAGCCCACGTTCACTCTCCCTGAAAAAGGGGTGGGGGCTGCTTACCTGCTTCGCAGTCAAAACTACAAAGTAGCTGGTGAGTTATTGCTTCTTTCAAAAGCTGTGCTTGGTCAAGATCGGAATGTAATAACTATTTTAGGCCCTGGCTGGTGTAGCTCAGTGGATTGAGCACGGGCCTACGAACCAAAGGATCGCAGTTTAATTCCCAGTTAGGGCACATGCCCAGGTTGCAAGCCAGTTCCCAGCAGGGGACACACAAGAAGCAACCATATATTGATATTTCTCTCCCTCTGTCTTTCCCTTCTAAAGATAAATAAAATCTAAAAAATAAATAAATAAAATTATTTGTCCTCTGCCCCCAGGGAAGACAGCTGGTGGGATTCTTTTAGAAACTAAATAGTAATAAATTAGCTCCCTGCTTTTCGTAGGAGTCCTCTCTCTTGAGCCAACCACCTTCCTTCTCTTTCTTTCAATTGTTAAAATCTTCACTGGTGGTGAATGGGGATGGTACACTGAGGATGACACAGACTCGCAATGTATTCAGCATTTGAGAGGAGATACTAGCTTTAGAGCAGTGACATTGGGCTTTTGCTCAGTGCCATCGATGCCAATAGAAGGATAACAGACAGCGGAGGACCAGGCAATGGAAAGCCACGTGTGGAACCAGACGACCTTTTTGGTTGATACAAAGAAGCTCCCATCCCCTCCAGTGGGAAGGAAGAGAAAGTGAGGACCAGGCCCCGGACTTAGTAGAGCAGCAGAATTGCAAAGTCAGTTACACCCAATCAAGGCAGGCCTGTCAGGCAAGGTCAGAGCCCTGACTGGGAAAACCCGACTCCTCAGATGCAACATCTGGTTGGATCTCCCCTGCCTCCTCCTCCAACACACACAAAGATTTTGTCTCCCTGTCCCATTCCCTCAATGATGGGAGATATTAAAGAGGCCTGAGCTGAGCAAGGAAATGTGCACCGCTCAGGACCCTCCATGACTCAGGGCCATGCTGGGCCTGCTGGGGAGAATAGGGACCACACACTGAAGGAGCCCCAAGCTAACAGTATGTACTGGCAGGAGCTGGGGGAGGTCCTGAAGGTGCTTGAAGGGACCACAATGTAAGATTGAACTTGACTTGAAAGTGCTCCCCAAGATACAGAATTTAACTCCCTACCAAGGATTCCAAGAGTTGGAGCAAAGTTGCTGCTACTAGCATGGCACCTAGACACGTGGAAAAGGTAACGGCAGTGACCCAAACCGTACCTCTCAGCTTATACTAGTAGGGAAAAAAGATGGACACCCAGGAGGCTGAGGGCAGTTGACCCCCTTGCTCAGTTTCCAAACCTGAGCCAGTTTTCAGCCCTGGAACCATTAACAAGAACAGTGGCTGGGTCTGTGGGAGGGGAAGCACGGCAGTATCAGGGGAAGTATACACAGTAATGATCCCCCTAGTTCCTCCCCACTGGCACTTAAGGTTACTTACTCAGCTAACCTTTGGTCCACAATTGGAATGACGTATTTGGCATCAAACCCCCACATTGCATCCTTAGTCTGCAAAATAAGCTCCTCTGGGAAAGGCCAAGTTAAAGTCAGATTACCTTTCCTCTAGGCATAAATGGGGAGAGATGAGAATAGAGGTTATTGCCATATTCTATCTCTTCTCCATCCCTGTTTTTTTGACCAATCTGGTCCCTGGAGAAACTGCCTAGATTAGGAAGAGTCACTGCAGACCACTGCAAGCTCAATCAAGTACAACCAGAGTTTCAGGCACAGAGCCAAACGTGGTATCTTTACTAGCCCAGATCAGCACCACCTTAAGTATATGGTATTTAGCCAATGACTTGGTGAAGGCATTCCAGAGGATCAGAAACCATTCACGTCTCCACGGAAATGACAATATACATTAGCAGTTCTGCCCCAGGAATATATTAAGTCCAAAAAGATTTGGACAAGCTGGATAGCCACAGAACATCACATTGACCCATTACATCAATTACATTATATTGATTGGGTCAGACGAGCAAGAGGTGGCTAGCGCACTGGTCACCTTTATAAGATGTGTTACAGAGGATTGGAGCCTCTTTCTTTGGTTCACAGTTGGCTGCCTTCTCTCTGTGTCCTCAACATGACCCTTTGTGGACGCATCAAAATATAATTTTTAAAAGAGGGCATAATAGTGCTTATATAGCTACAAAATAAACGTGTCAGGTTTGTCATTAATTAATGAGACGATCAGTAAAAGTTTACAACCTGTTTAAAAGACAGTCCAAAACACACATATATAAGATATCTGGAACACTGAGAAAAATTCACGAATAAATGCCAAATCAGCAAAACTGATCAGAATTCATGGGAGAATTGCACCAAATACCATTGGCAATTCATTGGAATCACTAACAGTCACACTACAACTTAGAGAACTGTAAAATATTCAGATAATCTGGATGGATGCAGTAGAGACAGTACACCCAATGATCTTTTTGGTCCATGTTTTCCCCTGCATTTTGATTAGTAGCTAACGCCTCCACTCCACATATGCATTTATTTATTAGGTCACGTAATTTTTATGAAATGTTTTTGTTCTCAATACCCTGAAGAAAAACCCTTTTCAGCTTTAGCTAGTTAGCTAATGCCAGCAGCCTGGTTTAGGTCCTGGGGCAGATGGAATCCACCTCAGGTCTCATTAGTCTTGAGTGGCCCAACTCTTAGCAAAAGATATTATTAGCAGTATCAGTGTGAGCAAGAGAAAGATCTTTTTGTCTTAGATGCTTCATATTGAAGAATTAGAAAAATCTAACGCCCTTTTTGGTGACCTGTAGGGATCGACCAACCATGATTTTCACTACTTCTCTCCTGGGGCCAGAGCCAACTCTCCTGGGCTCAGTTCCCAAGGTTACCACAAAGTAGGGCTGACCTTGGGGGAGAGCCCAAGCGGAGAGAGGGAGTACGAAACCAGAGAGGCGATTCTGGGTGAGCAGCATCTTACAGGGTAAACGGCCATCAACCACACGACACCTTTCCAGCTGTGGCTGAGCTCAAGTGCTTGAAAACCCTCAGGCACTGGTACTCCCAGAAGGCTTTCTAAGAGTTGTATGGAGTCCACTTTGGCTCGGGGCCTCTGAGGTCACTGCTCTCAGCTCAGCAGAGGTGGCATCTAGACCCTGTCTCAGCCAGCTGAGACCTTCCCCCAATCTGCTCTGAAAAGGGCCACTGTCACAGCCACTTCACCCTTAAACATAGACTCCTGCACAAAGCCCTGGCTGTACCCCGGAGGCTGCCTGGGGCAGCATCTTCCCACGAGCTCCCTGACTCCCCTGGACCCCACCCACCCCTTTGCTCTCCACCATCATACTTTTAAACTGGTTTTGGACCCAACCTCTTGAGTCAGTAGCTCCTCACCTTTTCACTACTGGCTGATCCTTGTTATTACTTCCATGTACTCTAAGTTTGAGAAGATTTGGTCTAACCAACCATATTTATTGCATAATAATCCTGGTCTCCATGACAACTGATGTCAGACTGAATTGATGTAATAGCAATCTAAACCAAAGACACTTCTCATGGTAAATGTATAATATCCATTAGAATTCTTTTTATTTTTAAGATTTTATTTTTTTAATAATTTTTTATTGATTATACCATTACATTTGTTCTATTTCCCCCTCCACCCTGCACACCCCTCCCCCACCATTCCCCCCTTTAGTTCATGAACACGTGTCTCAAGTTCTTTAGATTCTGTATTTCCCCTACTATTCTTACCCTCCCCCCTATCTATTTTCTATCTACTGTCTATGCTACTTATTTTCTGTACCTTCTCCCCCCTTCTCCTTCTCCCACTCCCCTGCTGCTAACCCTCCTTGAGATCTTCATTTCTGTTTCCACTCCTGATCTAGCTGTCCTCTTAATTTGCTTTTGTTTTAGGTGTGGTTGTTAGTAACTGTGAGTTTGCTGTCCTTTCACTGTTCATCTTTTTTATCTTCTTTTTTTTATTTTTAGAGAGAGGAGAAGGGAGGGAGAAAGAGAGGGAGAGAAATATCAATGTGTTGCCTCTCACATGGCCCCCAACCCAGACATGTGCCCTGATTAGGAATCGAAAGGGCAACCCTTTGGTTTGCAGCCCTCACTCAATCCACTGAGCCACTCCAGCCAGACCATACTTTTTTAAGTATTGGGAATAGCTTATGCTCCTCATGAGGTATCTGGGGAGCCCAGGTTGGAAAAGTGTTCTGAGGGCTAATGCTGAGGGAGAGCCAGCCAAGTCGATCTAGTTCTCCCTTTTGACAGATGGGCAAACTGAGGCTGTTAGTTTTGCATAATCAGATTTACAAAGAATCAGGGTGGAAATTGAGATCTTTTTTTTTTTTTAAGTCTCCTTTTCTCAATCACCTAGCAGGAGACTTTAAAATGAAAGAAAACTGGGACGGACCGCCACTTGCCCCAAGGGAGCTTGTCTGCTGGCAGCCCGACCCTTCCTGGGGGGTCTTGGAATTTGCGGTGGGGCGACTGCCTGCCCCGCCCCCTGGGCTGAGAAACCCAGACAATCCCAGCAAGAACATCAGCACCAGGCCGTCACTAGACTGTCTTCCAAAGGGCATTCGTTGCTCTTCTGAGGAAAACGGGTCATTACTTTGGGAAAGGCAGGGTTAATGGGTTGGTTTTCTTTTGTTCTCTTTTCACTTCAGGACTTCCCTGAGCCTTTAAAATGCTTTTGAGCCTAAAGACCTGCCAGGAGGACGAGATGACCTACATTAGCTGCCCAAACTTCCTGGACACGAATCCTCTTTCTCATAGGCGGCCTATGAGTCCCTCGTGGGACCCTGCGGTTCTGAGGAATTCAGTCTGGGATCTGTTAGTCCAGCCCACCATTTCCAGGCGAGGAAGCAGCACTTGGTCCCACTAGTAGATGGAGTCTACCCAGAGCCGAATCCAGAGCCTAACCCTGGCCCTTTTCAAAGGTGGGTCTTTCCCTCCATACCTCACCTACCACATACTTTAATTTAACCCAGGAAAAAACTTTCCAATGGATTGCAGAAGTAGAGGGAATTCTGCTCAGAAAGAGGCCTCTTCCCAGGTTCATGTGTGACCTCAGCAAAACCCCCAGGCTCGTCGAGGGCAAGCAGGCACGGGGCAGCAGGAACCCCACAGGGCAAGGCATTGCGCCGCCTGGGGCTTCCAGAGGGCTTTGCTCCCGAAGGCCCTCCGAGGAGCTAGTCTGCAGCAGGAGAGACCTGAGGGCGGCCTCCATATGGGGCGAAAGGCTCACCTGGGCCCTGGAGGTGGCCTCCTCTGGTTGGTGCCCCTGGAAGCCCGAGCCAGTAGGAGACATCTAGCCCGTGGCTGCTGGTGAGGACTCCCAGGTGTGTGTCCCAGCCGTGGACAGCATTGACGCCTCCAGGAAAAAAAGGACAGACAGGACTGCTCTTCAGACCTTATCAAGCAGCATCCCCAGCCAGAAGTGAGGGGTCTGCCAGGCTCCACGCTGACTTCCCCTTTCCTTGCATCATTGTGTTCAGGGGCTGCAGCTTGCGATAAGCAGGCACTGGTCTCACTTTCCAGAGCAGACTCAGGCACTCAGTCCAGAGAAGAGACACAAAAAGGCTAGAACAAAAGAGGTGCAGGGCTTTCCAGGGCAGCCAAGATGTACTATCCTTCCCTTCTGCCCAAAGTCACTTCTCACACTCTGGGGAGACCCTCCCTCCCCCAACACTGAGCCACTCTGCTTGGCTAGGTTAGACCTCCACTGATACCGCCAGACCTTCCTCCCTCCCTGCCCGTTGCTGGAAGTGTGGGAAAGGGCGCAGCAAGCAGCTGTCCTCCTTGCTTCATCCGGCACTTTCTCCCCACACCTTGGCAAAAGCCTTGTTTCTCTTTGAGCATTAGTGGGGTTGGGGCAGCTCTGTCTTGAGAGAGGAGCATTTTTGGGGGGCACCCATCTGAAAGCCATGGTCTGCTGGGGGAAGAGAATCCATGCTGTAACTTGGCCAGAAATGTACTTGCCAGGCCTGGAGTGGGGCCGGGGGCTGGGTCACTCCCCAGCCTGTGACTGTGGGCAGGTTCCCAGGCTTCCCTGAGTCCTGGCTCCTTCCTGGGCAAAATCTGATGTGGAGGGTTGTTGGGGACCATCAAAGAATGGGTGCCGTTGCTCTAACACACGCACTGCCTTTCGCAGAAAGGGCAGTGTGAGGCAGATGGCTGAGTTCAACTGCTGGCCCTGCAGATGTGGGAGGGGAGCGTTATGGGAAGGGATGTTCACAACCCAGGATCCCAGCGCATCAGTCCTGAGTGAAAACCTCCGTCAAGAGTTTCAGCAAAATGCGTTTCTGTTGTCCTCATTGCCAGTGTCTCGCTTCATGAAGCTTATACCCAAGCCTGAACGCCACCCTCAACCAAATTAAATGCGCAGGTTTTTCACAGTAAACAATTGTATCATTACAAAGTATAATGACTTTATATCCTTTAAAATAATCATGCATTAGAATTATACTTCTTTTTAATAATCATACATTTTAGAACTTATAGCCCATTGTTAAACGAAAGTGGCTGTGCAAAACATACCTGTTCAGTGCCTAATTTTGACAGGACCTCCGAGGGGTTTCCCCATTTTGTAATATGCTGGCTGTTGAGATGTTGGATTTGGAAAAGATATTTTTATTGTGTCACTTTTAATTGAACAATTGGCGCAAGGACTGTACTAATATGTTTTTTTCATAGTTTCTCATGTGCCATAAGAAAATAATACAGTACCAATCACTTTCTGTTTTTTTCTCAAGATCAAAAATCATTGCAAACATGACAGACGTTAGGTCTCAGTCATCCTCCGATACCTTTCTCCCTGAGTCTATTCTCATTCTGTTGATGAGCACATTGACTCGGCCAAGATGACAGTGATTATTGATTGGCTGACAGGTCAAAGTCAGGTGTCCTGGTGATGACGGCTCCCCACTGAGCAGCGTGGTGGAGGAGGAGGGACAGTATTAAAATAGTTCCCTAACCTCAGTCATTTCACTATGATTAGGATCGTGACTGAAACACTGTGGTTTGGGCTAAGGCGTGGGAACAGATGCCTAGCAGAGTCCGGGTAGGTACAGGGTGAGGGGACATCAAAGGCAGTGAAGGCTGGAGCCCATGTCTCCAGGGAAGGCCCCTGTCCGATCCCAGTGGGCTCCCTGCCTGCCAGCCTGGGGGCGTGGTGCAGCCTGACCCTGGCCAGGTGAGAACCCCACTTCTGTTCTCCTTGGGGCTTGGTCGGGCAGGTGTGGCATAGGAGAGCATGGCATACATGTGAGCCTGTGTGTGTGCGGGTGTGTTAGAGAACGCAGGGAGGCGTAGCAAGGAAATAGAGTGGCTGTGCCCTGGGGGTGCCCTGCTGCCACGTCGCCTGGCCCTGGTGTCCTCACCCAGCCTGTTTTTGCTTCTTTCTCATTATCTTCTCCCCTCCCTGCCCCCATCCATATCTTCTGATAGCAGTTTTATCTCCGAATCTGCAGGCTCACTCAGAATTGACGTGAAAGCCCACCCTGCTGTGATCAATGACCGTTTGGGGAAGAAGGAAGAGGGCCTGGGCCAGGAGGCCTGTGCCTCAGGTGTAAACCAGAGTCAAGAAGCCCAGGAGCTGTCCTGGCCCCACCAGCCCACGGACTCGTCACAGGCCCTGGGGCAGGACCAGCCATACACCCTCCATACTGAGTGAATGAACCAAATCCTTTGGAAGTGGCCTTGATTCTCTTAGCAAGCGGTGCCTTCCCCACTTCTCCTCTCAGGCATTCTACTCTGATAAGGATATTTTTCTTCCATTTAGCCACCTGGCATTTAGTCAATACCTTTTATGTGTCCAGTGCATGTGAGGGGCCAGGGACAAAGACACAGATCAGGAAGCGCTCTGCGAAGTGTCAGACGTTGACAACTCAGTGCCTTTGGGGCTCTGGCTTCAGCAGCAAGCTCAGGGTGTGCTAACCCAGGTCAGGAAGACAGTGGAGGGTGGAGGGAAGGCTTCCCTGAAAAGGAGGCGTTGCTGTGTGTGTGCGGAGTGCAGCAGGGTGTCCCAGGCAGAGGGAAAGCCTGGGCAAGGGCGAGGAGCTGTGAATCAGAGGAGCGGTCAAGGGAACCAGTGGCAATTCAATATGGTGGGCACACAGGATAGGCTGTTGGGGTGGCAAGAGCTGAGACAGGAGGGGCCGTGTACCATACAAAGGAGTTTGCATTTTAACCCCAGGACTTGTGCTTCCCAAAAGTGACTGGATCTCAGAACCGCCTGGGCAGTTCATTGGAAAGCAGATTCCTGGGCCATACTCCAGCCTAAGCCATCAGAATCTCCACAGGTGAGATCTCAAAGTCGGCCAGCCTTTCACCGGCGTCCCAGGAGAGTCTACACAGGCATGGGGCAAACCAGCCCTCGGGAAGTCATGGGAGGGCTCCAGGCAGAGCAGAGGCAGGTGCGCGGGAGACTGCCCAGCGTTCCGTTGGGCCTGTGCTAGAAAAGAAATCAGGAGGCCTGCGTGAAGGCCCCGGGGCAGAGGGCAGCATCCCCCCATGCTCCACAGACCACGTGCCCCACGACCAAGACAGGAGCAACCAGAAAATTCAGGTGTCCAGCTGGACCAGCTCCTTCAGGCAGTCCAGCAGAGGGATGGCAGAGGTGTCCCTCCCACCCCATTCCCCACGAGCACACCTGGCTCATAGACCACCTGGGCACTACCGTAGGCCCAGCGTAGACCACCTTCCAGGGATTCCCACTTCATAGGATGGAGTGTCATTTCCTCACCCCGCCCCCGAGGTCCTCAAACCGGCCACACCACCTTGCTCTGCAAGCCTCAGCCCTCCTAACTTCTACATTTGGTAAAACTGAAACCAGGCAGTTTCACACCTCGCTGCCTGTGTTTACGCTAATCTCTCCATCTGAAATGCCTTCTCTCCCCCTCCCCCCACCCTCTGCCTGCCTGATTCCTGCTGATTCTACCCAGCTCCCTCTGAAAACCCCTCCCACCCAACGCACACCTCAATCTGTTTCTGTGAACACACGACCACCACCACTACCCTGTGCTACCCTCAGTGAGAGGACAGATACAGAAAGTCTCTGTGCCTGCCCTCCCCTGCCCCACTTGCCCAGCAATTTCTCAAGGACAGTCTCCATGTTACGACTTTCTACCTCCCCAGTGCCTGGCACACAGTAGGAGCTCAACAGATATTTGCTGGACCCAAGAGAATCCAGATGAACAAGAAGTGCCCTCAAACACGCGAGTGTCTTCGTAATTCAATAGCATTCTGAGGATTTGCTTATCGGTGTTTTTAAACATGTGGCATTTTGAAGGCCCTATGTAGCTGTGATGCTCTGCTCCCCTATATTAAGTGTAAAATAAATTTAATGAGTCAGCTGAAGGTGATTATTTGCCTCTCAAAAGTTTGGAGGGCAGGTTTCTTTTAAACATTAAGCCTTTGCTGGAACTTTCAGAAACTTGCCTGACAGATCATTAACTTCTGGGGGCGGTAGGAGTCCTACAAAAGTTACCTCTAAGAGTCTGAGTCCCGGGATGCCTCTGGTCCGCGGAAACAAGGCAGAAGGTCTTGGAGCCAGAGAGGGTTGGTCCAGATTCTTCTCTACTAGTTGTGTGGCCCCGAGCAATCCCTTCATCTCTGTGCACCCTGATTTCCTTATTCCTAAAGTGGGGAGATCCGATACCCACTTTGCAGGGCTGTTGTAAAGATCTGGCGGATCCTCTGTGGAGTACCTGAGCTCATAGGTGGTCCCTGATAATAATAATGGCATTGTTGTTGTTAGGTTGGGCATTGCACAGAGAGAGGAATGATTTTACCTTGAATGGCAGGGATAAGAAAGGCAGAGAGGACCCAGAAAGAAAGGGCCGGACCATGGTGGCTGGGCTGCATATTTTGACTATTACAGCACTTCAGAATTTTCTTGTTTTTTTTAAAACTAAAGCACTCCATATTGAATGTGGTTGGTGTGAGGGTCTCAGACTCCAGAAGGCTGTCCACTCACTAGCTCTGTGACCTTGGGCAGATCACCTAACTCAGTTTCCTCACCTGTAGAAAGGAGACAGTTAAACAGTACCCATCTCTTAAGGGCGTCATATAAGATAAGGAATGCAATGTGCTTAGCCCAATGCGCGGACACAGTACACCCTCCTAAATGGTACCTTACTCTATTATGAAATGATCGGTACCAAGGAACAGTGTGCCCTGTTGGAGAAACCACTTGCTCTGGGAATATTCGGGGGTGAGGGCTTGGGGAAGGGGATTAACTGCAAGTGCACGGGCCCCAGACTCTGTGAAGGTTACCTGTCAGGAGGGCGGTGGGCCCTCGGGCCCGTTCTAACTGAGAGGGTTTGCCCGGGTGCTCCCTCAGGTTTCTCAGCCCGAGGCTGTTCCACCACAGCTCCCCAGGCAGCTGCTCTCAGGCCTGGGTGCTTTGGCCCTGCCCTGATGCCCCACCTCCTGCCGAGGAACTCCCAACGCAAGAGGCAGGCCACCTCTGGAAACGTCCTTGGCCTCGCCCCGCACCGCGCTTCTCTCCTTGCATGGTCCTCACCGCCCACGTGCCTGTCATCCAGGTGGTGACGCAGCGCACAAGTGCAAACAGGAAAGCGACCCACGCTCCGGGGAGAAGCCTGCTGGCTGCCGGGAAGAGGAATGAGCACCTTCCCTCTGTAGAGATTTCCGGAATCTCCAGGGTTTTAATTCTCTTGTTTCCCATCCTTTGTGGAAAAATGGGTTTGGGAATAGGTGAGGCTCCTGCACTTCTCTGGGTGGAAAGAGAAGGAAAGCTCCAGGTGGCTTGGGCCGCCGTTGCAGGCGAAGAAGCCCTTTGCTGCTACTTCCTCCCAGGTCTGGAAAAAGTGTCTGCAGGAGCCCCCAGAACCCGGAGAACCGGTCCCTACGCCAGGCGGCTGGCAAAGCAGGCACCAGGCTCTCCCCTTGGCACGTCGGAATGAGGGAACCCCCCCTCTACTCGGGCTGCCCTCGCGCCCCTGCACCGCAGAAACGAATGACTTTGACCTCGCAGGAAACGGTGCCCTGAGCGGGTGGGGACGCCCGTCTGGAAAAGCTGTCTAAACAAAGGGCATTCCTTAGCTTCCACCCGGTTAGTCGGGCCTCACCCCCAGACCGGGGTGTAGGGTTACACGCATTCCCGCGGAGCTGGGGAAGGACGTGCTGTTTTCTTAGCGTTTGCTCCCCTTGAGCCTCATCCCAGGGCTGCGCTGCCGGCCGCCGCTCGGGGTCCGCGGGCGGCCGCTCGGGGTCAATCCCGCCGAGCGCCCCGCGTCCCCGCGCCCGCGCGCAGGGCCCGGGCGTCGTTCCCGAACTCGGCCGGGGCCTCGCCCGTCCTCCGCCCTCTGACGTGTGCGAGGCGCTCGCTCCTCGGCCGCCGCCGGAGAAGCCGCTCCCTGGGGCTCCGGCGTCCGGCGGCGGAGCGGCCGCGGCTGCAGCGGGGCGCCGAGGGGGCGAGGCCGGGCGGGGCCGGCCCCGCTGCTCCAGCCCCTTCCGCTCCGCTCCGTCTGCGCTCCGCGCGCGATCCCCGTCCCGGCCCTGGAAGGCACCCGGCTTGGCTTCTTTCCTTCTTTCCTCCTCGGGGCACAGCCACGAGCTAGCAGCCGATGCCACTGCCTTCCCCGCCCGACCCACTTCCCTCCTCCGACCGGGAGGGAGGCCTCGGCCAGACCCCACCCGGGCCTGGGGCTGCCCGCCGAGCCAGGAGCGGAGCCCGGCCCCCGGGCCTGAGGAGGAGAGGGGGCCAGAGGAGGGCTCGCTGGTCCAGGGATGGAGGGGATGGAGGAGGCAGCGGCCAGTCCTGCGGGCGGCGGCCCTCAGTGAGTACGGAGGAGGCGAGGAGCCAGGCTGGCGGCGGGCTGGTCGGGTGGCGCAGCCGTGAGGCTGGAAGGGTCGGGGGAGGCCCGAGCTCCGTGTCCAGCCTTTCTGAGTTTAAGCAAATGCAGCCCTTGGGCCATAGAATGAGGCGGCTCGTAGCAGCCCCTCTGTCTCCCCAGGCGCCCGCAGTGCCGCACCGGGAGGCTCTCGCCCCGAGGTCTCCCCGTTGGATCAGCTCTGAATCACAGGTCCCGAGTTTGGCCGGCAGAAAGTTCTTTTAACTTAACTGAAACCGCTCCCATGACATCAACCCCTGTTCTCTGATTGAATCGTAGAAGGGAGGAATCAGTGAGTGGGCTGCAAAGAGAAAGTTGACAAATTCTACGCGAGCCGGGAGGGTGAATGACCTCGGCCTCCTAAAGAGAGTCCCGAAACTTTACTGGCTTAAAGCTGATGTGACACTTGGCACGGGGTGTGTATTTTCCTTTATGAAATATACACGTACCTGAAATACTGTGTAAACTGAATCGTAATAAACAACTATAGAGGCACTTGCTGTGTAAGAGAATTCTATGGTGAATCTTCAGTGAACATATGAAGCGAACAATTAACTCCCTCCTAATTTGTCATATATGTAACTATGGATTTTCTAGGCACAGTTTACTCCAAGTGGGACATGTCCAGGTGTATGATATTGCGGGAGCATTCTCTCAGAGAGCAGCATAAATATTAAGACACCACGGCCTGTACGTGTGCACAGAACCGCTTGGTGAATAAAATCCCACGTGCACTTTTGTTCCCTGTGAGAACATGGACATCAACCATGCCACCAAGGAGCTGCCATTCTGGCAAGTTACTGAAGCTCTCTAGACGGGGTTATTCTCCTCTACAGAATAAGGGGAGTGGGGCCGAGGGACCACCGACTGCTTTGGCAGAGCCCTGGCTTTGAAACAAGAACATTTGCATTCCAAACCGGCCTCCCCTGTCTGCTGTGTGATCTCACTGTACCCCACTGTGCCTCAGTTTCGCCCTCTGTAATGGCGAGGACGGCAATGCTATTCTGGCTCAATCGGGTGAGGGTGATTTGACAGCGTAGGTTCGAAAGTGCAGGTCTGCCTGGCACAGAGCAGATGCTGGTCGGAGTTAGTGGCTGACCGTGGCCACTCCTGAGCTCAGCGCCGTGCTGTGGTCCTGTGGTTTGGAGGCTGGGAGTGTGCGTGGGGGGATGTGGGGGGCACCTTCCACCTGGGGAGCATGTCCTGAGATCCTGTGTGATATCACAGCTTCACTGAGATTGCCTGTCAGGAAAGCAAGAGGCTGGGGACTGGGAGATCTAACCCGGCTTTTCACTCTGGTCCTCATCTGGCATAGGATGAGTTGACGCCTATGCCCCAATGTATCAAATGGGGGTAGAAAACCGCTACTGAGACTTGGAAGAAAAAATTCAATAACACCTTATTTGTTTCATCCGATGATGTGTACTTTTCACATTATCTAGCAAGGGTGTTCAACCTTTTGGCACCTCTAGGCCACATTGGAAGAAGAGTCGTCTTGGGCCACACATTAAATACATTACGACATGTGATCACAAAAAACTCATAATGTTTTAAGTAAATTTATGATCTTGTGTTGGGCCGCATTCACAGCCATCCTGGGCTGCCTACAGCCCATGGGCCACAGGTTGGACACCGCTGATAGAGTGTATCTCCTGCTTTGTCCCCAGATTGCTTTCTTCTGTATAGGGCTCAATATGAAGGCACTTTGGGGACCCAGGTGCTGGATCTAAGGAGCTCTGTCTGTTTTCTCTTCCAGAGAGCCCAAGACAGGGAACCGAACAGCCAGCTTCATGGAGGTGACCTCTGCTATGGAAAGAAGTGGCACTGAGCCACCGTCCAGTAATGGACACCTCCCAGGGGGCTGGCCCTGCCCTCAGGAAGACAGAACATGCAGTCTGGTGGCCCCCCAGCCTCTCAGGGCACTGGGGGTGCAGCTCCAGCAACCCTCTGTGCTGGAGTCCAAGGTCAGGGCCTTGAAGGAAAATATGACAGCAGCCAAACAGGGGGCAAGCCCCTGCCTCTCTGCCCACGAGCAGCCATCCCCCAAGAAACCCAAATGCCGCCGAGGCAAGGTGGGTGGAGCCAGGCCCCCCTGGCCAGATGCTGCAGTGGTCCTCCATGCTCAGAACCCACCTGAGGGACAGCTGGACCACAGTGTGAGTGAGGAGCAGCCTGCCAGGAGTGGGGGCCCCAGACCTCCCAGGCCACCCGCTACCGGGCTCGAGAGCTGTAATGGGAGGCTCCCTCAGACTCCAGAACCAGTACGGACACTGCCCGACCGTGAGGAGAGGGGTCTGCTGCCGGGGCCCAGCTCTTCGCAAGACAGCCCCGTCCACAGAGTCGTTCCAGGCCGACCCAGGGGCCCTAGAGCTTGTAACAAAATCACCCACACACCAGCCCCGAAGCCAGAGAGGTCCTTCCCCCTTCAGGATGATCTAGTCACAGGGGGAGACCTGGGTAGCTTGTCTCTGACCTCTGAGGAGGACTTCGTCCCCAGGCCAGCCCTGCGGGGGGGTCTCTGGAGAGCTGGAGACCTGGGGGCTCTGGGCACTGGGGGCAGCACCTTGTCCCTGTCTGAACGGGTAGAGAGGAACCGCCTTCTTCTGCAGGAGATGCTAAATGTTGGGGGGCCGGCCCACCCCAAGGTGGGAATCCCAGCCCGGACTCCATCCTGGGACAGAGCTGGACCAGGTGAGACTCACTCTATAGGTCTGGGTGGCGGGGGTAGCAGTTGGGAGTCCAGAAGAGGACTGGGGTGGCGTGGAGCGGGTGGGGTAGGAGAGGCAGAAGAGCGCCACTCTCTGTAAGCAGAGTCGTCAGGATGTGTTCTTGGCCTTGACATAGCTTCTTTACCACGGCCGGCCCGTCTGCTGAGCATCCCACCCCCGTGACTCCCCAGGCCAGCGGGAGGCCACCCCTGTACTTGAGGGTGGTGGCTATCACAGCTTCTTTCCTGTGGCATGTCGCCTTTTCGAGAGGGGCCCTGCATCTCCTTCCGACCACATGCCCTCGCCCCACAGTGGACCCTCCCCACAGAGTGCTCACGCATCTCGTCAGGTGGGCTGAACTCAGGTCTGGGATGTGCAAGTGTTCAGGCCTGAGAAAACACCTCCTGTCCCTTCTTCCCTTCCCATTCCAAAAACCCATCCCTCGCCCACTCCCAAGAGGACCCACACAGGCCCCTTAGCCCATGGCAAGGCCCCCCACAGCCACTGTGATGGGCTGTGCCTCCAACTCTCAGGCTGAGACACAGGCAGGGGGGCAGATTATCTGTAAGTAAATGGCTTCCAGAGAAGCCTTTCTCCTTGGCAGTCATTAAGTGGCAGCAGAGAGCCCAGTTGCTGGCTCTGCCTTGACATCTGCTTCTGTTCTGGGTCCCAGAGCGACCACCAGGAGACATGGACTGGGACTCGGGCATCTCCCTGCAGGACTCGGACCAGAGCAGGTAAGAGCTCAGAGTGGGCCTTTTTTCTCCCTCCCTCCTCACCGTTGTCCTCGCATTCACCACCATCAGGACAGCAGGAGATGGCAAGAAAACACGAGGTCAGGCAAACCCTGTGTGGCAGAGCAGGGGACAGTGGGCCCCTATGGACTGTCAACCCTGAGACAGAGTGGGGGTTACCAGTCACCCCACGCTCCAGGCTGGCTCCTTGAACAGAAGTACTCATCGGGCACCAGGCGCCGTGCAAAGAGCACGGCCAACGAGCTGCTCTTGCTTTGAGGGAGTCGGTTCCCCAGCCTGGCCTCTGGCGCTTCATCTCTCGGGTGGGACAGACCGTCTTTGTGTGGGTGACTGCGCGGGACCGTACGAGTCTAAAATGAGACAATCGCCCTAAAAACCCTTAGGGAAAGGGAACAAATGCAAAGCATTTACTGCAGCAGTTCCTTTCCCAGTCACGGCGGGGTGCTGGGGTCATGTAAAGGATGTCACCCCCTCCACTCGCACCATGACATCCCACAGAGTTTGCTCCAGCCCCTCCACGCATGTCGTGGGGACGGGGGCACACTAGGTGATGGGGGAATATTCGGGTATACAGACTCAAAGGAAAACTAGAGGAAAGCCCTCTTGCTACTCCCAAACCCACCAAGACTGAAACTACAAAGAAAGAAGTGCTCACCAGTGCGTTCAAATGCCCACCGTGCCCCCAGCACCTGGCGTACTGAATCCTGGGTGGGGACGGAAGGGTGCTAATCTGAAGCCCTACCGCATACCTAGCACCACTTGGAACGTTCCTGCCGCGTCATGAGCACGTTCGGACCTCACACATGAAAATCTCATTAGGGCCACAAACTTGGTGAAGGAAGAGGCTCAAGAAAGCTTTGTATTTGCCCCAGACCAGTCCTCTGTGGGGAGTCAGGCTGACATTCAGGAGGAGGAAGCCCTGCTTCCCTGCCACCAGAGCTGAGCAGGCTGCTGTCCCCCGCTGCCCCCCCCCCCGTCCGGGGTGTCTTGGACAGCTGCCCCCACACACCAGAGGGCCAGCCTGTCAGGGAATCTAGTAGCGCTCTTCCAGCAGAAGCTGATGTCCTAGGGAAGCTTGGTGAGGCTCCACCCGGGTCCTTTGAAAGGTGTCTGAAAGCGAGACATGTTCAAACACACCATTCTTAAGGGTGCCTTCCCCGCTTCTCTGTGGAGAGAAGCTCCTGCTCACTGTCTGGACAGCCCATTCCCTCTGCCACCCGGCAGCATCCTCCGGTGCCCCATTGTGTGGGAACTGATTTTCTGTGCAACCCTGTCAAAGGTCTTGGAACACCTAGAGCAAAACCACCAAGGCCTCACTAGCTTCACGAGGGTTTGTCACTTCCAAACATGACTTCCCTGACAGATGGCTACAAGGCCATCTCTTCTGCGGGTGACTTTAGTTCATCCTTCGCTCAGTAACAGACAGGAGCACTTAACAAAATAACAGTGCTAATAATATCAATAATCATAATAAATGTGTACATTGAATCTGACCCAGTGCCCAGCTCTGGGCTAACCTGTTTTAAGGGACTCGGTCTCACATAACAACTGAGTCCTTAGTTAGCATGTGGGGAAACTGAGGCCAAAGCCCTAAGTGACCTGTCAGGGGAACACAGCTAGGAAGCGGCCGTCCACAGTGGGGACCCAGGCAGGGTGCCCCAGGACCATGCCTCGGCTCTGTTCTGTCAGCATCCTGCAGCCCTGGGAAGAAGGCACCAAGATAAGGTCCCCGTCCTCATGAAGCACACGGTCCAGGAGGCAAAGTTCCGGTCCTTCCTTTCCTTTCCTGTTGCTCAGGAAACTGCACACAGTGTGACAGCAGGGGAGCCCTACCCTCAGTCATCAAAAGGCATGATAACAGACAAAAATGGAACAAACGCAAAACTACAAGTTTGTGTGCGTGCTGTACACTGTATAGTTCCCCCTCCCTGCTGCAGCCCAGGAACTGGGAAATGTCAGGGTGCTTTCCATTCCAAATTGTTTCCCTGAATCATGTTCCCAGGATAAAAGGGTTAAGCCCAGACTTGCTGGAGCTTATTGCTTTGATCCAGGATTACCATGGTGGCAGAAAGAGGCCACCCCGTCCTGCCGATGTCCCTGGCTAGGAGAGCACTGGTGGTTGTCCTGACTTGAGATCTCAACCCACCTGTACCTCCACCAAGAATCTGGTGTAGACCGACAGACCAGAGGGGAGGCAGCCACCTGCTGCGCTCTGTCCTTGGAAAGCAGCTTAGGGCACTGGTGGTTGGAGGGGCGCGGGGAAGGGCGGAAGACTCATGTGGGTTTCCGCTTGTCCCTAACAATTAGGTCTCTGAGAGCCACACATCTGTGGCGTGAACCCCACAGGGAGAGAACGTCAAAGTCCCTCCACCCCACCTGCAGGAGCCCCAGACTCCCTGGCCAAAGACTCACTCTCACAGGTTAGCGAGTCCTCTTCCCTGTTCAACTCCCACTGTTTACAGATGGGGGAAACTGAGGCTCAGGGAGAAAAGTACTCAGCCACTTGATTCCCTGTGCCCTACCTGCTGAACCCCAAATGTGCAGGCTTTCAAGAAAGTGGCAAAGCTGTCCATTCTTAGGAGGAACTGCCTTTACCTGGCCACACACCCTCTACCCTAACCCTTCCAGACCCCTTCCCGAGGAATTGCAAGAGTGGGATTGTGGGTCACAGTCCATGATAGGATGGGTTCAACTCCAAGGCTGTGTGCCCTCGGCAGAGGCCAGGCTCCGATTAGACTTGAAAGCCTCCCTCAGATGGAAGGGTCTGACCCTGCCTGTGTGCTGGGGTTGGGGGCCCTGGGGTGGATGTGGCGACAGGAGGTGGGCATCGAGGCTGGGACAGGCTCGCCCTCCCACAGTATCCCACCTGCTTGCCCTGGCCTGGGGAGAACGACCACCTTCCCTCCCCAGGGCTGGTCAGCATCTGCTCCCTCCAGCGAGCAGCGTGACTAGGAATTGCTTGTTCTGCTGACCTTGGCTGCCATCTATGAAGGTGACTGCCACTCTCTCCCTTGCTCAGTTTGTTAGTGCATGGATGCTTCCAGGCGCCCCCAAAGCCCTGCTTTTCTAATCAGTGGAGAAACCAGCTTTGTGTGCCAGGAACCAAAGCAGGGCAGCTGATGGGAAAAAAAAATCAACAGTTCCAATTTGAGGGAGAGAAAGGAAATTGCAAAGCTGGAAAATGGCTTAGAAACCTGGGGCAAGGCCGATCTTGGCAGCATCTGGCCAGCTGCCTGGGGCCCTCCTGCCTGCCCACCGGGTCTTGTGACAAATGCCCTCCGACAGCCAGGGAACCACAGCTGTCACCGGAAGGCTCTGAGTGTGCAGGCTGGCAGCCAGAGGCCCGCAGCTGCAGGGGCGGCTCTCCGGGCTGGTAACCTCATTATCTCTGCTGCCGGAGCAGGAGCCCCGGGGAGCAGAGCTGCTCCCGGCGGTGCCTCGGAGGAGCTGCCTGCTCGGGCAGCTGTGCAGAGGGAGGCCTCTCCTGCCAAAGGAGGCTTCCCGGGGCAGCAGGCCTGGAGACACGCTCGCATCCCTCCAGCGAACCCTTCCGTTCCAGAACTGCGCCTGGGCCCTGCCAGGGATCAGAGGCACAGATGGCGCCTGTATTCTAGCAGTTCTTTCTTTTCCCCTTGGTCCCCAAAGCAGGGCTAGGTACAAATAATAAGAGAAAGAAGGAAGGAAGGAAGGAAGGAAGGAAGGAAGGAAGGAAGGAAGGAAGGAAGGAAGGAAGGAAGGAAGGAATCCTAGACTGCCCAGAGCTTATCTGAAGATGTCCCAAGGAGGCCTCAGAGTTGTGCCAGTCACTTATTTGTCACCTGTCATCTAGGGAACTACTTGGTGCCTTTCCCCTATCAGCACGAGGCCCATTTCCCCAAGTTACACGTGGGGTGGGAAGGAAGGGATAGGCCGAACCTAGATCCTGCTGGGCCCCTCCCCGTCTGAGCTTTCTTCCTGTGGACCTGCCCCCCTGGCCTGGTGAGGACAGGCACAGCCTCGGGAGTGCTGCAGTCACATCCAAGAGCATGTATGACTCTAGCCACAGACATCCTCAGCCTGCCCTTGGACCCAGGGAGGAGAGGGGACAGAGGATGTGGGGAGGGTGCTGGCGGCAGCGGGCTGGCTGTCGTCTGTCCTGCCCTCCACTGGTGTTCGACCTTGAGCCATGTGCCAAGCCCGCCTCTCTGCTGCGGAGCACCCTCATCTGTCAAACGGAGAGAACACCTGCCCTCGGCCAGCCTGGCTGGGAGCGCGAGCTCCGTGGCGAGAAGCGTCTTTATCAGCAGGAGGCTGTGGGGACGCTGTTACTGCTGCGCCCCAGTGCTGGCTGCGTGTCACCGTCTGGGAGACAGCACTGAAAAAGGGCTGCTGTCATCTTCTGCAGCACATGTGTAGGTGGTGAGGGCTGGTGAGGACCCTTATTATTATGAAAATCGAGCCATTTGCTGACTTGGTCTGGGTCCAGCTTAATTTCTCTCAGCCCTCAGCACATGCCTGATGGGCCTGGGTTGGGAGTGAGGCAGGAAAGCACCAGGACTCGTAAAAATGTCATTCCCCCAAGGCGCAGAAGCTGTGATGGGCAGAACCCTGAGTCCCTGTGTCTGTGCGGGGAGCCCAGGGAGGTGCTGGGCAGCCTGAGAGGGTACGAGTGGGTGCACAGAGACAGAAGGAGAGGGGGCGATGCGCGGAAAGACCATCTGGCTGGGCACAGGCCCAGCCCAACCACCCAGGCCCCTCCTCTCCCTCCCCCCAGATAACTCCTGCGGCTGTCTTCCCAGGGAAGGAACAATAGGATAATCTGGAGACTCCCCTGCCCTTTTCTAGATCCCCCTGAGGTCTCTGCCTCTGGTCCCTGAGCAGATGTCCAACCTGGGGCAGCCTCTGCAGCCCAATCCAGAGTAGCTCGGGGCCACTCCCCAGGCCCCAGGCTGGGTGCCCACTGTGGGGCTGGACAGGGAAGGCCACGCATGCCGGGGTTTTTCTGGCATAGCCGTGCTAGGCACTGTTAAAGCCCTCCTAATCTGTGTTATTTTCTTCTAATCCCTCCCCCGTCCACTCTGGCCCGTGTGCCACCCTGCAGGACCTTTGGACCGAAGCCGGAGCCCGTGCGGAGGAGCCCCAAGCACGAGGAAGCCAAGCACCTGCTGCAGCGTGCCCGCATGAAGGCGAGGACCCGGCCCCTCCGCGCCAGCCATGATATCGTGCCCACCGCTGACCAGGGCCGCCGGTGAGTGGGGCCGGGGCCAGGCAGGCCAGAATGCCTCTGCCAGTCCTCCCTTCTGTCGGTGTGTGTGTTCCCCACGTCCGGCGCTTGCTGTAGTTCATGTAGTTGGTCAGCATAGTGTTACTGAGGGTCTACTGAGTGTCAGGCATTGAGGATCCAAAGGTGAATGAAACATAGTCAGAGCTCCCTGGGGGGACAGAGGTCACTGTCTCCAGGGAGAAAGGCTGGCAAACGGATCGGCACAATTGTATGGACTGTGGTGTAGGAGAAGAAAGACACGTGTGGAGGGCAGAAAATCTGTAGCTCCACCTGGGAAGGACAGGGGAGGCTCGGGAGGAGGTAACTTCTAACCTGGGTCGTGAAGGAGATGTAGGTGTTCATTGGAGAGATGAGGGAGGCAGGCGTGAGCGTCCCAGGGCAGAAACCATGAGCAGAACCCTGGTGTTCAGGAGCTTGGCCAGGCTGGAGCCCGAGGGCCTGCTGGGTGCATGGGGTGAGGGCCAGAGGGCTCCCTGCCAGCCGGCTGTGGAGGCCAGTCTCAGAGGCCTCCAGACCTAGCGTGTCTCTCACAGCAGCAAGGCACCACAAAGGGGGTTTTAAGCGGGTGGGTGGCATGATCACATTTGCATTTCAGTAAAGCCGTGCTTGCTACAAGTGTGTGTTGGACCTGGGGTTCTGGGGGCAGTGAGGGGGGCTGCACCCGGTCCTGGCGCGATGTGAGTGGGGGAGGGTTTGCAGGGTTTGGAGACAGGAGAGCGCTGAGGGCCAGAAATAAGCAGGTTTAACGAGGCAGCAGAGAAGTGGTTAAGAGGCTCTGGACTGAGACCACTGGGTTGAATTCTGGCTCTGCCACTTATTAGCTGTGTGCCTTTGGGGAAGTCTCGGTGCCTCGTTTTCCTCATCTGCAAAATGGGAATTATATTAGTGTCTGTCTTACAGAGTTGTGGTGAGGGTTATATGCATAACGAATATATGTAGTGTTTAGAGTAGCTCCTGGCACAGAGTGAGTACTCTATGAGTATTACCTCTTAAAAGTAACTCTTTACAGCAGTCCCCTTATCCACAGGGGTATGTTCCAAGATCCCCAGCAGGTACCTGAAACCACAATTAGTACTGAACCCTGGATCTACATCACAGTGGCAAACACAAGGCCCGAGGGCCAAATCCGACTCTCCACCTTGTTTTACCGGCCCAGCCCTTGTTTCTACCCGGCAGCAGCGCCAAGCTCCTTGCCCCTAGTTAAGGAGCAGTTACATGTACACAGTCCTAAAGTTATTTGCCGTCCTTTGAAGGTAACCACGAGGCTGATGTGGCCCCTCATAAGAATGAGTTTGACACCCCCGCTGTATATACTGTTTATTCTGTACATACACAACTTTTCTCTTCAAGGAAGCACATTGCAGTTTCTCTTTGTTATATCTGAATTGTCGCCCTCACTACTCTTGTGCTTTATTATGTAAAATAAGGGTCACTTGAACACAAGCACGGAGACACCACACAAGTGATCTGATAACGGGGACAGCCACTAAGCGGCTGATGGGCGGGGAGCACAGGCAGCGTGGAGACGCGAGACAAAGGGATGATTCACGGTCCCGCCGGGACAGCGTGAGGCAGTGCGAGATCTCAGCACATAACTCGGAATGGCATGTAATTTAAAACTAATGAATTCTTCATTTCGGGAATTTTCCATTTAATATGTTTAGACCGCTGTTGATGGCAGGTAACTGAAATCACAGGAAACAAGTCCACAGATAAGGGGGACTCCTGTAATTAACTAGACGTAGGGAGTACGAGAGGGGAGGCATCCGGGACAGAGCCCAGGGTTCTGACTTGGTGTCTGAAGGTTTGGCGGGGCCTTAGCCAAGGGGTGAAGCCTCGGTGCAGGGTCAGGGAACCCCCCCTTTGGAGGGGGTTTGTCCATGGAGCACCCGCTGGAGGCACTTGTCGGGCCGTTGGCGACGGGATCTGTTCTGGGCATTACCCTGTTTTCATGATGCTGGAGCTGTGGGTGAGCATGAGCACATCAGGGACAAGGCGACAGGGAAGGAACAAGTTCAAGGACATTTAGACCAGCACTTCACATATGGGGCTGCCCCCGAGTGACACCCTGTCACCATCACTGTGAGTGTTCCATGTAGAACTCACCGCAAGAGACTACTTACATGTGGAGCTTACACCCCAGAGCTGGTGGTACCTGGGCCTGAGATGAGAAGCTGGCCATGCCAGATCGCACCGGGCCCGAGCAGCACCCTCTGTGTGGCTGACCAGGCCTAGGGCTTCCTTGGCATGGGGGGCATGCGGGGCCTGCCGGTTTTCGTCACCACGTGGCACTAGAGGGAACGAGGATCCTCAGTGGAACTGGACCACATGCCCTTTGGTGGAGGATGCTGAGCCCACTCACGAGAGACTGGGGACCCTCACAGCACCACCAAGGCGATTCCAGCACTAGCAGAGGGTTGCGGCCTGCTTCTTTGTGCAGTGTCAGAGTGACCCTTAGGTGAAGGGCTCAGAAGCCCCCATTCCCTGGCAGCAGGTACCAAACAGACCACCCTTTTATCTCCGCATTGTGCGCCTAGTCCTTTTCTGGCTGCAGGGCACTAGTCACCAATAAGAATGGCTTCCCTGAAGCAACCTATTTTTTCTCTGCACATATACGGGGCTCAGAGCCTTAGCCTTCCATGGAACCCTCCTCCTGTTCCACTTCCCATAGGTATAGAGGTTGGGTGGGCTGAGGAGCCTCAAGAGAGGCAGGTCTTTCTGCAAAACAGACTTGACTGTGTAAATGTACTCTTGGGTGCTTCCTGTTCCCCGAGTCATGTCGGCAGCTCACAACAACCCCAATCACTAACCTTAAAGTAGGCTCCCCTTTGCCCAGCTGCCGAAATGCTATAGAGATGCAAGGTGACCCACTTTAGCAGCTGCTGTGTCCAGAAAAGAATTACTTTGACTTGGCAGCACTTGGTGAATCCTCAGAGAGTAGAGCTGAAAATCAGCGCCAGATGGCTTGCTACAGATGCTTCTAAAGGTTACGCTTGTCAAATCACCCCAGAGAGCCATGCTGAGTTAACACAGAGATGGCACACAGGCCCTGGGCCTCCGTTAGATGCAAGAACCTCCCCCCACCAGCCCCCAGCCCCCAGCCCAGAGGCATCACTCCTTCCAAAGAGCAGTTTAGTGAACAGTGACGGAGGACTGGGGGGGTGGCAGAAGGCCTTCTTAATCCTAGCTTTGGTGGAGGTGGCTGAGCAAGCCCGAACAGACAGACGGGCTTTTCCAGGAGGGGAAGAGGTGGCAGTAGCTGCATTTTTCTGGAAACGAATCATCGTAGACACCGAGCAGCTCCTGGACGCACACACTCTTGCCGTCTGGGGACAGGCACATCTAGATTGTTGGTCCTGAAACCGGAAAAGCCGGCATTCATGCCGCCCGTCACTACCAGAACCAATGAGCAGAAACAAGGAGTGAATCCTCACGGGCGCTTTATTCAAAGGGCCAGCAATCTGAGAAGACGGTGGGTCATGTACCCTAACAGACCATCTTACATTTCCTTTCAAGCCAGCCTTTTTATAAGGAGGAAGGAAGTGTAGGTAAGGGATTTGGAATGTTGGGGGGTAAAAAGTGTATGTAGGGGATCTGGAATTCAGGAAAAGGTTAATCGGATAGAAGCTGCAGTCTGGTGATTTCCCAGCATCCTTTTGTCCGCTGACTGCTGATTCTTTATCTGTGTCCTGGGCTTCTGAGGCCTGGGCAGCTTTTTACCTGTATTCTATGTCCTGGGTGGTGGGATGTCTCTCTCTGGAGCACAGTGGGTCAGGTACCATCTTGACGGCTTGCCATCCTCCTGGGGCACAAAGGTGGAACTGCTTGTGGTCTCTTGGAGTCAGGGTGGGTCATAAGTTCAGTTCCTAAAACAATAGATTTTTACATACATTCATTACTAAGCTTATTAACTATTGCTTAAAACTAAAATTTTATGACTCTTGAGTTCCCCCATCAGTCCCAATCCCAGGAGGGCAGAACATGTCAGCAAGATGCAGGGCCTGGGAGGTGACACCGTAAGTGCCCTTGTCCTGTGTCACAGAGAGTGTCTGTGTTAAGACTACAGAGCTTGTGTGGGTGGCATTGATTGTGTGGTTAGGACAGCATCGTTGCAGAAAGTGGGCGCTAGACAGGGGCCATTCCACCAGGCTGCAGGCCTGACAGAGTCCTCTGCAGGACGGGTGAATGTGGAGGCATCTGCTGGCTGCGTCTCATGCTGAGAAGCTTGGCAGGGTGGTATGTGCTTGCTGCCGAAGCACCTTCTCTGCTCTGCATTTGCCTCCCGAATCCTCACTGCACCTTTACGTGCTGTCCCAGCTCCGCTGCTGGAGGCCTCTGGGCTCCAATGCTTGAGTTGAAGGTGCCTAATGTGATTAAGCTCTCTCTCCTTCAGTTCTCCTTTTGGAATTAAAAAAAATGTTATTTCTACCTTGGCGTGAATTCCAGGATGGCTCAATTCACCACCACCTTGCACATAAAAGTTAAGGTCTGTGATGGGGCTGGTGGGACCTGGACTCCTTTCTCTCGGTGGGGAATGTACTGTCTTTAAAGCTGGGCTTTGTGTTCCCTCCCTGGAAAGTACAGCCCACAGCCCATCAGCAGAGCCGGGCATCGCCCTCCAGGGCCTGCAGAGGGGTTGGTGGGTCTGAGCCGGGGCCGCATCTTCCAGCAGCCTTCCCGCACTAGGGGGGCCTGGTGGGCTGGGCAGACCCGGCGTCCTGACTGTGCCGTGGGGCAGAGCTCTGCTCCGTGGGCTCCTCTCTCGGAACACGAGGTGACGCTGTGTCTCTGTCTGAAGCCTTCCTTTCCCCAGGAGCCCCAAGTGGACAGAGACCCCACCAGAGTGACTGTCCCACAGCCCCTTCCTCAGGTGCTGACAGGCCACAGTGGCCCAGGTACAGGTGGAGTCCTCAGGGAGGGAGAAGTATGGCTCTCACTCAGGTGGCCTCTGGCAGAGGATGGCCCATGGGCCTGGGCCCATTTGCAGAGTGGCCTGAAAGGCAGGTGACCTGGCCCCAGGGGCCAGGCTGAGCTGCGTGTGGGTGTTTTCTTGAGCCGAGCAGGACTCGACCGCCAGGCCCAGCGTCTCCCAGAGCAAAAGCCGATGGCAGAACGTGGAAACCTTCCTGAGCACAGTAATTCTCGTCCCCCACTGTCAGGATGACAGTGTGTGTGAGGGGCTGGGGAGGGGACAGACAAGACGAAGCAGCCAGAGCATTGGTGTCACACTGTCTAAATTTGGTCTAAGCAAGACGATCGGGGACCGGGAGCAAGAGTAAGAAACCCCCAGTACAGACCCCACACGGTGTCCGTGGAGACTTAAGGCACACCCTTCCCATCACACCTTTGTAGCAAGTGGAGTATTGCAGCAATTCGGCACCACCAGATGCCGTGACGGCAGCAGGCTCATGTCCTCTTCTGCACACACACATGGGTGGTCACACACACGCACATGTGTGGTCACGTGTGCACACACACGAGGACTTTGGTGTCATCTTTCTGTATAATCCTGAGTTTAATGTTTCGTCTTAGCTCAGGCCCCGCTGGAGAGAGAGGGAAAGGCACACTAAAGAAGGCCCTGTTGATTTTGGTTAAGGACTGATTTTGTTCCGCACGGGGATGGACTAGAAGCCAGTCTGGTTTGCAGGACTCCGCAGGACCTGATCTGGGGTAACTTTGGGGTTGTAGTCACCACGGAATACCCCACGGTACCTTCCTCCTCACTTCTGCCCTTGACCTCTCTCCCCACCAGGGATGGTGCGAGGAACCCAGCCCTGGACCGGAGCCTGCCCTTTGCCTGCAGAGAAAACCTCCAGAACGGAAGCACGAGCGACTCCTCCAGCGGGGAGTCCAGCAGCGGGCAGTGGCCAAAGCGGGGCCCTTCCCCGTCCCACGTCCGCTTTGAGGACGAGTCCACCCGGGATGCCGAGTCCCGCTACCTGGACCGGCTGCAGCAGCGCCAGCGCCAGGGGCTGAGCCCTGCGCTGCAGACTGCAGACCAAGGGCCCCTGCGCTCCAAGCCCGAACTCGCCGACTACATCGCCGGGGGCGTCGGGCGTAGGGATGCTGGGGGAGAGGCTCTGCACTGGCTTGTGGGCCACGTGGACCGAAGGGCCTTCCCGGCGCCACCGCCCCCTCGAGGCGGTGAGAGGACTTGTCGAGCCTGCGGCAGCTGCACTGAGGACCCACGCCCTGCCCCGGGGAAGGCAGCCCCGGACCCCGGGGTCCCCCAGGAGCGCGAGGCTCACTCTGGGCTGGAAGGAGTGTGGGCAGAGCCCCTTAGCTCTCGGGTCCTGAGCGCCCCTCTCAGGCTCCTGCCCGCACAGCAGCGCCTTTGCACAGAACGGATCCGGGAGACTCACATCGGAGGTTCTGCGCGCCCGGAGGAGGCGGACTCCGCCCTCGACAGCACGGACACCTCGGACAGCTGCAGGACCGACAGCGAGGATGCTGGCACCTCTCAGCCTGGCAGGACCCGCGGCAGCTGCCCCCGGCCACGGGGCTCCAGACCGCGCGGAAGCCACCGGTGCTTCTGGAAGGCTGAGACGGAGGCGCATGGGAGCCCTCAGGCCCCGCACTCCCAGCCTGGGGTTGATCTCCTGGAGGTTTCGGATGAGGTGAAGGAAGTCAGAGGACACACGCCTGAGGGGACTCTGTTCCCCAGAGAAGATCCTTTGTCCAAGCCTCCCGTGCAGGGACCGGAGAGGGCCTGCCTGGGGTCCCTGGGGTCCCCGGGGCAGCCCGGACCAGAACTGGGCAATCCGGGAGCTCACCCTGTGGATTCCGGGGCTCCGTGCAAGACGGCCTGCGCTGCGGCCTCCTTCGTGAAGCTGGCATCCTCGGGGCCAGACAGACAAGAGCCGGGGAGGGAAAGCCACGAGTCTCTGAAAACTATCTCCCTGCAACAGAACCATGCAGAGCCCTCGGCCCCACGCCAGGCCCAGCAACCAACCACTCCACTTTCCCCCGAAGGCTGGGTGCCAACTCCCCCTCCTTCCAGGAAAACCACCTCGCCTGGGTCTCACAGGAAAGCACCCCGAAGACCAGGTGACCGGGGAGCGCCCTTGGAGCCCCCGCTGGCCCCTTCAGGAAGTGCAGTTCCCAGGACCTGTGAGCTCCCCGCCCCGCGCACCCAGCCCTGCAGCCCCCAAGCCAGGCACCCACTGCTGGCCCTCTCCACCACCAACTACAAAAGCGAGGAACTTGGGGGGCTGCAGGAGCCTGGGGGAGGCGCCACCCTGGAGGACAGGGCAGAGAAGGGCCCCAGCAGCCAGGAGCCCGAGGCAGCCCTGGAGGACTGCAGAGATGGTGAGAGACTGCCTTGGCCTAGGGCAGCCCTAGAGCCGAGACCCCCGGCCAAGTCTGTGGCCTCACACACCCTTCTCTTATCATCTTCAAAGATGACATAGCCACGCACCCTTCCCGGCAGCCCCTTGTAGCTCCCAGGTCAAGGGCAGGTGTCAGGAAGCTGGCGGGGTTTGTGGGCCAGGTACAGGGTTCAACATCAGCCTGGAGGCAGGCTAGCCAGCTCTTCCCTGGGGAGGCAGAGTGGGGAAGTGGTGCTGGTTCCTCTGACTTCTGGGAGCCCTGAGGGGTGTATTGCAGCTCCAAGCTGTGCGGCTCCCAGAGGCCTGGGCCACAAGGGAGTTTCACCATCACAGAGCAGGGAGAGGCAGCAGCGCCAGGATCTACCGTTTGCTTAGAGCAGGAAATGCCCAAATGCCCCTTCAACGTCTTTATTTAGTTCACTCACTCACTCGCTCATTAAGTATGGACTAAACGCCTGGTACAGGCCAGGCACCATACTAGACACCGTGGGGAGTGAATGTACAATTGAATTAATTCAGCAAGAGGGCTGCCCTTGAGACCTTCTTGTAGGAGCTTTGCCTACTGGTCACCACCTCCACGGACATGCTGTCCAGAGGACACAGGGACCAGCAGGCGAAGCTCTCACAAGGGGTGCTGGGGTTGCTCCTTGGCACCTGAGCCCTCCCGGACTCCCGGGCCTGCTGGGCAGGCTGGTGTGTTTCGGCAGGCAAAGGTCGTAGGCTCTCACCTCCGCCCTTGGACGGGGTTTTCATACTGTGGGCAAATCCCGGGCACCGGCAGCCTTAGCTCTGATCCTCGATGTTGTAAGCTGAGGTAACAGCTCAGCCACTCACTTTTAGGCAGAAGGAACAGGTCCACTGCACATGACCTGCTTTAATGTGCCCGCAGCCCTGGTAGCGCGGGGGCTGGGCTGGCTCTGGAGGGACCTAGGGCTAGGAAACAGTGGAATAGGAGAGGGCAGGCGGACCAGAGGCCACACTGAGCTTACTGAGGATGTGGACGCCAAGACTGCGCCCACCCCGGTGTGCTGGCCGCCCCTCCACCGCACACGCACCCACATTTTCCCTCTCCCTCCCTCGCTCACGTGAACCTCGACTGAACCTCGACGAGGCAGGCCCCACCCTCAGCGCCCGCCACCCGTGCTAAGGTGTGGTTTCCTTCCCTGGTGGGCTGTGGGCTGGCTGCTGGCTGCCCCTAGCCACTTCCTGTGGGGCATCTATTCTGAGAGCTGCTGACCTTTCTGGGCAGCCTGACCTTTACCTCTTTGGGGCTTGGAGCGGAGGCCCAGGTGGGGTGCCGCTTCTCATTAGCCAGGAAGCCCGGGGCTTGTCACTTACCCCCTCTGCCCTGCAGGCCCCTTCACTGTAACCCGAGGGTAATAGTCAAACCTGTCTGCTAGGAACCCATGACAAAATCTCAGGGGAGGGTTTAATTCATTGCCTAGCATATCACAAAGGCCCCAGGAATACAAAAATTTCCCCGCTCCCAACTATGTCTCATGAGCTGTGAGGGACATGACTTGTCACAAGCAGCCCCTCATTTAACACTAATTAACCATCTGTGTACCAGGGGTGGTGCTGGGGCTGCTGGAGTAACAGCAGGAAAGAGCCCCCTGTCCCCTCTGCATGGGCCGCACCACGGCCTCCACTGCTCTCGGGGCATCTCTCCAGCTTCCTCAGGCTCTCCTGCCTCTGGGTTGGCAATGTCCCCTCCCCTGTGGGGACGGGTCAGTGCAGGAGGACTCCAGAACTTCTCTCGCCTCTTCAGGTGCTGGCACTGTGAGTTCCACAGGCGTCACCTTCTCCCTGGCCTTAGAGGAGCCAGAGTCCAGCCGGGAACCAGCGGGAGGCCTGCAGAGGACAGAGGCACATTCCGAGGGCGACATGTCATCCCGGTGAGTGACAGGAGCGAGAGCGAGTCCTCCCATAGGAGGTGGAGGCCCGGGGGTGCTAAGTGAAGAAAGAGCCCCCTGGAGTGGTGGCATGACTGGCCTCACTGGTCCCCCGCCCTTGGAAGGCTCTCATATTTATGTGCAAGCCTGGTGCCCCAGTGCTCCTCCCCCTGTCGCTTCCAGTCCAACGTACTTGATTATCATTCATGGCACATTCACCAAACGGCCTTAGCTCCGGGTGCCATGCTGGGCCCAGATGGCCGGCCAGTCCCAGCCCTCATGGGCCCCAGGATGGGGCAGTCTGTCCGAGAAGAGACTTGCTCCTGGCTCTGGGCTGGGAGACGGCCCGGCACTGAGGAAGCAGCCCGCCGTTCACATTTCCATTCTTTCCGTAGTGCACTGTCTTTGCTCTGTGCAGAGTCCTTGCTCTGTGGTTTTGAAGCCTTGGGGAGCCAATTCTCTAGCTGGGACCTTCTCTTCCGTGCTGTGCACCATTCCTGGTGACGTGTGACCCAAGGCTTCACATGTCCCCACAAGCCAGGTCCCCATCCCCAGCCCTCTGTGCTCCCAGAACCGCAGACCCGCGCACCCATTCCCCCTGGGGTGTTGCCCACGAGGAAGCCTGAGAGCCCAGCGCACTTCTCCTCCAATCCGACCAAAGCCGCTTCCCCCAGCGGGTCCTCTCCGCTGCGACCCCACCATCGCCTGCCCCACAGTGCCCGCCTCCGGTTCTGGGGGTCCTCTTAGCCGCTCCCTCTTTGTCTCTCTGACTCCAAACCCCTGGCCAGTCCTCTCCAGCTCCAGAGCCACCTGTATGGCGTTTCTCCTGGTCTAAGCTGCCTTCTTTCTGTGCAACTCAAATAGCCCTGCTGCTCTCCAATTTCCTTTGTGCCCCCCCCAGGTCCTTCTCCACGCAGAAGCCAAAGGTAGCTTTGGAAAACTTTAATTAAAGGGTGCCATTTCTCCTGCCTGAAACCTTTCATGGTTTTTCCTTTCACTTGGAATTCAGGCCTCTTGCCTTGATTTGTGTGCTCAGCATCACCTGGCCCCAGCCTGCCTGCCTGACCTCACCCAGTGCCTCTGTCCCCTTGCTTCTGATGTCCCAGTCCTAACTGCCTGGTCCCACACCGTTCTCCGACCCACCGAGCCCTTCCTGCCCTGCAGCTTTGTTGCCAGCGTTTCTCCTCCCTGGAACTCTCACCTCTGGGCTTGCTGGGCCTGACTTCTTGCCATTCAGCCCGTGGCTTCAATATCATCTCCTCCGAGAGGCCTTCCCTGGACATCCTGTCGCTGCCTGCTTCACCCTGCTCAGCAGTCGCCGCTGGTCTCTCTCCTTTGTTTCCTGGTCTGCTGTTTATAAGCCCCGGAGAGTAAGGATTATGTCTGTCTGTTACCACTTACTTAGGTCATCTGCCACATGTCCCAGTGCCTAGGAGAGTCCTGGAAGAGGTTCTTAAGACACAGTGAATGAACGAGTGATTGAGTGAACCCACAGCTGAGTGTGACTTCAAGGATCTTGTCTGAGCTGTTCTACCTAAAAGCTCCCCAAGCAAAGTACCCTGCAGAAGCCCACTTGGCCTTTCTCTGTGCAGCCTGGCTGTCTCCTCCTCCACAAGGCGCTGGCGTTGGCCTGCCTGGGGCCCGCAGGACCCCGAGGTGCAGTCTGCCCCTGCCTCCCTGGCCCTTGCCCCCACCTCACGTCCACCCTTGCATTTCAGAGCACTACCAGGGGTCAGTGCAGGACCAGGCCTGTCCTCAGCTGCCCCTTCTGACAGGAACAAGAAAACCAGCGGCAGCATCGCCACCCTGGGGCTGAAAAAGTTCTTCTTGGCCCTGGGCCAGGGCTCACGGCCCAAGTTGGGCAAGTCCCGCAGCTACAGTGTGGAGCAGCTGCAGCCCCCTGCACCTGGCCCGGCTTCACACGCCAGCACCCCCAAAGTGAAGAGAGCCCCATCGTTACAGTCCCTGCGTCTGGTGAGTCCTGAGTGCCCAGGCAAAGGCTGCGTGGGGCCACCATTGGGATGAAAGGTGAAGGGAGAAATGAGGCACAGAGGAGGCAGCCTGAGGGGGCCAAGGGGGAGAAGGGGGGCTCCTGGCCCCCCACAGTTGGTAACAGTGGGGGTAACAGCATCCCACCCTGCTATTCCCCCCACCCCCTGCCACAGCTGCCTGGCCTGGGCTCATCCTAGACTCCTCCTCCTCCCCTCCCTCAACTCTGCCACCTCTGCCAAGATCTGGAGTCTACTGCCTGGTCATTCTAGAACCTTCTTCACAGTGCCTTTCAGTCTAGCACAAATCACCTCATACCTGGATTACCTCTGGACCTTCTCACTGGCTTCCAGAGCGGTCCTTCCCACTTGCAAATCTGCCCTTGCCATTCCCTTGCTGAACAGAGGCCATCGGCCCCTTATCAGGGTTCTGTGATCTGATTGCTTTCATCTCTCACCACTCTCCCTCTAACACTCAGTCCCAGTTGTCCTTGACCTTGAAATTCTGTGATGAAGGCCACACACTGTCTAACTTTGAACTTTCCTGTGAAATGTTTCTCCCACCTTCTCTACCTGCTGATGTCTGCTCATCCGTGGACACTTCAGCCATTGCCTCCTCCAGGAAGCCGCTCCCTACCCTCCTTGGGCCGAGCTGGGGCAGCTGGGGGTGGGGGGCGGGCACCCTCTGCTCCGTGTTTCATCTCACCCTGACCTCCCCTCCTGGCTAGAATTTGCACTTAGTATTTTAATTGACTTTTGTTTACCTCCTCCCAGTGAAGTGTGACTTTTTTGAAGGAACACCATTTGATCTTTACACTACAGATATTTAGCACCATGGCAGGTATAGTAGACATCGTGCACAGTGAATGAGTCAGTCCGTGAGTGAGCGAGTGGGTGGATGCAGGCACCCTGCTCAGTGCTGTCTCCCCACCTGCTGGGGGAGGAACCAGTAGCAGCACGCTGACCCCCAGCTGGGTTTCTAGGGACCCCGCACTGTGCCAGGCATTTCCAGGTATTAGGTGTGTTCTCCTAGGCCCTGGTCCCCTCCCTGGGCAGAAGGAAGCAGGTGATTGTGGTTCAGGGCATTGAAGCCTTTCATTTTCAGGCTGAATGAAAATTCCACTTCAGTCTGATTCCAGGAACACTGCCTGGTATTTGGTTGGCGCTCAATCAGTATTTGCTGGATGCCTCTGACCAAGTGGATCACTTGGTTGGAGTGTCATCCTTTTGTTTACCAAAAGGTCGTGGGTTCAATTCCCAGTCAGGGCACATACCTAGATTGCAGGGTTCACTCCCTGGTTGGGGCCCCTATGGGAGGCAACTGACTGCAACCTCTCTCTCTCTCTCTCTCAAATCATTAAACATATCCTCAGATGAGGATTTTTTAAAAAGTATTTGCTGGATGAATGAATGGAAGGCAAAGAAACAGAAGCATTTCAGCCACAGGCTGGGAAGAGGAGCCTGTAGTCACACTGTGCTCCGGGCTGACTTGCCCCAGTTGGTTACATTGGCCCCCGTGCGTCTGGGCCAGGGTGCCTGGGGTGTTGCCCTCGGAGTGCCGGTCTCTGTAAACCGCCGAGGGAAGTGACAGCAGTGCCAGCGTCATGCAGGCGCCGTGGGCAACGAAAGCCGAGTGGGTGAGGACAGAAAGTGAGCTGGCGAGAAAGGGTGGGGGCAAGTGCGGGGCAGGCCGAGCAGCAGAGAGCAAGAACTGGAAAAAGAAGGTAGAGGAACAAGCCATCTCACCCAGAAATATTCGTGACTTCGCTCAGGGTGAACGACTTCCTGTTAGAATGTGCCCCCGAGTGTGTGGGGTGGGAGGATGGGCGGGTGCTGCGGCCGCTTGTTTCCACGGTGCCCTTCCGAGTGGGCAGCGGCCCTGTTCTCACACCTGTTCTCACACCCAGCTGCTCCCACATCCTCCACTGGCTGTGGCTTTTTACCTTTGAACCTACATGTGGCAGGCTGTCCCCCACGGGGAACTCCTGCCTGGCCTTCAGGTCTGAGTTGAACATGACTTCTCCCAGGAAGCCTTCTCAACCTCCAATACAAATCAGCACTCCTCCCCTACCTGCCACTTAAGTTTCTGGATCATATGCCTTATTCCTGCAGAGCATGGGCTCCAAATGTAATGAATGTCGGCAACATTTGCTTAAAAGTCTGCCTCTCCCTGCCTCTGTCGCTACCATTCCCAGCCCCCACCTTCAGAATGGCCTCCTCGTTGGGTCAGTTTCTAGAGCACAGATCAGATCTTGTCACTCCTCTGATGAACATCACTCAGAGGACTCCCTTAGCAGGCCATATACGGTCCCTCCAGGGCTGGCCCCCGGCTCTAGCCCCTCCCATCACCTCTGCAGCCTAGCCACCCAGCCCCTGAGTGTGGTCCTGCACCTACCCTTCTTGCTCTCCTCTCTCCATGTCTTTGCACCTGCTGTTTCTTCCGCCTGGAGGAGGAAACAGCCCTACTTCCACCCCACTTCTGTCTTCACCTGCAGAGTTTCTGCTTCCGGCCTCACTCAGGGGTCAGGTCCTGTAGTGGCCCTGGGGTCTCTTTCTGCTTCCCTGCACATCGTCCGTGACTTCAGCCGAGCACTTACAACTGCATTCAGGGATTCTGACTTCTCTGTGGCCCACCCCTCACCAGGGAATGGGGGGGCTTCTAGAGGGACTTTAGTCTTTTCCATCTATTTAGTCACAATGATTTAAGGTGCACACTTAGATTAAAAAAATTTTGAATGTAACCGATCATAAAAGGGATACAAATGAATCACAAAACAATATTTAAGATTTTAACTCTAAAATTGTGTTTCTTATTCTATAATTAATTTGCCTTCGCTTTTTTCTTATCAAGAAAATCAGATTTTCTTTTAATACATGAGAGTGTTATCACACTAAGTTTTTATGTCAGCACAAAAAAACCCCCAAAACTTGAAGCTTAATATCTCCTGTGTTAGCCCAACTACTTGAGTAAATTATGATGATGCCTGTTGAGCACTTTGAAATAATGACAAAAACTGCTATTTTACTGTGAGAGAGGCCCTTGGGGTTCATGGTTGGGGTCGTCTGTCAACCCCTTGCCAGGTTGACCTGCAATATTGGCTCTTTACCACTAGGTGTCGCCCTCTCCCCAACATCGGAAAGCCGCCTCCTTTCAGAACCTCCATTCTCTGCTGAGTGGCAAGGTGGACAGGTCCAGCCTGTACCTGATCGGGGAGCCAGGGGACCACAGTGAATCTGGCAGGTAAGAGTGAGCAAGTGGGCAAGTGCTTTGGAGGACAAACTCAGAATGGGCAGTGGAGCCATAAGCTGAACTCCTTGCCTCAGCAGCAGGGTCCTGAATGGGATCCCATTAGGAGAAAGTGGGGCCATCTCTGAGCCTCAGGTGCCGTGGAAGTCATGGAGCCCACACCGCATCACTCGTGTCCTGTGTGATCGAGCTCTGCAAAGGTGTGCGGTGCTGGAAGAGGTGTAGTAGGACGGTTTGATTCCTCCATCCCTCTGCTGTCTGATGACATCTTGAAGCCAGAATGCTCAGAGAGCTAAAGGCCAAATTAAAGATCCAGAGAGTGAGACCCCAAAGGGTCCCTTGACCTGTGACCCTGCCTGAAGAAGCCCCACCCTCTGTGATGAGCTCCATCAGAGCACCCTCTCTTACCTGGAGCTCCATGGAGGGCCTTTGGGGTACCCCTTAACTCCTGGAAATTTAATGTAAAATTATAACTTCCTCAGGGTCTCAGAGAAGTCCCTGCACCTGAAAAGATGGGAAACGATGCTATCGTCCTGGGGGGCGCCTGGTTCGGCAGCAGGCTCTGAGCAGCTTCTGGTGGCTGTGGGGACATGCCAGGCTCAGCCCTGGCGAGCTCTTTAGCTGGAACCCCAGCCTTCGGTGGCACTGTGGAGAGGCCCCAGTCATCTTTACGCCAAGGGGCTGGAGCCCAGTGCCGCCCCCTTTGCCCTCACTCTGTCTCGGTCCCCTTGCAGGTTAGCCAAGGCTCCGCCCCGACGTGCGCTCAGCGTGGAGGACGTGAGCTCCCCCAGCCTGGCCCGCACAGTGGGCCGTGTGGTGGAGGTGTTCCCAGACGGCACAAGCCAGCTGCAGCTACAGCGCCCCCCAGAGGGCACTTTTGGCTTCTGTGTGGCTTCCGGGAACGGACGCCGGGACTCAGGTAGGTTCCGTGTGCTTTCTGGGCTCCACAGTCCTGGGACCTTAGCAAACCACAAGGTCCTTTGGCTGTGGTCAGAGGCTTTTTTCTGCTCTTCTGCAGAGCAGTGGAGCTCTGGGCTCTGAGAGCCTCTCATCAAAAGGACTGGAGTTCTCCCTACAAGGGATCTTTCTGAAGAGTCAAGCAATGGGGCTGCTGGAGGGAGTAGCTCTTGGCAGGCTTGACCCCCTGCTGTTACCCCTCTGCTGTTGACTGGCATTCTTGAATCTTGAAGGCCTACTTTTCACTGAGGAGCCAGAGAGAGGTTGTTTGTGCTTGTTGGTTCTGTTCTGAAAGGCGATCCCTTTGATGTGGCTGAGGGGTTTAAACGGTTCCCTCCTGCAGCCGCTGAGTGTGTCGTGTGCCTGCCTGTCTGTGCGTCCAGGTCCCTCCCTGGGGGCTGGCTCCTGAGGGTCATGTTCACATGCACCCTGTCTCCCGGACCCTGGGAGAGTCAGGAGGAGCATTCAACGACGTACAGAGAAAAGTGCCTGGCACTTTTCTTCCCTTCCCACTTCAGAAAGAGGATGTACTTGGGGAACAGCACTCCAGACGGGGACCTACGTGATCTTCATCATGTCAGTGTGAGATCACACACAACTGGGCATGTACTCTGCCCCCCATCCTCCTCAAAAGTCCCTTCAGGCCCCTTTGCAGGTAGTGTGTGCCCCTCCCCCATTGCCTGTGATGGAGTTCTGATGGGCCGAGGCCTGTAATCTCCAAGGGCCCCTTGGGCTCTGCCCTGGCCTGCTCCCCGGGACACCCCTCACCTGAGCTGGTGAGAGCTCTCCGCTGTCCTGCCCAGGTGATGTCCTGCCCCTGCTGCTGCAGCTGGCCGTTGGATGTCACAGAGATCCCCATGCGTGCATGACAGGACTGGTGCGGTGCCTCCTTGCCACAGGCCACCCTCCAGCAGCCAGGAGTCCCTTTTCCTGGGCCTCAGAGGGGCTGTGAGCTGGGGTTGGTCCACATTCCTCGCTAAGACATCAGGATGCTGGTGCTAACTTGCTGCCCATCACACCCGGTTGTACGCAAGCAGGAGATGACAGCTCCTAATACAACATCGAAATCACACACCCTGAACAAAGGCTGTGTCCAGCAGACGATAAACGCCTACAAAAGCAGTCCCGCTGTCATGCTTTTGTCGTGACTTTCAGTTGTGAAACCTACCCCAGAGTCTCCCCCAAATGGCCGGCATGACATCAGTGTCTGGTCTGGCTCTGGCTGCATTCTTTTGCATTTTCTCATCACTCCCCATGTCACATCCTGCTGTAGAGCTGCCATTTCTATGGGCTCCACCCGTCCCCACCTTGCCTTACCTGCCTTTTTCCAACATGCAGACAGGCAAGGCCAGCAGTTCAAACACCAGACAGATGAGGTGAAAGGCAGGGCAAGGGCCACAAGAGAAGCCCACGCAGTGGAGATGGCAGCTGTCCCTTGTTGGGAGGGAGGTGCCCATGCAGGAGAGGATGGGGTGCCTGAGAAGCACCGAAAGGGAGTTCCACGACTGACCAGGGGTAGGGAACGTGCCAAAGGATCGGGTTTGCTAAACCTGGAGCTGCAAAGCTGCGGGTGCCTTGGAGGAGATTTCATTGCCCATTGAAATCCAAATTTCAGAGGATGGGCTCTGAAAAGCTTGACCATTAGGGCCAGAAGCTGGGCCGAGTGGTCCCAGATGTGTCAAATGGCTTCAAGTCAGAGACTGAGGAATGGGACAAAATGCCCTTCTGAGTGAGTCTCTTCTGAGGAAGCTGATTCTAGGAAGAGGAGGTGGGGAGTAACGCACGGCATTCAGTGTGGAGGGAGCCAGCCGAGCCGGCTGGGGAGCAGGGCGGGCACTGAGGCAGCGCTAAGCTGCCCCTGTGGATGCTGCGGGTGCTGTCAGCCACACAAGCTGCCCCCTGCAGTCCTCCAGCAGCCAGGGCTGTGTTCCCTCCGCCCTCCCCAGAAGAGCCTGCTCCTCCTCTGATTTCTCAGGGGGAGGCAGCTGAAGGGGTTTGAAAGGTTTTTGAGCAGAAGTTGTGGTGCGAGGGGTCTCCCTCCACCAGACTCTTCTGCACTGTGTGGCCAGGAGAGGCCAGGGACACTCGGCCTAGCCAGCCCTGCGGCCCCAGTTGGACCAGGAAGGGAGGAGAGTCGGGTTCTCCCCAGGCTCATGCTGTACTTCAGAGACTCAGAAATGGTCGTACTGGCCAGGCAGGGCCCCTCGGGGGCAGTGGGGGGGACAGGGGAGAAGGGGTGTGTAAAGAAAGGGAAAGTGACACACAGGGCTTTAAATAGGGGGGTAAGGTTTTTGTGTTTCTGGGCTTTTGCCCAGAGAACCCCAAATCCCAAACGAGGAACCAGATCCCAGGAAGACTGGGGCCAGGGCCTGCTCTAGGCAATTCTGTGAAGCAAACCAGGCTTGGCTGGGACCTCAGCCACCTCCGTGGTGGCTTTCCTCCACCCTCCTCTCCAGCAACCTGAGGGCAGCAGTGAATCTTGTTTGTGAGGGTCACCTAGCATGGTGCCAGGCACCCCTGTAGGTCTTTTTCTTAATTTTTAGACACTGTTTTCCTCCCTATTCTACAATCAAAGCTCATCTCAGAAAAAGCTATAGCTTGTTCACACTGGGGTATATATGGATAATTAGAGTTGAAAGCATTCTTTGCACTGGGGGCATTTTCCAATGGGAGATAGAGGTGCAAAGTTATACCACAGAGGTGGGGCACACCAGAACTACATATAAAGCCAGCTGTGATTTTTGAGTGGTAATAATGAGGTGTGTGTGTGCATGTGTGTGCAGAAGTGCCCTGTATGAGCACTTGCCCCCGCCTCCCCGCAAACAGCACCCTCTGGTCAGCATGCCAGAGCCGAATGTACCTAATAAAGTCTCCTGTTTTCCTTCGCAGGCTTCTACGTGCAGGAGATGGCCGACGCAAGCACAGCCAAGCTGTACTCGGGGCTGCTGGGGGTGGGGGATGAGATCCTCGAGGTGAACGGGGCCAAGGTTGCCGGGCTGGGACTGGCTCACGTTAAGGAGCTCCTGGCCCATGCAGAGAACTTGTCACTCCGAGTGCTGAGGCAGAGGCCTGTCCCTCGATGACCCAGAGGGTCCTCACTGTCACCCTGTCGGAAGCCATGAACCTCCCTGGGGGGATGACTGGGAATGCACAAAGCTGCTTGGAAGGGCAGGGTGGCATGGAATGCCCTCGGCTGTGGCCAGGCTTCTCTGACCACCCGAGGGAGAGGGAAGGAGCCTATTTGTGTATTTTGTTTAAATGTAATTTATGCAGAACAAGGAAAAGATGGGTGCCTGTGCCCAAGGCGGTGTCAGCGGCTTCCTGCCCCTTTGTTGGCAGGGGGAGGAGTTTCCTCGGGTCACTCAGTGGGCTCCCAAGCATCACCTCACCTCCAGGCCCCATCCCACTCCTTGGCAAGGGTTCCTGTGCCTCCCACACTCCAGAGCCAAAGAAAGTGCTGGGCCACATTGGCCCGGAACCTTTTTCAGTCTTGTTCCTCCCAGCTCCCACGCCACACCTCGGTGCTTTTTCCAGAAATGGGCAAAGTGTCCCAGGGAAACAGCCTTGCAGCATTGACCATATACTCCAAACCCAGCTGGAACATGTGGTCTGATGCGAGAACATCTGGGAGATATTATCTGGTAACCAGAATACTAAGAATTTTTTGTGATACTTAAGGTTGAAGGGGAAAAAATGAAACAGAGACCAATTTTGGGGAACTGCAGCTGTGGCTAGTGAGACGGGCCAGACCAGCTCTGTCCCTGACGCCCTGCCCTCTGCCCTCCCCAGATCAAGGAGCCTGGCCATGAGGTCCTCTGTCTTCCTTCTGCTGAGTTTGGACACTCGGTGCAGCTAGTGCCAGGCTGTCCCCAGCCACAGCTCTCCACCCGGACTCCCTGACAACAGCTATGGCTAGGCCAACAGGCTGCAGGGATGGACTGTCCCACCTGGCCGCTTCCCCTCTCTAGGTTGGAACACTGCCTAAAGGGCTAGGACTCTGGGAGTGGATGGCCATGTGTCAGTTTTAATTTATTAAAAAGCAAATCTGAAGCTTCTCCTATCCTGAGTTGCATGTATTTTGGTCTGGATGCTTGCTTGCTCACTTGACCTCCACTAGCCACAGGCAGGGGCCTGGGGTCGGGGCGAAGAGGGAGGACACAGACAGGGCAGTGAGCTGTGCTAGGCATGCCAGAGGGGAAGGCGGGTTGGCACACGGCGTTGAGGGGACAGGGTGGATGCAGATGCCACCAGAGCCAGTCCTCGGGCTGGGAGAGGAGCCCGGGGCAAGGTACATTTGTGAGCAGGAGTCAGAATAAAGCTAATGAACTTTTTTTTTTTAAAGCAGGACCTTAAATTGGTGCAACTGGGGCCTGAAGTGGGCAGTCAGGGCTGTTTTAGAACATGGCTGCGGGTGGGCTAGGGTTAAAAACAAGCAGAGCCTTCAGCACAATTGGGTTAAAATGAGAGTTACACAGCTTTCAGGGAGCGAAGTCCCTGAAGGAGGCATGTGGCCTCAGGGAAAGGTGGCCAGGGAATGGGACCGCCGTCCTGTGGAGTGTGAGTGTTCTCCCTCCCACTGTAGGGTCTTGTCCACAGGAGCCAGAGAAACTGCCACGGCGTGGCAGGATGGGGAGGCTGGGCCTGCCCGGGCTGGGAAGTGAAGGGATAACAGGAGGGCTGTAGCAGTGAGCAGAGGGAGGGGCCAAGGGAACAAATATTTGGGACTTCAGGGTGTGAAGAAGGCACTGGGACACCTCACAGACCAACCCAGGGCCTCCAAAGTGTAGAAATGGACCCACAGCAGGAACCTACAGGCATTGGGAAACCCTGGTGAGTCCTGTACCCCAGTTCCTAGCCTTGAGATGTTGACTCAAGAAGATGTCTACCTTCCAAAACGGACTCCTTGTGGTTAACGGGACCCAAATTCATAATCACAGCCTAGCGGACATTGTTTACAGAGGTCCCTTAGGCCCACTGCACACGCAGAAAGCCACACGCCAAGGAGGTAAGCCTCCTGAAGTGGGTTCTTGAATTCTGAGCCGCGCCAAATAACGTAAGACGTTCTGGAACTGTATTTCAACCAATGGGCTGACCTGGCCCATCCACTCAGAACTTTCACAACAGTAGTTTCATTTGCATCTTTAGGGACCAATCAGAGCAGCTCCATAATGACCAATAGGAACACATAATTTTGACCAATCAGGACAATGCTATTTAGACCACTCAGACTGCAAACTTGTATTTCTCATTTGCATAGAAATGGACCAATCAGAGACTAGGGCGGGACTTTCTATAAAAGGTGGTTTAAAATAGCTCTTGTAAAAACCAGGAGCCATTTTGGTTTTTACACGGTGCGGTTGTTTTCCTGGTTAGGAAACTGTTCCTTGTATGGTTTCTCCTCTTTCTGCGCTCTTGTCTGCCTTAGTTGACTGAGGTCATGAAACGTTGGAGAAATTGCATGCTGAAAAAGCTTCTGAGGGCAAAATGTTCCTCTGTTTTCTTTGTAAGGTAATGGCAAGTTGCCTTTCCAGCCCCAGCAGGGAAGAAATGGAAGGAAATAGGGGCCGCTGGGTCTGGGGCAAGACAGGGAGAGGTCTCAGGAGTTCTGGGCATTCTGAATCCACCACCTCCCAGGTCGGGGCCAGGATCTTGACACATGTTAAAGTAGTCCTGCCAGGGATGTCCTGTTTATAGTTTTCACTTCTGCAGATGGAGAACCCAGATCAGCAACAATAACAGGGCGTTCAGATCTGGCCCCTCCAATGCAGAGCCCACTCTTCCTAGCGCAGCCCTGCCCCCATTCCAGAAAACCCTTGTTGAAAAGCATGGGGGGAGGGGGAGAGGCGTTCTGGACTGAGAGGTGGACCTTCCTTGCTCTAATTTCAGTGGGGCAGAGGCGCTCTTTCCTCGGCGTAAAGCGATGCCAGAGCGCTGTCTTATGTAGGTGGGAGGGGACTCTTTCCTCCAGATGCCCTTCTGACCTTCTTCATTTCTGCTGCTTAGGATCCAGCCCTGCATCCCCTGCAGGACCATCAGAACCCTCACTTAGGACTAGGAGCCAGGCCACGTGCCAGGCAGGAGCTCAGGTCGATGAGAAAGACGGGCCCTACCTCAAGCTGCCAGAACCTAGGAAAGATGCTGAACCGCTGCCGCCAGGCCAGGTGTGAGCAGCAAGAGAAGCTGGCACCTGGCACATGTGGGGTAAGGCACCTGGGGTGGTCTGGGGTCAGCTGAGGGGCAGGAGGCGTGCCCACGCAGGGTTTTGTAAAACGGGTGGGAACCCAGAAGAAGGGGAAGAGAAGGGACACCGTTCAGGCACGGAAAATGAATGTCTTGTACAAACGTGTGGCTGTTTCCTGTGTGTCACCTGTGCCTCCACCGCATCTGTTTAATATATTCAGACCTCGAGTCACAGGAGGCACAGAAAAGTGGCACCAACTTTGGCCTCCTACAAGTCAATATCCTTAGGGTGACGCGGAGTTCAGAAGCCGGGCGGTCCCGGGCAGGCTGCGCCCCCGCCAACACCTGTTTTGACTTGTTTTCAGGGCTTTCTCTCCTCCGCGGGCAGGCGCGTCCTGCTCCAGGTGCCGGGCGGGGGCGGGGACACGGGGAACGTCGCGGGCCAGTTACCGCGCGCCGGCTGCGGTCGCCCCCGCGCCTCACGAGGGGGAGACCAGGCTCTGGTGCGGGTGGGGCTCTGCGCCCGCCGCGCCATCCCAGCCACCGGGCCGCTGGGAGGCGCCAGCCTTCCAGCCTTGGTCGCGCCCTCCCTCACCTCTGCGGGAGCTCTGTCAGCCAGGGCGGCGGTCCAGAGGGACGTGCGCCCTTGGCCTGGGTTCTTGGGGGAGGTGGGGGTTAGGTTTACACCCCCACCCCACCCCGTACATCGGCTGGGATGGCTCGAGAGGCTGGGGTGAAGACGTCCTGACTTTGCCCTCGAGGATCTGCACGGGGCGGGGGGGGGGGCGGGGGGCGGAGAGACCAACTCTGGGAACTTGACCGAGAGTCGCTAAAATTAGGTGGCGAAGGCGGCAGCGAGGGGAGGAGTTTTAGCTGGGCAGAGGTGCAGAAGGGGGAACAGGGGTGTGGGCACGGTGCGAGCGGCATCTGAAGTTTAACGCGTGAAGGAGGAGCCGCAGGCGTGGCTCAAATTTGGGAAATCAAGGTCAACCTGAGAATTCGGGCATGTGCAGTCACTGGGCAGTCTGCTCCGCAAATATTCGTTCCGCAAATACTCCAGACCTCTGTTGGGGGCTTTAAGGACACAAACCTGATTCCTTGGGGCAATTTTGTGAGGGAGGGACCACTTTTCTCTGGGTTAAAAACTAGGAGCCCGAGACTCAGAGTTGCTTATCCAAGGTCACACAGCAAATCATTAGCAGAGGCAGGACTTGAACCCCTGTCCCTCAAGTCCCCGCCTGCGTCCATCCACTTTTGGGGGACCCTATGGGATTTGCTTCACTTGGAGGCCATTGGGTACCCCCTCCGGTGCCCACACAGACTCTGGGCAGAGCAGTGGCCCCGTGCTGGCCTTCACGAGCCAGCATAGGGGCTTTTCTTCGGATTTCCTGCAGGGAAATGGGATTGGCGTTCCCACCTGCCTGCCGGGAAGGGAGGGGCAGTGGAGGAAGAAGCACCAGCTGCTCACTTTCCAGAGTGTTTCTAAACTATAGGCATAACCCACTGTAGGTAACCAAAGCTGTCTTTTATGGGCTGAGACCAGCATTAAAAAAATAATAATTAATGCCTCCCACGAGAGCAAGTTTTGTTGGGAAACGCTTCTTTCAGGTGTGTGTCCTGAGTTGTAATTCAGTGTCTTTAATGGCCCTGCTCTGAAGGGCGGTGAACAACTTGCCCTGGGTGCTAAGAGGGTGGAATGGGAAGGGGTGGGGTAGGGGGGTGTGGGGGAGCCTGGTCCCTCCATCCCTGTGGTGGGTCGTGAGCAGCCTTGCCTGCTGGTGGCTACACAGACCTTCCCAGGCCTGGTGGCTGGTTACTGTGCCTGGCCCCTGGGAAAGAGGCACCCTTGACCTTGCATCCCTGTCAGCAAGGGGAAGCCCCTATGCCAGAGTAGAGTGCAGTATGACTGGACTTCCTGGTTCTCCAAACTGGCCTCCAGGCCACAGGGTTCCCACGTGGGTATTTATTTATTGTCCGGAGCTTGGGTTGTTGGTCCCCTGATCCAGGCATTGCCATTCGTCTGCTTAGTGTATTCAGTGCCTTTGCTGGAACACCTTCCCCTTGCCCACCCATGAGCGCCCTGGCTGCCTTCAAAAATATTAGCGGTGCCTGTCCTGGGAAGCATTGCCTGACACCTTTGTGCTTACTTTGGCTCCTTTTCCTAGTTCCTATAGACACTGGTACCAAGGGCTCTTTATTGTGGTCCTTTTAACATAGAATTGCTGTTCTATCCTGCACCAAACTTACCTGGCAACAACTGGACCTCCCTGGTGCCCATTCCATTTCCCACCCAAATCCCCAGGCTTGTTCTGGAGCTATTCAAAAGGCCCTGCTGTCATTAGACCCCCCTCCACCTCACCCCCACCCCCCACCACCTTCCCATCCTCTCTGAAGTTTCCGTCTTTCCTGTAGAGCCAGAGCACCTGCCTAGAAATGGCAGCAGCCTTCGTTGGCAGGAAGCTGTGCCCAGCTCTCTCTCAGGCTGCGGATTTGACCAGGTCGGAGTGCTGGGCCCAGAGGAGGGGGCTGCTGGGATTGGCTCTGATATCTGCCCGTGGAGCCAGACCTTAACAGCTGCCCTGCCAGGCCTGGAGGGTATCTGGGGCTCTCTCACGGATGCCAGGCTGCCTGCTGGGCCTGCCTTTGTCTTATCCTTCTGCAGTCTGGGCTCAGGCCCCAACTCACAGTGTGGAGCTGCCCTTGGGGGTCTGGCCCAGTGCCAGGCACTGGGAAGAGGCCCGTCCTGCCCTTGGGCAGCCCGTAGCCCCAGGTGGAGGCAGCTACAGCTGTGGAAAGAGGCCGACCAGTGTGCCAAGGGCTGCAGTGGGAAGCCCAGGCAGGTGGTCCCATCCACCTGGTGAGCAGAAAATCTTCCCGGAAGAGCCAGCGCAGGCTCAGCAGCCTCCATCCTGCTCCTGTGTTCTCTCAGGAGCAAGGAGTGTTAGAGGCCTGGAAGCTCACAGCAGCACACAGACGCCGCAACTTTGTTTCCTGCACAACTTGGACGGTCTCCAGGCCTTTCTGAGTGTATGTGATGAGTCTCACTCACCTTCACATACAGCTCCAGCCTCATAAACAAAAGCTCCAACATGCAGGGCTGGACAAAAGTAGATTTACGGTCACATGGTGACATTTTGAGTTAACAAAGCTATTGTAACAATCGTAACCTGCCTGTCTTTTTTCTGTACGGACAACTGTAAACGTCCTGTTGCCCACCCTGTATTTTATCATCACGACTGACCAGCCAGAGGCCCTCAACCAGATACCCTGAACGCCACCCTGGGCTTGTAGGATCTGAGACGTGGTTAGGTCCGTGGCAACTGGTTCCTGTGCTTTATCTTGGGCGCTGCTGGAGTTTGGTGCTTTAATCCACTGTGGACTTGCACCACTGCTCTTCTCATGCCTCTTCACTCTTCCCTTTCCTCCACCATTTCTCAGGTTAGAAAGACGGCTTAGTGAAGCATCTGCTTCCACCACTGAAATCCGGACGGCATCTCTTTTTCTGTTACGGGATGCAGGGTAGTGGTTCAGTCAGACTTGGGTTCCAGCTCTACCACTTACCGGTTGCACCCTTGGGCAGATGTCTTAACTGCTCCATGTCTCTGTCTTCAGGTATAAAACGGGCCTCAGGGGGTTGTGAGGATTAAACCCGGAGTTTTGCTCCCCATCAGGTCCCTAATGCCTTGGTCAAAGGCCTGCCTGGCACATCAGATCAAATGCTGGCCAGAAGTACTGGTGTTTTGTAATAAGACACAAAATTTGAGAAATTTGCTCCTGGAAGAGCCGGCGGCCCCTTTCCAAAGGCTGGCCAGTCTTAATGTGACTTTTGTGAGCAGAGACAGAAAGCATTTAATGGTGTGCATGGGGGGTGGGGGGAGCGAAGGGAGGACACACCACTGCAGAGGTCAGGTCCAAGGTGGCTTCTGGGGCCCTTAGCCTCTCTGAGAGGTCCACTGGTGGGGACCTTTTGCTTAGGCTCTGCCTGTGCCTGCCCCAAACAGGAGCTGACACTAAGGTTCTGGGTGTCAGCACCTTGGTAGGAGGGGCGCTGTGCCCAGACAGCCGAGACCCTGGAGACCAAGGACCAAGGGTTACTGATTTCACTGGGTCAGTAAACACATTGTGGCCCGTGGACGGGTCTCCCTGTCTTGTGAATACACTTTGCCTCCAGTCTTGCCTTGTCATCTTTCTCCTGTGGGGTTTATGTAAGACTTGCAGCCAGTGGGAACCCTTTGAATGACAGCCACGCAGCAGATTCACGAGTGGAGCCAGGCACTTGCAGATTCAGTCCCCTTGTCCACAGCACAGTCCACGTCTCCCCATGGCGTGCAGAGCACTGACTGCTTTCAGGAGAGGGCGCATATAGCCATTTCCTGCTTCCGAATCTCTTCCTCCTCAAGTGTGAACCATGATCCTCAGAATGAGCACACATTCCTTTGGCGAGGCTCGTCCATGTGCTGGTTAGCCTTTCCCCTTCCTAAGCTGGTTGTTACCATATTAGGGGAAGTCAGGCCCCGGGCTCTGGACGCACAGAGGCACCAACTTCTGTGCCAGGCGCTGTGGCACAGTAAGCGGCTCTGCCTCTCACCAGCTGTGTGACCCTGAGTTGGTTACTTGTGTCCCAGTTTCCTCATCATCACACTTTCATACAGTCATTTTAAAGTATTATGTATGTTAATCCAGACGAAGTACTGAGAACAGTGCCTGGCACGTCAGTGAAGGTGCCCATGAACGAGTGAGGATGATCAGTGAGGATGATCGTGGCCAGGGAGTTGCAGATTCCTGCCCCCAGGGAGCGCATGTAGCCTCACATGGTCTCATATAGGACTGAGGGTGGGTGCTTCCAGCTACAGGCCCGGGTGGCCAGTGTCATTTGCTGTGACACTTCAGGGGGTGGGGGGTGAAGGACTTAAGAATCCATATAACCAGCTCAGCCAGAGAAAGCGCAGGTTAGCATTCAGCTCTCCAGCAGCCAGACGTTCCACCCCAGGTGTATGCTCATGTCCATGTTTAGTAGTGGGGGTGCAAGGCCATATTTAGGTGTGAAAAGAATAAAAACAGAAACCAACCAACCAAACTTTAAAGAAAAAGAAAACAACCCAGGACAAAGCTCGTGGTCTCTCCATTTCTCTTTAATACTGAATAGTATCCTTTATACAGTTGTAACATGATTTCAAGAGCAGGAAAAAAAAAACATTGCTGATAGACTTTGGGTGTAAAAATATCACTTTAAAGGACAGCTAGCTGAAGTTTCATTTCACACGAGTATTTAAAAACATTTTTCCAGTTTATAGTGTCATCAAATTTTGTTTAACATCGGGACCACAGCGAATGTCGTGGGAGATGCTTTATTTTGCAGGGATGGCTCATTGTAGCCTGAATCCCACAAAGTAGTAGCAGTGGTTGTCAAACCGGAGAGGGCTCAGGATCTCCTCAGGGCCCACGAAACACAGCCTGCTGGCCCCACCCCCTCTGGGAGGTTGCGTGGGCCTGAGAATCTGAATTTCTAACAAGTTCCCAGGGGATACTGCTGCTGCTGCTCCTACACTTGGAGACCCGCCGTACGGAGAAGCAGGACCTGTTTACCTGTGGCCAGGGCTGTAAACTGCTGTCACCAGGCCTCCGGCAAGGCTGGGGGTCGGGGACAAGGGGAAGCACCGTCTGGAAATCACCCAGGCAGCTTCACTTCTACTCTTTGATCTCACTTCTTTAGTTTGTACCTTCTAGTTATTTAAAAAGAAACGCTACAAGGTTATTTATCCTTGGAAGAAAAATATGACAGGTTAGTCCTGCTGAGCATTGCCTTGTAGTACACATTCTACGTTTAAATGATACTCATTTCTAATAACAAATGAGCCAGTAAAATTGTATTTCCACTCAACAAGAAAATGAAGCCATAATCGTTTACAGCTTGCTTTCTTTGGCCCTTCCCTGGTTTCCAGGCTGCCCCTCCCGCTGGGCATTCTCCCAGCCTGGGCCAGTTGGGGATGTAATCGCATGGCATTTCCCAAACAAGCAGGTCCAGGAGCTTATTAGGGACACCTGGCTGGCTTCTCCTCGCCCCAAATGGATGACAGAGCACTGTTTTCCTGAGGATTAGGACATCTGCCTCTCCCAGAAGAGACCTTATTTGCATGGCCGAAACTGCCATTCAGTTAGTGGGTCTCAGCTAAACCTGCTTTCTACAGAGCAGGAAAGAACCACCTTGAACTTGCTCCCACCCTGGGGCTGATAGAAAGCTTGGCTGGAGAGCAGCCCCGGCTGTCACCAGGGCCAGGAAAGCTGTGGTCAGAGAACAGTGAAGCTGGGTGGTCTAATATCTAACACCTCCCAAATAACCAAGTGGCTTCTGGGTTTGAACACTCATAACCTTAAAAATGAAATGGTGAAACACACTTCTTCACAAGGGTCAGGCTGCGGCTGGCAAACCCAGTCCATGAACCGCCTGTGTGAAAGCCGAGCAGTAGGGCAGGTTACGTGTGATCTAAACGCAGCTCCCACGGCACGGCCTCAGGAAGGACGAAGGTCATGTCAGAAGGAAAACACCAACGCCAGAACTTAGGTCACAGGGGAACAAGTTATTTTTCTTTCTTTCCCACTTCCCCAGATGGCTGAGTCAGTAAAGAAAGAGACTGTCATGCAGAGAACTCCCAAATACATGTAGATGGCAGCAGCGTGACCCAGGTGCCTGTCACTTTCAGAGCTTTGGTGTTTGTCCAAAGGCAAAAGGCATCAAACAGCTGGGGTGACCATGACAAGGTACCACCAGCTGCCCTTTAGTCATGTTGCTGAGGCCAGCTTGTCCCAGAATGTGAGGGCCCCTGGGCCAAGTTCAGGATGCAGCGCATCAAAACGACTCCGTCTGTTGGGAGAGCTGCTATTGTCTCTTGAAACGAGGAGACTGAACTAAGTGATCGAGTTCACTGAGCTTACTACTGTCAGAGACATGAACCCCAGATGTCAGCTGCTCTGGAGCGTCAGCCCCAGCACCAGGAGGGCCACAGCAGGGCTGTTCTCCCTGTTCCTGGCTTCTGGACTTGACCCCAAACAGCAGTTTCCCAGGGACCATTATCGAGTAAGCATGGAGGGAGTTGACAGCCGGAGGCAGGCCTTGTGCGAACAGGGCCTCCTTCCTTTGAGGATAAGCATATGTTTTGTGAAGGCCGGGGGCCGGGTAAGGGCAGCTGGCCATTGGGGAAGACCACCTGCTGTTATCGTGCCAGCCAGGTGACACAGCTGCCCTCACCGGAAGTGGAGGCTCACAGGGCCTTCCTTCGGAGCACTCCCAGAGAGATGCCCTCGGTCAGGGGAGATGAGGCGGAGGGGCTACGGGGCTCCCTCCCCGTCTGCAAATCTTTTGGTTTCGCCTTCTCTCTGCTCATGATGAACAAAGAGCACTCTTCAAGGGAAAAAAATTTTTTCTTAAAATATCTGGGAGGGAAAGAAAGGGCAGCAAGAGAAAGACAGGAGGGAAGTTTAAAGGAAGTGCGTCCCATCATTAGAACTTCGGCTTTGCAGACAGTCTGAATTTTGTGTTGTTTACAAATCCGTTCCGCCATTTCCAAGGCAAAGCCACACAGGCCAGAGTCCACAGAGTGGAAGAGCAACTCATTTGTATCATTCAGTTTTTAGATCTTCCAGTGCTATGAATTCTCTGGAAAGCTCAGTCCCACTTCACAGCCAGGAAGATTGCCAAGAGCAGAATGCTGGCTCTGCAGCCTTCACGTACAGAAGGTGCAGCCCTTAACAGAGACAGATTTCTCTTCACAGCCCTAATCTCACGAGGTGAGAAGGAGGGGAAGTTGCCAAGTCCTTGGCTCCCAAACCCCTCAGTCTGTTTAACTCCGGCTAAAAGCAGAGAGTGATGGGCAAGCCGCCAAGCTTCTCCCCCTCGGGCTCGGGCGTGAAGATCCTCCTGTGACAGCTGCCACACCGTGGTGGCGCGCGGGGCACTGGGGCTGTTCCGTTCCCACACAGGCGCGGTCAGACGTTCCACTGAAACCAGGGGTGTTTCACTTTTGCAGTTGGGTCCCATCCCGGCAAACTCCGCGGTTCGGTGCTCACTCTACCTCCAAGTCAGTGGTCAGCGACGTGTCCTTCCCATGAACGTTAATGGAGTTCTTTCTCCGTTACCCACCTCATTCTGCCAGTTCTTTAGGTGATGAATATGGGGTGAGGTGTGAAGACTGAAGGAGGGAAGGAGCCCAGCTCTGCTACAAGATGTCATTCTAGCAGCCTCAGCCTAACCTAAGCCCCCGGCTTGTCCTCTTCATCACCAATTTGGAGGCTGAGTGGAGGGCTTTCAAATGACCTCTTGTCTATAGTGACAGCCCAGTCAGGATGCACCAGGCTGAGTGAGACCCAGGGTCGAGCCAGCGTGGCCAGGAGTGCTGTCTGGGGCGGAGCCAGCTGCGGAACACCTGAAGAGGCGGCTGCCAAGGAACGGCCCCTTCGAGTGTGGGCTGCAGTGGCCCCGCCGGCAGACTGCGCCTAGGGCTCCTATGTTCAGCACATGTTCCCTTTCTGAGCGTTTCTCTATTCAGCTTCCGCCCATGAGTCTGGACCACGGTAGTCACTGTATAGCCAACACGGAAATTGGTGGGGTGGGCATGTCGATTCTAAATATATCCAAACGTTAGGTAATTAAGCCTCAGGGTCACAAAACTTGGTCCCTGAAGTCAGTCAGGGGAGTATCCATGGGTCAGGCATGTTCCCAGCAGGGCCTCCTGACACACACGGCAGTTCTGCAGGGCACAGCAGGTCTGGGGAGAGCAGGACGGACGACGGCATGGCTTCGAAATGCGGTGGCCACATAGGTCAGAATCCGGGTGCCCGGTGTGGCGTGGAGAGAGCGGATGAGAGTCCTAAGACAAGCCCCACGTTTTAACGAAGTCGCAACAAAGACTCGTGTATCCTGATGCAAACCTAAGGGCCGCCCCTGGTCTTAGTTCGTAAGAAGACTATTTGAGTAAGTCCCCAAAATTAGTAAAACAAATACTCTATACCCTACATCTGAAGCCCTTTGTAATAATCACCCTTTTTTCCTAGTGTGAGAAGAAATGTTTATATATCAAACTGTTGAATGTAAACACAGATGCCAACGACCCTTTCAGTTTTTATAAATCTACTTTTAACTTCCATAGGTGTGCAGAATCCCTCACCTGCCACAATCCTAAACATGAGAAAATACCCTTCTTTAAAATTTTACAAATATTTATTAAAAAGTGCAATTCAAAAGTTAGCTGGGCAAGTACATCATCGCAAATCACAAAAAAATAGGAAAAGAGACCAAAACAAAATGAAAACAAATACAAACAAGAAAAAAGTTTCACGAGAAGTTAGGAATGGACCCCAAAAAATGAGGTGTGAAGCCAGTGCTGGAACTTTATCCCCGGGTCGCTGCGTTTTGCGCGTGCGCAGGGCGATGGTGATGACGCAGCAAGGCCGCCGGGCTCTGGCTGCGATGTCAGGCCATTCGGGGGTCGGGCGGGCGGTTATAAAAATATGCTATGAACATGTGCACATGGAAGCACTTACAGAGTCACCAGAAGCCTGAAGTTAAGTGTCTCAGCAACTAAAACTCAACCGAAGCATATGTTATTTAAATTTGGATTGGCTCAGTGATTTGAGTGGAGATAAAAATCGAGTTGTCATCTTAGGGGGGAAAAAATAGTTCGCCTGCCCTTTTTGCCATTACTCACAAGACAAGCACAGCCTGGTCCAGAACGAGCCTTCCCTGTCATTACGGCTTCTAACTACGTGTAATACATGTGCCACCCTTCCTCCAACCCGGTCCCGCCAAGGCAGTGTGTGACGGGACCTAAATCCATTCAGGTGGGCCGCTCAGCAGCCCTGGATTGAGGGTCACCCTAAAATAAAAATCTCACCTCTGTGGGGAGAGGGAGAGGCTGTTGGGACAGCCGCCTGAATTCAGCCAGGCCCGTGACCTCCCAGGACCTCGTCGCCCTTCGCCCAGCTGTGCCCACGCGAGGTCACGCTGCCCTTCCTCCCTCCAAGTCCGGAGGCCCGGTGTTAGCACTCCCAGAGCGCAGAGCTGCTCACTGTTTCCCATCCGCTATTCTCACCACAGAAAGATACGCCTGGGAAGGCAGCCTTATTCCTGAAGAACGAACCACTGCATCTCCTGACACACACTGCTTCTGGGCCTTCTGGCCCCGTAACAGCAGCTCTCAGGGGCAGTGGAGGGGACGGGGGCGCCCCGTTCCTGACGGGGTCCTTCTGCAGGGGACAGTGGCTGCTGACTGAGCAGGAGGAAGCCGCCGAGGATGGATGGAAGGATCAACGGCGAACACTCACTGAGTCTGCAGTTCTCTGGATTCCGCAGAGACCCTCCATGGGGAACGAGGTCCAGAGAGGCAAGGCCGTGGCGAGCTGACCTCAGGTCAGGAGAGGCGCCAGGAGTGTGCAGTTGCTCTGTCCCCTTCCCACCGGTTCCTGCAGCACTGGGGCGGAGGAGCTGCCTCGGTGGTGGTCACAGAGAAAAGTCAGCTCGGGCTGTGTTTTCAGAAGAGGACGGCGCCAGCCGGCACAGGGCAGACCTCGCCCTCCTCCGGGGCTCCAGGGCCGTCACAGCACAAGGAAGAGGACCAGCACAACCAGCAGCACCACAAAGAGGACGGCTATGGCGCACCACTGGCGCCGATCTGCAAGGCAGGACAGGAGGGTTGGCTCTCAGAACTCCCCCCGCCCCAAGGCAGTCTCGTGAAAATGAAGGCCACCCCTTGAAGCAGAAAAGGGACAGCATGTGCAAATGATGGGGGCAGAGAGGCACTTGAACCTGCCCAGGCACCTGGTCCTCCCACGCTGCTCTGCTCCTGGCCCATACTGCACCCGCATTAGCCATCCCCACACGCTGCCCTGTGATAAGACTGTGCTCCCTGTCACAGGTCTTTAATTAAAACCTGTGGCGCTTAGCTTTCTGCTGGCGGTTACTGCATCCCTGGAAAAGGTGTTGGCCCTGGCATTATGGATCAAAGCCCATCTGCTTTAATCTCCCACTGAGGTCAAATCATTTCATTCCGCAGTAATCCTGTCTGGTCCTCGGAGCACTATGGGAGGATGGAAAGGGGATGGAAGTTATAGCTGGTCACTTCAGGGAACAAAGAGCTAAAAAAGTGGGCTCCAGGGACCCTGAGCATTCATCACACCCCTGGTCAGGAAAGAAGTAAGACTACTAACCAGTGACCATGTTTGAGTAAGTCACACAGCTTCTATGTCCATGAAAGTGAACTGTCTTTCCTGAAGCTTTCTGCCCCACCACCGATTTGGAAAAAGGCACAGGAAGCAAGGTGGCTAGAGTCCATCTCAATGGCCAGCAGCAAGGAGGCCCCAAGGGACGGAGTGGGCCCCGGGGGGATCCCCAGCTCCAGCCCAATCCAGGCTGTGGTTGCCCTGACTCCGCGACAGCAGCCCTGGAGCTGCTGAGAAACAGCCAGGCCAGAACACCCTCACACACGTTCTTAGGCACAGGATGCTATCCTTCTCAGGATGGCCTTGACCTTGAGCAGGTATAGACAGCAGGTGGTCTTTCCATTGATGAGTCCTGCTATTTTCCACAGCAAGTCAGACTGATGGAAAAAACTTGCGTCATCCTATGAAAATGCAGGTCAACTGCTAGAGAGAAGAGTTCCATTTAAATAGAACTGTAAACAAATTCTGATCCATCAGAAGTTTATTTGAAAGCCTGCAGGTTTCAGCACCTGAGACTACTGAGACATGGCTACTGAGACTCACATCATAAAAAGGTCTGGCTCTGGCTTGTGTGGTTCAGTGAATTGAGCACCAGCCTGCAAACCAAAGGGTCGTGGGTTCGATTCCAAGTCAGGACACATGCCTGCGTTGAGGGCCAGGTCCTTGGCTGGGGGTGTGTGAGAGGCAGCCTCACAGTGATGTTTCTCTCCCTCTCTTTCTCCCTCCCTTTCTCTAAAAATAAATAAAATCTTTTAATAAAAAAAGGTCAGGATCTAAGAAAATAGATCATAAAACTCTCCATAAGGCAATACTAAGTCCACAAAACTTCAGAAAAATAATTTAAATGTCCTGGAGAGCAAAATCTTAAAAGCAGCCAATACAACTAAAGGATATAAGTGAAGCAAATACCTTCCTGCTGATGACCAGCTTGCTCTGTTTCAGACACGCTAGAAACTCACTTCCTAACTGTGCTGAGGGCAAAGACCCCAAGTCTGCGCCTTCCTTGTCTGAAGGAGAACCATTCCAAAGTAGGCGGGGTTGGCCGACTCCAGGTGCTGTTCTCAGTCCATTTAGCTGTCACTTCAGTGGTCAAGAAAGCTACAGTGACTACCATTCTTTCACCTATGTAAAAATGTTTACGCTAATTTAAAACCACTGTCATTGAAAACAGTCCATATTCTCCCAGGACAAAACAGTCCAGATAATCGCTTCCTAGCCACCCCTCCCCCATCTCACACCTAATTCCCCAGCACTTCTCCCCCACACCCAGGCACCCTGCCATTTTCAAAACCGGATTTCCAACACTGAACCAGCTCTCCACCTTTTGGCTTTCGGTTAGCCTCAACCAACCCCCTCCCCACCTGCCGTCACGCGATTGCCTTAAATGGGAGTTTTCATCAAGGAGAACATCCACGGGCAAGCTAGCGCAACCCAGGAATGCTCATTTAAGGCCATTTCCCCTCGAAGTGATAAGCTGCTTCTATGCAGCATGAACTAGGTAGCAGGGAGCAGTTACCTTAGCTGACTTCTGGGAAAAGGGGAGGGGACTAATCACAAGGGCTCTTGTGACCAGTGGAAAGTCCTAACCAGCTTCCTGCAAGCTCAAGACCTGCCTCAGGGCGCAGGGGAGCAGAGGGAACTCCAGTGGCAGTTTTTTCTCCTCCCCAAATATTCCCCCCCCAAAGAGAAAAGATAACAGAATTTTTGGTAAACGAAGGAAAGTAAACGTTACTATGTACTCAAAAGGATATGCTTTGGGTAGAATGATGAGATAGTGTCTCTCTCGGGTAATTCAAAAAAGTGAGTATGGGGTCTTGGTGGCTCTCTGCCCACAATGCTGTGGGAGAGCCAATGTTTTGCATCTCAGGAGCGGTGGACCGTGTGCTCAGTTACCACCTAACCAAACTTCAGTGTGTCTTTCTGTAGGTAAATTTTCCCAAAAGTTACGGAGGGCAGACACAAATACAGATTGCCTTGTCCTCAAACTGAAGCAGACACCACCAAGCAGGAGGCCCCGAACAATCTTTCTTGGGGAGCAAGCGAAGATGAACATGAAAACCACAGGCAACCTCTCCAAACTGAAGGGCCTTTCAGGCTAAATGCTCTGTTTCCTGGCTCTCTTTCCTAGACAAATATAACTAAAGTTCTCACTTTGCTCCCCAAACCTTCCTTCTGGGAGAAAGTAGAATAAAGCATAAACAAGTTTCAGTGCTATTTATACACACTGGACAGCTTATCACAATGCAAGTGCTTTTCTAAATTATTCATACCCGGAATGCTGGGAAGCAAAGACACTGCATCTTTGTTCAATTGCTTGTCCCCAAACAAAACTGGTGCTGAAGTAGCTACTTGACTTTGCAGCTAATACATGCACTAGAGGGAGGGCTGGTGTTTAAAATGGTTATATAATACTTCATTAAAGCCTTAAAAAAAAAAAAAAAAAAAAAAACAAGGGTGGGGTGAAAGAGGAGAGAACAGAAAGAGTCAGAGAGATTGATGACTTTGCAAACCTTTCTTGCAAAGTGTCAAAGGTGAACCAAACTGATGCCCGCGTTAAGGCAAGGACGAGCCTGATGGAAGTACATGTGCTTAGTCCTGGAAAGCAAGCAGGAGCTGGGCCTGGCTAGGGGCGTCCCTTTGTTTTGGACATAACAGGTCATCACCCCTTAGGGCCACTTCTGCCTGTCTTACGATTTTTTAAAAAACACTTACTACATGCTAATACATGGAAGACACTGTTAGACACTTGTGCATTAATTATTACTATTTCAGTGAGTCTTCACTGTGACCTTGAGAGGCAGGCATCACCCTGTTTTTTAATCAACAAGAAACTGAGCCCCAGAGAACTGTAACTTGACTATGAATTAAACTGCGGAAAAGCAAATATACACGTGTATCTAAACCTTGCCTCAGACAGCTCAGGTATCAGACTCTCATAACATGTGCCCGATGGGAAAACCAACAGAAAAGCAAGGTGTGGAGAAGCGAGCAGGTCCCCGTGGGGGAGGGGCTGAGGCCTGAGAACACCTCACTCACCTCAAGGCGAGTCTCAGTTCCTCCTTTGCCAAGCCACCCCCACCAAGTGAAAAAAAAAACAAACTGGATTTTCTTCCATTTAAAATGTTATTTCTCATGTAACGGGGGAGGCCGGTTGTAGTAATCAAAAAGCAGACTCACTGGGACACATCCTCCTATATAGTGGCTGATTTGAAAAATGCTACTACTTCATCCCCATCCTGGTGCTAGTTTGCTGGAACATTTCACTGTGAATTTAAGTTCGATCCGCAGGGGCACCTTATTCTGAAATGGTGAGGGTTCTTCTTTCAATGAGGTCAGTGCAGGAGAAACAGCAAATGGCTCCTCAATTATTGGTTTAAAATGTTGGCAAGGAATTAGAACAAATACAAAAGGATTTTGTACTTGCAAAGAAAGTTGCTCCATCAGGAGAAAAGCCACCAGCCGCCAGCCACTTGTGGAGAAATGTGCCCAGGAAAGGGACATGATGGGGCACACCGTGCCGGAACCCCCGGGACTGGGTCCGGAATTAGGGCAGCGTTCTCCTGCTGTAAACACCATACGTACCGCTGGTCATGTGAGAGACTTTCGCAAGCTTCTTCATCACGTTGTCCAGCCGAGACTGAGTGCTCTCCAGCTCGTGCGAGAAATCGTCCAGCATGCTAGAAAGGGAAGCAGACGTGGAAGGCGGCTGGTAAACCTGAAGCCTCGGCCGTGCGCTGGTCACGGAGTTAAATCAGGATCTGGGCCTTAGTTTTAGCAAACGTGAGGCAGACACCACTGGGATTCAAGTCCCCGGCCTATTACCTGAAATCCTTGGGACAGATAAGTTTTTGGACTCAAGATTTTTGGAATTGAAAGAAAGGAGTGCATCTCATGTGCCATATATTAGCCAACATCCTCAGCAGGGCCCGGGGTGGTCCCCACAGTCGAACACCTGATGCCTCTGCAGAGAGAGCCCTGTGCTCGGGCTAAGTCAGGGCTCTCCGGGCACCAGGCACCTGCCCCTCACAGCAGTCCTCCCACTTCTCTGTCACCACGTAGTAACGTGCATTCCTTTCTGTCATGTCCAGTCCACCCAGAAAGTGGTGGGCTCTGAGGGCAGGGACACTGACTATTCGTTTGCTCCTCTGCTCATGCCCAGGGCCTCCCAAAGCAGGTGCCCGTCGGAATTTATAACAGTACATGAGGGTATAACGCTGAACACAAAACTGGGTCAGGAGACTTTCTGATCTGCCCGGCACAACGGTAAAGGTATTACGTAGCAGCATTTAAGAATGCTGACGATTTTGGTGTCGAGCTTCAGAGTTTAAAAAGACTGTGCTTAAGGAAAACAAACCCAGCTGTGTTTCTACTTTTGATTGTTGAAGGGGAAGATTTTTTTATTAATTGGAGTTAACATTGTAAGTTTTTCCTCATAAAGCTGAAATTTAAGATGCAAAGCAAAAAGTTCTGTTCAATGCAGTGGGACAGTCATGGGCCCATAGTTAGCTTGTGTCTTACCCTCTGGGGACACCAGGTCCCCACAGAGGCCACACGGCCGTATCTGCCTCACGTCCCACTCATTGCAACACTTCAAGTGCCTGCTCAGAGCAAGGCTGCGCCTGTTTTTGCAGGTGTTGAAAAATAATAATAACCGCAACTGCCTAAAACCCTGTTAATTTGCTTCTTTTGGAGAGGCTAGTCTGTAAAACACAATAAAAATGCCACTATAAATAAAGCAGTTCTGGGGTTTACTCGTATGTAACTGTCGGGTTTGCTAGGGGCCCTGTAGACGGCTCTCGCCCTGAGCTCCACGGCCCGAGAGGGGTGTCTCGGACTCACACTGCCTGCTCCTCCAGCTCCCCCCCGATGCGCTGGGACATGTTCTTCAGCACCCCGATGCTGCCAGAGACCAGCTCCAACTGCTCATCCTGCTGCTCCACGATCAGCTGGTGCCAGAGAAACGGGAAACAAGCAATTAAAATCCGTCTTACCTGGTTCCAAGCCCAGCACTCGAGCAGCTGCTAGCTGCTCTGCCAACTTGGGACAACTCACATTCAGAAGCGAAGCCCAGAAACCAAAGGCCCAGACCGTCACCTTCAAAAACACGCTGCTCAAAAGGGCGCATTGTGCAGCTACTGATATCTCCTGCTGCTCCAACTGTGACCAGTCAGCGGGTCTTGAAACCACCAAGAAGGATTTACTATGGTTGGCTGGAGTCCAACAAGGGAACAGACAATGGCCAAAAGCACCTGCACAGTGACCGCTGAGACACGGGGGTGCCAGGAAGAGGAAGCCCACTGCCACGGTCAAGGTCTCAGTCCACAACAGACGTAAACACAAGGGAGGCTAGCAAGTCTCCGGCCATGGGAAAACCACACACAGAGTCCTTTCCTCCCTCAAGGACAAACCAGAGGAAGCTCTGTGGCAGTGAGTTACGTCAAGGACAACTATTTCATGATAAATACTTAATTGTTTGGTAGCCTCCTCACTTTTTGTTAAAAACCAAAAAACTTTATTAACATCAATTTTAGCAGACAGCTGGTTAAGCAAACATGCTAATGAAAAAAGAACACAGAACCTATATAAAGTACATAAAATACAATTATTTAAGAACCAATAGCTTCAATTGGTAGATAATCTTCAAATCCTCAGGTATATTATTATTAGCTTCCTTTTTTCACTCAGACTACACATCAGAAGCAACAACACAGACATAATTAATCTCCCTTCTACCCTTCACCTCCAGTAAAGCAACCATTTTCATGTGTAACGAGAGCAGCAATAATTTTCAATGAAAAAAACCAGGACTCAATTTCTCTGAAAGTGTGCCTTTTTAAAAATGAACAAAAAACTGAGTTAAACAAGTGGAAGCTGGGGAAGAGGGGTTCTTTTGTTTGTTTTTGTTTTTAAGTCAGGGCTTGTGTGTTTTGGAGGCATGGCCTGCTTTTCCTAAGAGACCTAATCAAGCCCGGCTCTCCAGAAACAGTCGTGCCCGTCTAGAGGAGGTTTTGGAAACCCTTTGTATGTGCCGTCATCACACAGGTGGGCAGAGGCGGCCGCAGGGCGAGCTCTGGGCCAGCCTGCCTGTCGTTAGCAAAGCCTGGTGGCTGGCAGGACCCGGGAGGAGCCTGCCTCCACACCTGTGCTCAGTGGGCGGTCCCAGTACCTGCTGCTGAGCCTGCTGCTCCTCGATGAAGTGGGAGTTGGCTAACTGGAGCTCGCGGTCCAGGCGCCCATACTTGTCTGGCACTCCAGTGCTCCAGTTCTGGCCGCCACTGTCTCCCAGCAGTGCCTGCAGGGGTGGGGCAGGGGGGGAGGAGAGACGGACTGTTATGGTCTCTGAACACGTGCTCCATCACGGCGACACAGAGGCCTCACACTGTTCACCGTCCGCTTTCCCAGGGCGCCTTTACCTGGTGCTGCAGGTTGGTCCCTGCAAGTCTGATTTAAGGAATGCCAGGAAGGGCTCTCGGTCCCTGGGCTCGCCCAATGGGACTCACAAGTGGGCTTTGTCCCATTAAAATGCAGACAAATGTCAACTGTAAGTCAACGAATGCCCACCTGCACACAGCTTTAAGATCCAAAAGCACTTAGTCTCCAGGCCAGCTCTGCGCAGCACCCTCAGAAGTTCACCACAGACCCCCAGGTTCTGGTCTAAGTGACTCTAGAGATCTGGAGTCCTATGACCCAAGAGGATTTTGGGTTTTGAAAGGGACGAGGTGATTCTTAAAACGACAAGAAGCCGAGTCACAGTCTCACACACGGAAGGCACGAGAGTCAAGGAGCCATCCACAGGCGTTCAGTTTAACCCGTGAATAAGTCCCAGTGCCTGCCAGCTGACCTAAAGGCTACAGGCTTCACAGACGGGGAACTGGGGGCAACTTCACCAGGCAGGCGCGGCCACGGTGGGTGCCTAACTGACCCCAGGAACCTGGGTGAGTGCCTGCCCTGAACTCAGTATCGCCACCAGGGCCCCCAGATGCCAGCGTCAGCTCCCCAGTGGGAATTCAAATACATCTGTAGTCAGAAAAGGATGAATTTGGGAGTGTCGTCCATGCTCGCAGAGGCCAGCAGAAAGGCGAGTGCTCAGTGTAGGCTGCTGGTGACTGGAGCCCTGCGAGCCTTTCTGACTGGTTGGTCTGAGTGACCACTCACACCAGCCCTGCACAAAGAACCAGGACCTGCTGGTGACTCAGATCCTTTTTTCTTCTAGTTGCCAGATCTTCATCCGGCTGCTTTTTATCTCTGGAACTATTAAAGCTTGATTTCTTGGTTCTCTGTCTGAAAAGCACTCCAACCCCCCCCCAACGGAGACTGACCTCCTCATTGGACTTTCAGGGGTAAGTTCAGTCAAATGGACCCCCTCAGGGGCTCGGCTCGGGGGCTCAGGACACAGGGCTAATTCTGAGGCGGTTATGGGAGGAAGATCGGGATGTCGGGGAGCTTCAGGCAGAGCGGGCCTACGTCTAATTAGGAGGCTGGGTAGTGACCGACTTGGGTACGAAGGCGACCAAGGAAGGGATCTTGCGGATGGCTCTGCCCCAAGCTGGACTTGGGTCAAGATTTGAAACATCTGCTGGCTCTGCTACAGCGACTCTAGGGGCTCGAGATGCAGATTTTATTTGTTCACCCGGTTACACTATCCGGTTAGACTAGGGAGACAGACAGGCGTTGCTACGTCACCGTCACAAGGCCGGCAGACAGGAAGGGAAAACCAACAGTGACTCGAAAAAGGAAACGCAGCGGCAGGAACCGGGGAGGCGGAGCCAGGTCACTCTGGCCCCGCCTCCTCACTACGCTTTGATGTTTGATTTCAAATTAGTGGGTCGGGCTGCACCCACAGGTACAAAGCAGGAATTTGCATCATAAACCGATCCCCAGTTAGTTAAAAATGCTGAGCTGACTTCTTAAGAGTCTACGAAATGGACTACTGGAAACTTTATGTAGTCTGAATAAAATTTAAATCAAATCTATATTCTAGGGGAGTATTGTATATTGCTTTAAAAAGACTGTACTTTTTACCTGTTGGAAAGGAACTTCTGTCAGTTATCAAAGTGTCTAATTTAAAAAATGTGCCCCAAACCCAAGAACTGCCCTCTTGTCGCTTTTTTTTTAGATGGGCCACCACCGTCTGTGCTTTGGTTTCTGAAATTTATGAGGTTTCATAATTTATTTGTGATAACTAATAAAAACTGGACCTCACCTCAAAAAAAGATTAAAATGAAAAGTTTAACACATTAAATTCATACACATTTAAGATTCCTCAGATGCCTTTCATTCTATTTTAAATTTCATAAAGTTTCAACCATGAAGTATCTAGTGAGTTCTATCGGGTAGACCATGTAGTAACAGCTAGAAATCAACAACACTACCACCACCACCAAAACCAAAAAAGCATGACGCAATCCATCCTTACCATCAAGGGGCCTGGAGTCCAGCAGAGAAAGAGACAAGTAGCTAAGCAATTACAGCCCTTAGCAGAACCTGGCACACAGAATGTGCCCAGCAGGTGCAGAGTAAATGGCTGTGTGGTAAGAACTAGACGAGTAAGCACTGGCCCCCTGTGAAACCCAGAGGAGAGAGGCAGAGGGTGGGAGGGATGGAGGGATGGAGGGATGGAGGGAGGGCAGGCCAGGGACGGCCCACAGTAGAGCTGGGGCTGGCCTCTCACCAAACCTGCCGGCCTCCCCCCAGGCTCAGTATGCACAGGGCTTCTGCTTGATCACACGTTCCCCAGATGTCAGCATTTTAAAATTCCAGTATGTAACCGTGTGTCTTCTTTGATTTGGTACCGCAGATTTGGATGCTTGCTCACCTGTCTGTTTCTCCTTTCAGCCAACGCCTGCGCAGAGGAAGCTGACATCTGGTCCTTCATGTCCTAATGAGGTAAGGAGAAGACCAAGAGCAAATGAACATCCTCAGATGAGACAAAGTCATGGTCAACATTTTGTGCATTAGCAAATTACACGTAATTTGTTCATTTTTTAAAACAAGAAGACAGCATTCTTTGACTTTTTTTAGTTTCAAAAGGAACTAAAGAGACAATGTCCTTTTACAAAACAGGTAACCTGGGTACTAAAGTTATAATTTCTTAGAAGATTTTGTTTATTTGTTTTTAGAGAGAGGGGAAGGGAAGGAGAAAGAAAGAGAGAAACATGGATGCGAGAGAGAAACCCACATGGCTTGCCTCTCGTTCATGCCTCCACCAGGACCAAATCCTCAACCCAGGCATGTGCCCTGACTGGGAATCGAACTGGTGATCCTTTGCTTTGCGGGATGACACCCAACCAATGCCACATGGGTAGGGCACGGGTACTGAATTTAACTAGATGAGAAGAGGAAAGGAATATGCCAGAAGCACCATTAAACACTCACGCACATTATCACTGAATTTTCACGAAGCACCTGGGAAGCTGCTGCTCTCTCTTGTTTACAATTGAGGACACTGAGCTCCAGACGGGCTCAAGGCACTTTCTCGAGGCCACATGGTCAGAAAATGGCAACCTGGGGGCTCAGGCACAAACGCCTGAGCTCAAGGGCCAGCGTCTTCAAGTGAAATACACGTGACAAGCCATGCACTTTAGGGTAATTACCACTAAGCACCCGGAAAAGCTCTCAAATACTGATGCAACGAGCAGGTCACTTATTTTATTGGAGTTGGATTCATGTGAAGTATAGACCATTTCTAACACCAGAGTGAATTTCCAGAGTGGCATCAGAAATAATTTTGTATGGAAAGAAAAATGAATGGACCCGTTACATACAGTGAAAAAAAACAAAAACACTTTGTTAAATAGGAGCCAATTTGCTGTCATAATAACCACAATCCAATATACTTTAAAATGATTTGATGTGAATACAAAATTATTGTGATTTAATTTTTCTTAAAGGCTGGCAAAATACTTTATAATTTTCTTTTGGCCAGTAGACTGCTTTACAGATGCAAATGGTGAGCTATGCAGCTTTTAGAAACTCCTCCCAAGACCCGTGGCAAGTGACCAGCAGCATTTGCAGGTGCTCCTGGGGTGGGAGGGGGGGTGGGGGTCTGAGTAACAACCACGCGGCTTCCTCCTCTTCTACACGACCTCATTAGACTTCATTCCCATCAAAATGAGAAGGATGGAAGCCCTAGCGTATTCAGTGGGATCTTATATATGGCCGAGGCAGGTTTAGGTCTCAGCTCCAAAAGCTGCAACATTATGACGTGTGGATTTGACTTAGAATGCTTCTTCCAAAGACTGCACTTTACACAATGCTTCTGATATTACAAACACAAACTTTGAATTCTACTTCCAACTATGCCAACTAATTTAACATTCAATATATTAACCTCTGAATTTCAATTTGCAAAATTTACAAGTGCAACCTTGCAGAAAGAACGACTCTAATGAATAAGGTCGAGAAATACATGCTTCACCCTGGCCGGTGTGGCTCGGCTGGAGCACTGTCCCATAACCGAGGTGACTGGTTCAGTTCCTGGTTAGGGCGCATGCCTGGGTTGCAGGTTTGATCCCCAGTTGGCGTTTGTGCAGAAGGCAATCAATCAACGTTTCTCTCACATCAATGTCTCTCCTTCCCTCTGCCTCTCCCTTCCCCTCTCTCGAATGAGAATAAAATAAACCTTTCAAAAAAAGTTCTTAAAAAAAATATGCAGCCCTGGCTGGTGTAGCTCAGTGGGTTGAGTGCGGGCCTGCGAACCAGACAACCTCGGTTCGATTCCCAGTCAGGGCACATGCCTGGGTTGCAGGCCGGTTCCCTGCAGGCCACTTCCCAGCAGGGGATGCACAAAAGGCAACCGTATGTTGATGTTTCTCTCCCTCTCTCCTTCCCTTCCCCTCTAAAGGAAAATAAATGAAATTTTAAAAAATATGCTTCACTAGAAGGTACCATTTTAAATGCCAACATCTACATAAGTGTCCTTCAGAAAATCTATTACAAAAAATAAAAAAGCAAACCAGATTTATAAAATAAATAATGGGGGAGTTGCTTACCTTACCAAAAAATACCTCATCGACCCATGGAGCTCCCTTACCAGAATAGCTTTCTGAACTGGCTAGAAATGAGGACTGTCTGGTCCAAAGGCTCGTTACAGAGATGGGGGCCCAGGGCTCCATACACGCTACTGCCCCACCGAAGGGTTTATTTGTACACAGTTGAGGTATCTGTGCACAGAAAGGCAGCTGATGCGCAAAACTAGGAACGAGAATAAAGTTCCGTGGTAACCTACCATTTGAAAAAATTTCCAAAGGAAATCACATGGTATAAAGCCTTTGGCAAACATATACCCAGGTTCCTGCCTAAGATGACTCCTACAAAGCCATATGTTAGCGCTGATATGATCCCAAGTTTCTTTATGCAAGGAAGCTGCTTTCTAGGGCATATGTTAAAGACAGCTGGTTGTCTTACATCTACTTATGCTAATCAGACGGCTTAGCCGTACACTTCCAAAATACAAACGTATCTTAACGACACGAGATTTTACTCAACTGATACTTTCGCTTGGCTTCTAAACAATAGGTTATTTTCTAAATAATCTGAGACTACACATGTGTTCACTTGCCCTCGTTTTTGCACTCGGAGAGTGCCCGCTTGCTCTGGGTGACTCCCGGAAGCCTGTCGAACGCTGGCACCTGGAAATGTCAGTAACATGGGCGGAGAGAGTTCCAAAGCTGAAACTCAGACGGCGAGAGGCCGATATCCAACCCCAGAAGAGTTCCTCTTCACAATGCAAAGTGATTACAAATCCATCAAGAAACCAAATGGTTTCTGCAACAGCAATTCTTCCTTTGGCCCAGAAACAGCACCGAGAGAAATAACAAGGAGAGAGAGAACTAAACAGGTTTGGAGGGGCGGGGGGCACGGACAAGTAGACACAACTGAAGCAAAGCTTCCCAGAGCCAGCAGCAGGCTCTTGCTTCTGCTCTGAGAAACAGTCCCGACCATGAGACTGAAGACAGACTTCTGTTTTTCCAGCTAGAGAAATTCTAAGTGGGAAACTGGCATTTAATTCACGTGAAGAAGCGGCTTCAGAGGGGATGTATTAGTTTGCAATTAAGGAAAGCGTTCTGAGAAGCTCAGCCACTTCCACACAAAGAGGACGATAAGGTCACACTCCTTACCCTGACAACTTGCCGAGTACTTGTGATGAAGGATTTTCGTATGCTCAACTCGGTTGCATCGAGATTGAATTTCCTAGGATTTGCTTCCACGATGCGTGGGTCAAAGAGTCAAGGCAAAGCCGTGTCATCATCAAAAGCCTAACAACCCCCCCCCCATCATTTTAAAGCGCAGAATTTTTCACAGGTGAGCAGTAAGGTCTGGCCCAACATTTCTGAAGACAGTCAACTCTACACCAGTCAGCCTCAGACTTCCCGTGCCCACCGCTGCAGGGGACCCCGGTGCCCCAGGGCCTGGACAGCTGCCGGGTTAGGAGCTGGGGGCCTGGCTGCGCTCTTCCAGGGGCCTGACAGCACTTTGTGTCTATTCTTTTTCGACTCCAGATCACCTTGCCCATGACGGCTTTTGCAAGCCTCTTGCATTTACCATTCCAAACCGTTCCACTAATGTGGAGAAGCTAACCCTGCTTCTTAATCTAGAGATGGAGGCCTCTCAGCAAAGCTCCCCCATCTCCTCACCCCAGGCGGGTCCTGCCAGCCCACGGCAGACACTCTCACACGGCTCTCTGGACTGTTCTCTCAGAGTCTGCAGTACACGTCTGTGCTAGTCTGACTAATGTCTGTCCCCCTGAGCCCCCCCCCCACCTCGCACTGTAAATTCCACAAGGGCTGGTTCGCTGTTTTGCTTATCAATGCAATCTTGGCAACTAACGAAATGTGCAGCACGTGATATGCTCAGTAACTGAATATTTATTGCAACTTGTGTCTTCTTTCTCTGATAATTTCTCTCTCCCCAATCTTTTTCTCTTCCCTCCTGTCTCAAGGGAAAATGTAAATGTATCTTCCTGTAACTGTGCTTTCGATCCCACCCCCTCACATTTTGTTCCATTCATTTTAGAAAACACACTTGTCTTTTAATAATTTAGAAGGAGCCGGGGTCATTACGATTAATAGAAATGATGCAGTTCACACATCAACTGTGTATGAGCCTGTGCTGACTAGGGAGTGACCCTGACAATCTGATTCCTTTGATGTTTTATCTCACTTAGAAAATAAACAAAACAGAACATCAGACCAGACAACTGGCACGTCTTCAATCTAAAGTTCTGATTCAGTGGGATGTTTCCAGTGGAAACGGCCATGCCGTTTCAGCTTTTACAGTCCTCTGGTCTGTCAGTCAGGTCGGCAGACTCAGTTCACATCAACAGCATCACTTAGCATGATACAGTGGGTGTGCTTTTACTGAGTGCTGCTTCCCGAAAAAAGGGGCCTCAACAATGGACACTGGCGCGATCACATCACTTCCTGAACAGGGAAAAGCCAGTCTACAAAAGGATTGCCTTTGGCCTCTAATTACCCACATCTCTAATGCAACACTCATATATACGTGCGCACCTGGATGTAGTGCCAACTACTAACACTTGTACAGAAACTCACTGGGCTGGGCACCATTCTAGACTCTTCACCTGTTAAACTTGCGACAACCTTAGGAACCAGGTACTGTTGTTATCCGGACTTTCTACTGGATGGACACGGAGGCACAGGGCACCTGAACACCCGCCTGACTGCAGGGACCGAGCACATAACCACTGCGCTGGCTGCCCCGAGTCACAGGATCTGCCACCGTGTAAAACTTTGGCCACTCCACCTTAGTTCCTAGGCAATTATGTTAAGTGTGTCATGGTCCAAATAAAAACAACATCGATAAATTACGAAAGGAACTGCCTAATCTACGTGCTTGAAACCGGCCGACGGACACTTGCTCCTCCGCCCCCTGCCCCAAAGGGCACAGGAGCACCGACAAGGATATTGATGGTTTCGTCGAGGTCCTCTAGGTCCCACTCGATGCTCCGCAGGTTGTTTCTCAGCTCGTTGGTGGTCCAGTCGATCTCCTCCCTGGTGGCCGTGGAGGGGTCCTGGAGGAGCTCTGTCCATCTCTGAAACAGCCCCTGGGCAGTGTTGACGGCCTTCTGCACCTCTCTGTAATCAAGGTGGGGGAGGGGAGGGGTCACAGACCGCATGCTCCAGGACCCAGCCTGCGCATGGCCTAAGTGAGCATTTACGGTCACACACCGCCCTCGGCAGCAGCCACCATTCCGAAAAGTGTACGAAAGTCTTTACAGAAGGCTCTTCACGGGCAAATATCAAAGTTCAAAACTTTAAAGTAACAGTCTAAGTATTATGTTCTCAGCTGAGGTCCAGAATCAAATAGCCATTATTTAAGCAGATATAATAATCAAGTGTGTTTGAGAAGGACAAACTTTAATTATGCTCCAAACAGACTGGGCTAAAAGCAGTAGTAGAGGCAACCCTACGAATGAACTAAAGGGCCATTAACATTCCCACGTGCAGCCACTGGGTGGGACAGTGATTTACATCAGATGGAAAAGTCCCAGTACAGCTTTTCTTTTCCTGGAGCGGAGTGTGGGGGAGGCAAGAAGGGTGGAGGAAGGGTTACTCTTACTCAGCTAATCTTTTAGAGGTTAGTATTTTTATTTGGGACATTTAAAAACCCCCAATCTCACGAGATGATTTCCCGACATTATCAGCTTTAACTGCATCCACTTTCCGGGGCTAAGCAAGGCTGTTGAGCAGACCGGTGTGTTGCTTGGTTGGAGGGGGACTAGGCCATAGGTGGTATGGTCTGGTATTCTTTTAGATCGGATATTGTCACAATGTTTTCAAAAGTATCCTTACCCTGACTGGGTCAATATCCGACATTTAAATGTTATCATATAACACTACCATATATAAAAGCCAAAAAAACAGAGTCATTTTATAATCACATGGTCTCTTGTGTACAGAGATAATGACTGCACTGCTCCCGATCTAAGGGGTCTGTTTTGGTTCTTCTGTGATTTCCTAACCAGTTCTCCTGTGTATTCAGTCAGGGTGTTTGCTGTCTGGCACTTTAAAACGGAATTTGCACGCATCCTTTTCCCGCTGACATTTCAAGTACCAGAAGAGAAAGCATGAACAAAAATGAAGCAAAGTGTCTGACAATATTTCGTCTGGAAGAGAGCAAAAAGGCTGAGTGTTAAAGCGCAGACTCCACATGGCCACGGGGCCACGGGGCCACGGCTGAATAAATCACTGAGCTCCACGGTCCGCAATGCATCTACAAGGTATGTTCCCGTCCAGTTTACATCCTGGGCAAGTCCCCTCCTTGTTCCTCTCATGTCGGTCTCTACTTCAGTACAATGAGAAACTCTGTTTGCGACAAAGAGGGGAAGGGCTAAGGCAGTGAGATGTAAATCCACTGCCTTTGCTCCTCACTGAGGTTTCTGGCTGATGTGGTGGACAAAGAGGTGTGTGTATGATTCCCATTATACAAGACACTTGGCTTATTTGTAAGTGTGAGCATCACGTATGATAATGGAAGGCAATTAAAGAGGGATCTATAACAACATCTCATTTTAAAGAATATAAAATTTATCAGTTCTGTAAAGTAAATATGAATTCCTTTTTGAGAACCAGGAACCTCAAATCTAAGTAGCCGGGCTAGGGAACACCACTTTCTCCGCCACCAGTCCACAGCTATCAAGCTGGGATCGGGTTTTCCTAAGTAGCAATCCATGTGTTTTTTTCTTTTTTTGGTCTGGGGGACTGCTTTGTACTCTTCAAAATTATTGAAAACTCCAAAGAACTTAAATTATATAGAAATTCACACATATGTAAAAATAACTATTAATTAAAAATTACAATGAGCATACATGTTAACATCCTTTTGTAAAAGCTAACTTTTAAAAAATTAGAAGAATGGCACTGTTTAATATTTTTATTTTTTTCAAATCTCTTTAATATCTGGTTTAACAAGAGACAGGTGGCTTCTCAGGTCTGATTTTATATTCAGTCTCTTGATACACATTTTGGTTGAGTGTATGATGAAAATCCGGCCTCCTATAATTCTGTAGTTGGGAGAGGGAAGGCTATTTTAATAGTTTCTGCACATAACTGTGGACCAAAACACGACAGATGGCAGTTTCTCAAAGGCTGCAATGCGGAACCTGAAACTTTATCAGTGACTTTTTGAACCATCGTACACAACAGCCTACCGCCCTGTCTTGTCTGCTGAGCAGATCTTTTACCCACGTGGGATTTTATAACATCGTGGACTGGTCACGTAGACAGTACTACTTTACCGAATGTCACCGATCTTTCGAACGCTGGCTCAGTCCATCACACAACATCCAAAATCATCTTATCACCCTCAATCTCACCAAAAACACTTAAGTATCGAAAATATGTAAGATCACAGCAGTTGATGTAAGCTTACCAAAATTCAATTCTAAGGGAGGGGGGCTTTAATTTTGCCATCAGCAAAAATACTGTCAGGTGTTTTCCACGAAGTGACAGGATTGCCCCATTTATTATAAAGAAAGTATCTCAAGTATTTTTTTAGACAATTTTGAGATTTGAGAACATAGGCAAGTCTGAAAAATCAGTTTCTCAGTTATTCTTTCAAGTGAAAATGAGATTCTGTGTGGGGAAGAACTACATATTTACGCTTTTCCTAGACACAACCACCTTATTCCACAAGAGAGCAAAAGTGCTTTATATGTGCGCTCATCCAGCCACACAGAACACAAAACCGTGTGTGAAGACAGGGGGAAAACCTCTACAAATCACACATCTGACTAGTGACCTATCTAGAAGATATTTTTAAAACTCTCAAAACTTAACAAGGAAACAAACTCGATTTTAAAAAAGGGCAAAAGATCTGAACAGTCAGTCACTTCACCACAGAAGACAGAGACAACTAAGCACATGAAAAGATGCTCAGAATCATTAGTCACCAGGAAAGTGCAAATTCAACCCACCAGGAGATACCAGTACATACTTACTGTGGCACAGCTTAAAGAGGAAAACAGATGCCCACCCCGACAATGCCAAGTGCTGACCAGGCGGTAGAGAACCTGGAACTTGCGTGTGTTACTGGTGGACATGCAAAATGGTGCAGTCACTTTGGAAAACAGTTCGGCCGTTTCTCAAAATTAGGCGTACACTTACCAAATGACCCCCAAATCCCACCCCTAGGTGGGTAAACAGTACTTTTGCAATTACTCTGATCTGTTAAAAAAAAAAAAAAAAGCTGTCTTTACTGAGTTACCTACTGGTTCATACAATTTTGACCTCAACCTGCTCCCGCTTCCACAGCTGCCCTGGGATGGCTCTACCGCCACCAGCAACCGCAGGTCAGAGTCGAGAGTGACTTGAATGCATCATCGTTTTCCATGTAGCTGACACTACAGCCTTCATACCTGTGTTCTTGAACTCCTACTTCCTTTGTGACACTGTGCTCTTCCAGTTTCTACCGATTTTCTGCCCACTCTTCCTCCACTTGGTTCCCGTGTTTCTTCCTCAGCAGTGTTTACAGTGTCTAGGTAGATGCTCGTCCACACCCACACGTTCAGCTGACGACTCCCCAACTGCATTTCCACCCCTAACCACCCACCCAGGATTAACTCTGACATTTTTAGCTGCCTACAGGATCATTCCATCTGCTTCAAACCAAACAATGTCCTCCCTACAAAAAAGGCAAGTATTCAAACAAAAAGATAAAACAGGTTAAAAATCTGCTTCCTTCTCTAACTTCCCCACTTTAGTAAACAGTGCCACTATTTTCCAAGATTCAAAACTTGTCTAGACAAGCGTCATCTTTGACTCTTCCTCTTCTCACCTTGCACAACCTCTGCTTTAGCCCAATCACTGGGTTTTAGACGTGCAAGGCACTTCCCAGATAACCAGTCTGCACTCACTGAGCAGGTAAGGGAGCTGGGCTTCAGCCACCTTGGCTGCGTGCCTCCCGCTCTTCTGACTCTGAGTACAGGGCACCTCTCACCGCTGAGACCTGTTCTGTTCCCTCGTTGCCAGGCCCCGGCAGATGGATTTTCTATGTGGACTCAGAAGACCTGGGTTTGAGCCCTGAAAAGCTGCTCAACCACAGGCAAGGGAATAGCGACTGCTAGTGAACACTGCCTCCCGATTAAGAATTCATGGTAGGAAACAGATTAAATTTAAACTCCTCAGCAGGGTATTCCATGCCTCCTCGTCCCTGAACTGGCCAACTTTAATATCCAACCTGATTTCTCACTAAAACAAACTTGATTTCAGTTGGCAGGCCGTCTTCCCTCCCTCCCTCCCTCGGCTCATTCCTGGCTCTAGACTTGTGTGTGGACTTCCCCAGCCCCCGAGAGTCCTCACACCTCTGCGAATGGAAAGCAGACATTTCCTTTTAAGGCCCAGATTGGACCCTACTTGCGTCACTGAAGTGTCCTTGACCAACATCCCCACTCAGGTCTTTCCTTTTTTCAAACTCCACAGCATCTCAGCTGTATTCCAGAATCTCGCACACAATGCATATTGTCTTTCCCCTACTCTGCCCGCACTCTGCAGAGTTCTCCAAACGAGACTACAATTTCAGGAGCCAATACATTTATAACCAATGTTTGCAAAGTCGTTTTTACCATGAAACATCTGATTCTGATTTTTAAAAAGTGGGAAGTGAGACCTGATTTACATTCCACTGCACTGGACCTAACTTCCCCTGCGAACTGGAATGAATCTTTCTCAGTGACCATACCAATAAACAGTGTCTTCTCAGCACTGTGAACAGGGTGGACCATGCTTGGCTTTAAAGGGCTCAGAGTTGAACAGGTTCTATGTACAGACAAGAGCTGCTGAGGAGACAATACCACGCGACACACACCACCTCACTCATCTGCTCACGTCTGCCGTCACGGCAACACTGGCCCGTAGCCGAGATCCTGGAAATGAAACGGTGATGGGAGAGGACGTGGACATGGACCAGGGTAGAGGAACCAGCAGCAGAGTGCTGGAGACAGCCCAGTGATGGCACCAGTAGGACCCGATGACCAAGTGGACACAGGACTGAAGGAGAGGTGGAGTCAGGAGTGATGAGGGCTGCGGGGAGGATGGGCCGGTCAGGCGTTTACAAGAAGTGGAAGAAGAAAAAGAGGAGAAAACTCTTGAGGGGGCGTGGAGGACAGAGCCGTGTCATAGTGACGGTGCGGGGCGAGCAGAGACACACACACGTGCCTGCGGCAGCGGGAACGGTGAAGGGCACCCAGTGAGAACACACACAGGACCGACCAGGGCCGCTAGGCTGATGAGATGGGTGAGAGGACAGGCGGCCCAGAGGCGGTTCGCGGAGCTGGGGGGCGGAGTGTGGGCGGGGGGCGTGAATTACCCCACAGCGTGTGCGCCACGGTGGGCGTCTGCACCAGCCAGGGCCACATTTGCCCTAAGAGGCATCCCCCAGCCCCCGGGTTGTGGCTTTTCTCCTCTGTGCTCTGGACGAGACTTCCATGGTATCAAAAATGAGCCTCAAACCCAGGCATTTGTCACTGCGTCTTTGAGACAACTTTCTAACTGGTCTCCTTTTCAATCTTTCTCTGCACCAATGTCTCTAACACTACTACCAAATCAACGTTCCTAAAACCCTAATTTCATGGCATTTCTCTGCTTTAAAAGCCTCCAGTGGCCTCAAGATGAGAGTCTCCTTGGTGCTTTTCTACCTGGTCCTGTGAAGTGTTAACAGTATGAGGAGAATGAGGCCGTTCAGACTTGAGTCCTGGGTCTGCGCTTACTGCTGTGTAGCCCTGGGCAAGTGCTTAACCCCTCTGTGCCACCTCAGCTCTTCACACCTAAAATGTGGCCAGTGCCCACATCCCAGAGCTGCTCTTAGGAAGTGACAAGTCTTACTTAGCACACAACGCCTGGCATAGGAGTTGCATCCTTTAAATGTTGGCCATTGCTATTATTACCTGCCTCCCCCCCAAATGCCCCACTCCACGGGGATGTCTGCCTTGATGACTTCGACACAAACCGTGCTCCTCTCAGGGCCTCAGCGGTGGGCACTCCCGCCATGAGCAACCCCCCACTACCCGACAGCACTCATTCACCACGTGTGCTCCACAGCCAAGGTGCGGGCTAGAAATACAGCGAAATAAACAGTCCCAACCCCCAGGGCTCAGAGTCGAATAATGAAAGAGGAAGAGGTGCCATAATGTGCTGCTGGTGCCCAGGGAAGCACTTCCTGGAGACCGTGCGGATGCTGGTGCTGGGTCTCGAAAGCCGAGTGGTCAAATCAAGGGCAGAGCAGGGCCATGTGGAGTAGGGGCATCCAATGCTGTGGTCATGGTCCCTGTGCTGGGTCAAGGAGTCCTGAGAGTCCCTGGAACTCTGAGAGGAGGCAGGCGGAGTGAGAGGAGGCAGAGGAAGCCTGGCCCACCGAGGTCATGAAGGGTCAGGGCTCTATTCTGTAGGCAACAGGCAGCCACTCAGTGGCATCGGGCAGGGAGTCCTCGCTTGGGCTGTGCGCTGCCCGGTGTGGAAGCCGCATGTGGCCACCGAGGGCTTGAAATGCGCTAGTGTGACTGAGGAGCTAGAATTTTAATTTCAATTAATTTAAGTCTAGAAACTAATACAGAATTCAGTTACTGGAAACTTTTCAAGTATGCTTGGAACAACTTGGGTATGTGAATCTACGTTCTCAACTCTAAATTTAATAAACTCTAAAAAGAGATAAGTATTTCTGACGACAACTGGCATCCAAATTGAGATGTGCTGTAAGTGTAAAATACACACCAGATTTTGAAGATTTAGTACAAAAAAAGTAAAATATCTCATTAATAATCTTTATTGGTCAATCACGGGTTGAAATATTTTGAACCTATTAGATTGAAGAGGACAGTAAAATTCATTTTCCCTCTTCATTTTTACTTTTTAACGTGGCTACCAAGCGATGAAAAATGGCGTATGAGGTTCACACTGTGTAATATTTTGGATAGCACTGATCCAGTCCAGCCAACGGCACACGTAAGAGGCTAGAGGCTGGGGGCAGGAAGACCAATTAGAAGCTCTCTGATAAAAATCCAGATGAGACAGGCCTAAATGATCAAACTTCCACCCATCTTCAAAATCTATCCAAGACTTGATGCCACCTCCGAGCGCGTTTCCAATCAACCATCCTGAATGAGTCACCCTTCTCTGAACTCCTGGGGCACTTATCTTCCTTGGCATTCACTTCAGCACGTAATCATTCACCCCCTGTCATTTCTACTGAAGTTTCGAGGTCAGTGTTGCCCCGCTTAGACTATCAGCTCCTAGGGTAAGGACCACAATTTAGGTGTCTTTAATCTTTCCACACTGTGTGATGCATTTTCGGTACTTTTAATAAACAGAGGTACATGGCTTCCCAAAGAGTCCATCACACATACAGTCTGGAGACACCCATGTGGCTAACTTTACCTTTGCACAGCAGAAGACAGTGAGTCTCATTTCCTTAAGACACATTAAGGAGAATAAAATGATGTCCAAACCAACCCAAGACTCCAGGCCAATGTACCAGTAAAGCAGTTATATCTAGTTGGTGAGCAAACACTGGGAGACAGTATTGGATACAGGAAAAAATACAATGTCAAGATGGCAGAGCAATTTAGCATTTTCATACATTCCATTAAAAATCAGACAAAAATTGTCTGATTCTCTCTCTCTGGTCTCTACTGCCAGGGACAACCTTTGCCACTTATGCACTAAGAACTTTCATTCAGGGGGAAAACACACAACTTTAACCTTTAAAAATTAATCCCTAAATCAAACCTTCTAATAACACATTTTCTAGGTAGAGAGCCACATTTTACTAGAAAAAAGACAAACAAAAAAACGCTACAACTTAACATTTTCCTATCTAAGTTAAAGTAAGGTGAAGAAAAACCTTTCTAGGGAACTGTTAAGAAGTGTATAAATATATTTTACTGTATCGTGGATAATAAAGTATTTCACCTAAAGCATCGTTTAAATTTTCTAAGAACACTTAAAAAAATTAAACACTCAGGCACCTGGTCAACTTTCACCACTACAGAAATAGGAAGCTAGCAGTAACTAGTTGAAAGCAAAGGGACACTGACTCTATGGTTATTAGTACTGATCTGGGAACTTTGTACTTCTCAGATTTGTTTGTTTGACACTTAACACATAAAGCTGACAAGCTGTAACAACACCAGAATCCATCTTTCTTGCATTTGTTTAATGGCTACAAAACTGATACAGTGACAACGTGCAATTCAAGTTTCTATCTCCAAACAATCCAGCAATCAAAGATGGAGTCAGGTCAGCTCAAAGGGAAAAACAAGTGGGCAAACCTGTCAAATAGCCGGGGTGAAATCAGGGAGTTGAAAAGAAAGCACTCATTTCCTTTAGTACTGTGGGAAAATCCCGGTGCTAACAGAAAGCCGAGCAAAGTTTTGTTTGGCTGATTTCATTTTGTTTTCCTTCCAACATCATCACTGAGCATGAACGACTGCTTTCCTCCCGTCCCATTACTCAGTAAAAACTCCCCCACTGAACTGAGCTGTCTTCCGGAGCCGGCTCCCCAGCCTCCCAGGTCCACGCCGCCCCCGCCTCCCAGCCTGCGAACGTGCTGGGACGCCTCCGGGCTGGTTGTGGTCCCACCAGTCTGCGGGCCAGCGTTCCGATCTCAGTGGACAATGGGAACTCACCCCCGTCAAAGCCAACTACAAAGCTCAGGAGGGCCATTTCCCTTTTCCTGCCAGATGCTGTTTTCCCTCCTTCGAAGTAAGGCCCGTGCTCTACTATAGCCCCAGTTGGGCTGGGACCCGTGTCTCCCTCCCCACCTGCAGAGCTGCTGAATTCAACCCCCACACAAGTTACACAGCGCACAAGCCAAAGGGTACCCCCTCCCCAGGGGTTTGGTTGGGGGCACGGATTTCACAGTCCAGGTAGGTCATATCTCTGGACACTTGGTCGTAGCCCTGAAGGCTAAGCCGTCCCTACTGTCCCCTCCCCAGCCTCAACTTGTCTCCCCTCCCCCTCCAGCACAGAGAATGGGGAGGTGCGGGGCAGGCAACGTCACCTCCTCCAGTGGAGCCCTCGGCGACACTCACCCTTTCACCACAAAGAAGGGGTCCTCCATGGACATGGCGTCCGGGCCCCCGGCCGCCTCCCGCCTGCACAGTGCACAGGGCGCCCGCGCCCTCCGATCCTCCCTTGCCCACCTCCCACAGCCACCGGAGCTTCAGCCCCGGGAGACCCAGTGCAGTGGCGCGGGCGCAGGCCGAGGGCGCTCGGGACCGCCTCTGGTCCAGCACTCTGGGGGACCAAAGACCGAATCCCTGACTCTGGTGCCGGCCCCCTCCGGTGCCTCCTCCCCCGGCTCTAACAGGCGCGTCCGCAGGCCTGACCCCGCCCCCGGGATCCAAGGCCTGGGCCAACCACCAGCGTTGCCTGCTGCACCACTTCCGCACCCGCGCTCACGTGAGCGGAGCCTGCTCCGCCCCTTCGTGGGCGGGGCTTTACGTCACTGAGCCCTGGAGGCGGGACTTTGGGGGGAGTCTTGACCCACCTCCCAGGATTCAGGGGGAGGAGCCGCTTGTTCTTTCTTAAGAAGACAGGTAGGTGTTTAGGATTCACGATAGTACCTGATGTGCACAATCCTGTTACCTTTCCTCTATGTACTTTTACTTGATTTTGATAACGTGATTTATAAATCTCGTCCTCGACTTACAGTAAAGCGTGCTCATCATATACATGATCTGACTATACAATGTCGCACAACTTATTTAGGTCTTACCCTGTATCCGGACACACACTAAAAAGTAATTATGCAGTATCTTGATATTGTGTGAGTGTCGGAGGAGGTATTATTACTCCCATTTTGTACACGAGAAAAGTCAGAGTGCTTTCAAGATTTCCCGTAGTCACACAGCCGGGACAGGGCGGAGTCACAGATTCTGCGCACTTTCCACCACACTGGGCTGTATTTTCTTCTGCTGAGCATTCTGCAAGGAACCAGTAACATAGTTGTTGTTGTTTTTTTCATACAATGGTATGGTGCGTCCTGAGAGAGAGAGCAACTCTGAAGGACAAAGAAGGGGCCAGGTATGGCAACTTCCTCTCAGCGGTGGTTCAAGAATTCTTCCAGAAAACATTTTGCTCAGAACAGTTAGCCAACTCATATGGTAGATAGGCTTTGGGGGTTGAGAGCTCTAGTCACCGGCAATCACTGAGCAACTACTCTGTGTCACGCTCTGTGCTGTTATCTCAGTTGCTCAGGAACAGTAATTACTGTTACTATCCCCATTTTATGAACAAGAAATATAAGACTCTTGGAGGTTAAGTGACTTGCCCAAAGTCACCAGTCTTTTTGGAAATGAAAGAGTCCCCAGAGCCAGGCAAACCCTGTTTGAACCCGGGTTCTGTTACCCAGTCTCTCATCTATAAAAGGTGGGTTCATAGTCTGTTGCAAAGTGTTAAATAAAAATGCATGTGAACCCCAAGGTCCCAAAGGAGTGAGGTGGTGAAGCCAGGGAACCTGTCAGGAAGTTGCTGTGGTCATCTGGCCTGAAAGGATGAGGAGGAAACAGAGATGAATCTGATAGATGTTTCCAAGGAAAAACTAAACTCCTGGACAGAACGAAGGATTGATTGAATGGGGTTAGGGAGGAGAGAACTGGAAGTCACAGAGTAAAGACTTCCGTGAGACGGGGAGGAGCAGTGGAGATCAGATGGGCAGAAAAGAAGCTACTGGGAGAGAAGTATTTATTTATGGACATATGGAGATGGGAAGGTGGAAGGGGATCGTCTTTTACGCATTCAGCAGACACATGTAAGTTGAGGGGCAGATGAAAACAGTGATTGATTACTAGACATACTTGGAAACAGATTGCCTGAGTTCAAATCCCATTTCTGCTACTTCCTGTTGCATATTGGACCAACTGATTAATTTCTCATTGCCCTCAGCTGTGAAATGGATGCCATAAGAACAACTTCCTCAGATAATGCCATGAGGGTTAAATGAATTCATATGTGAGAAGTGCTTAGAACACAGTGCCTGGCATGTGTTGTCCTCTTACTGTGTGCTAGGCACTGAGATACAGACAGGAACAGGCCTGCTCCTTGCATTCAAGGAACTCTCAGACCAGTGAGAGGGACAGGTAGTTACACGCAATGAGAGAAGGGCACAAGTTACCATAGAAACACGGAGACAAGCTACCAGTTGATTTGTGTGTGTGTGGAGGGGGTTGTTTCTAAGCAATGACTAGAGGCAGCCTATGGGGAGCCTCTGCAGAGGGCGTTGCCAGGGTGGAAGGCCCACGGTGGTGGGAGGAGCTAGGGCTGGAGACTGAGGTTAAGAACTGTGGGCACTCTCCTGTAGGTCATGGAAGGTGACAGAATTGACAAAGTCAGACTGGCATTTGAGACAGATACTGTGGTGGCTGGGAGGTCAGTTGGTAGGTCGGTCCAGAGGAGGGAAGAGGGTGTCCTGAGATAAGCTCATGGCCAATAGGTTGGAGAGTAGGGACACATTTGAGAAACGCTTTAGAGGCAGCATCAGTGAACTTGGTGACTGACTGGTTCAGGGTGTTGATGGGAGCAGAAGTGGGGAGACTTGCAGCATTGTGGAGTTGGAAGTGGGTGCTTGTTAGTTCCAATCACCAGCAAAGACAACACAGCAGGAGGATTAGATGTAGCATGTTGGTTTTCCCCACGAAGCTGTGAACTCCCAGAGGGAGGGGGGACGGTGCTCTTGTTATTGTCACCTTGAAGCCTAGCATAGCCTCTTATTATCCATTCCATGAATTTATTAATTGAACTATAAATGAAGGGGCAGAAACATAGAAGATAGGAGACAGAGGCTTGGAAAATTCCCATAATTAGGGGTTTGGAAAAAGTACCAACAACGGAGATAGTGGAGGGTTGAGATATGAGATGTATGTGTGGGAGGTACAGAGCGTTCCTTTCTTTAATATATCATCACCCTCCTTCACTGCCTCTCAAACCAGATGACCTTGACCTCCACTGTCCTGGGGAAAAGGAAGGTATGATTAAAATGCAAGCATCTTTTCATGTGCTTATTAACCATTTGTATATCTTCTGTGGAGAAATGTCTCTTCCAGTTTTTTGCTCATTTTTTAATTGGGTTGTTTGTTTGTTGTTGAATTCATCCTAAATCTTTTTGAAACAACACTGAGTAAGGGAGAAAAGTGTTACATAGATGTTAGATGATATACTCTTCATCATTATCCCAATCTTTTCAAAACCCTGGCATGTATTTGCAGGTTTTGGAAGACTCCAAGAAACACTTACTCCTGTTGGCTTTCACTGGCCCAGCCGTAGCTGTCTGCATTTCCCATCCCTAACCACAGAAATATCCACACACATACCACACACTGGTTACGCTTCCCTCCTGCTCCTTGGTTGTTACTGACACCTGCATCTTTACTCTTTACACATTGGTTTAAAATAAACAAGGGGGAATTCTAGTCAACTTACATATCCAACACTAGAAGGTGATCAAGAATTTGTGGACTACCTATTTGATAGTCATTGGAGTGTTGTTTAAAAGTGTGTAATGACATAGATGGAAAATAGCAAGACAAAAAATTATATAAATGATATGATTTCAACTTTGTCCATTTTTATGTATAGAAATATTTTTATATAGAGAAAAAAATTATGCATAGTAAAAAGAAAATGTTTTAGAGTTTGGCACTATGAAATATTTTCTTGGATAATTAGAAAAACAAAAAAAATTAAAGAGAAGTGAGAAAGCCAAGTAACCACATATGCAAATGTACATCAAAATTTAGCAGTTTTGATTGTTTTTTAATGTAAGGTGAGTTAGGAATGGATGGGTGAATGGCTTTTACTGAGTATTAAAAGTTAAAATGTTATCAGAATTCAATGAACTTGACAAAATAGTGAACTTGAACCTTGGTAGGAAGGCACATATGACCTTTATGATCTCTATGAATTTGTTCATGCAAGGAAAAGGAAAAGCCACAATCTCTCTTGTTAAACTAGTGAATAATAATATAGTGATAATGATTGCTAACATTTACTTACTATGTAGCAGACATTGTGCTAAGTGATATATGTGCATAATTTCCAGAAGTAGCTTCAGAATTTCCACATAGGGTGGGTTTTAGAAAGTAACTTAAAAGTTTGGTTGGCAGGGCTGGGAGGCTTCAGCAGAGGAGGTTACATGGCAAACCCACTGTCTTTTCTTGAATTAGAGGTTTACCTGGAATGACTCAGGAAGGCTGATGGTGATTATGTGTGTGAAGATTTAAAGTCCCAGTAAGTCTCCTCTTGATGCTGTAACAAGTGACCACAAATTTAGTGGTGTAAACAACACAAACGTGTTCTTACAGAATAAATTTATTCTCTGACAGAGGTCTGAAAGTGGGTCTCACAGGCTAAAATCCAAGTGTTGGTAGCGTTCCATTCATTCTGGAGGCTCTAGGGGCGAATCTGTTCCCTCTCCCACCAGTTCTGGAGGTTGTCAGCGTTCCTTGGTTCATGGCTCCCTTCCAGCAATGGCCTGACTTTAACCTTGCTTCTACTGCGACATCTTGTCTGACCCTTTGGCCTCCAGTTTATCAGGACCCTGGTGATTACTCGGGACCTACCAAGATAATCCAGGATAATCTGCCTATCTCAAGATCCTTAATTTAGTCATGAAGGATAAACCCCTTTTGCCACCTAAACTAAGAGTCACAGGTTCTAGAGATTAGGAGGTGGGTATCTTTAAGGTATGTGTCTGTGGGGGGCAGTATTCACCTACCACAGAAGGAACTCAATTTGTATAGTTCTGCTACCTACTAGGTGTATCACAAACAGAATCTCCTCTAACATTTTGACAACTTTATGAAATATATGCCAGGGTTTGCTTTTAAAGCTGAAACTGAGCCTCAGCTCAACTTGAGTCTGCCCAAGGTCAAGTAGCTGGGATACAAACCCTTGTTCTTGAACCAGAGCTCGAGCCAACCTGTCTCCTGGCCTTGCCTTGGATTAGGCTTATTTCTCCCAGTTACCTCTACTTCCTCCTTCCTGTCTGGGCCTGTCCCCCAGCTCCCTGGATAAGCTTAAACTGCTGTTTCTCTGCTCCTCATGCTCTCTTGATGCCAACACAATCACAGCTTAATCCTGGGAATTGCTAATCAAACAAGCCAAGTGGCTGCCCCTCAGAATCTTTTTTAAAAGGCATTTTTCTTGCTCTCCTTCATGCAACAAGCAACTGTTGTTGTTGTCTATCATGCTGGAGCAGCAGGGAAGATAGACCTGCTAAAATAATAAGGCAGTCTGGTATGTGCTGTGTTAGCCATATGAACTCTACAGTATTGCAGGAAGATCCAAGTTCTGGGAACCTTG